CAAAGCTGCGCAAGATGAAAAGCAGGTCACCACACTTCAGCCCCGTATGAAAAGCCTCCTGTCAGCTGCCTCGCCCCTCCAATTGCTCTTTGTGAGAACTCTAGCGCCCACCTATTTCCTCAAGTGAACCTGCATGGAGTCAGCTTGTTTTCAACCCAGTCTCCAGATTGGCTTGAAGTGAACCAGCCCTGTGAGTAGTTTGTCATAAGACTCTGGTTTCATTTATATGCCATCACTCAAACCACTTTAGGTTTTTGTTGACATACAAAATTGCAGTCTGGACTACACGCAGACTAATTTATTTCCACATTTGATTTGCAACAGCACGTTTTTAAGATAAGCAGGCTCAGCCCCATTGGATGGGTTGTTTGATTACCTCCCAAGTGGGCTAGTCCTTTGAACAATGCCCTGCCCACCCTGGGTGGAGGTGGTTTTGCCCCCATCTCCCCGGAAGCACAAGTCTCCCAGCATAGGAGCTCTCCTGCTGCTTAGTCAATGAGAAGGTGGCTCCTCACCCCTAACCTTGGTCCGAGAGAGCTGTAGCATGGCATGTATGGTGCCTGATGTCTGAATTACTTCTGGCTGCAAGCCTGAGGGCCAGTGGCAGAGAGAAAGGTGGCAGCAACAATAGTATATGCTCAAGACATAAGGTGTTGTTAATTTGGGATTACTGGTTAACCTGAGAAACAGTATTATTCTGATATAATGAACAAGGAATTATAAAGTCTTTTTACATCTGAGTACAACTCAAGTTATTTCGGCCAAGTTGCAAGAAGCTGCAGAGTTTGCAGGGGAAAGTTAAAGGTTGTAGTGTCGGGGGAATGAAGCCCCTAGGTTCGTATGTATGAACACAGCAAAGTAGGTCACAGACAGCTTTAAAGATATACGATGAGTGTCATAGACTCCTGTAACAGTATTTAATGGCTGCTTGAGATTTGTGAGTTTTCCAGAACTCTTCATTTTGCAAGAAACAAAACAAAAAGAAGATTCATTCCAGGGGAAAGACAAGAAGGGAATAGAAAGTTACAGTTTCCTTTCCTGGCATTGCACCTTTCTCCCTACATGGTCCTGTGCAGATTCCTGAATATTTCAGTCCCTAAGTTTGCCCATCTGATGTATGGAACATCATATGGCAGCCTTTTGGGTGGACAAAAATGTCACTAATTCACAACAGTATATGTGCAATCAGGTTATGCTACTGGTCAGGATTTAAAAATTAATTAATTTAGAAAACTGCTGACAGAAAGCAGAATGCTCAGTCTTCTGATAGAAAGTGAGAACAAAGAGAGCAATTGCTCTAAATCTCAAAGAGCTTAGGGGGCAGACAAAACAAACCTTTGGCTTGTAGGTAAGCTTATTATCACTGTTATTGCATAAGTGGCATGGAAACACAAGCTAAGAACTTATTAGCAAAGAGAAACTCTCTGGAACAAGACGTCTTTTCCTTTGCTCCCAAAGGCCTTACACCTTTCATCTGTGCAATAGGAGCTAAACCAACACACACAAACCCCAATGTATTGTTGTTAACCGTCCTTCACTTGTTCAAATCCCACGCATATAAGGATTTATTGCATGGGATTTATTTCCAAATGACATTTTTTTTATCAAAAGTTGAGTCTAATGTGGAATCATTTACCACGACTGAAACTTTCAAATGTTATACTGCCTTACAAATGTCAATAAAAGAGGCAGGCAGGCCATCTCTTGGGACTGCTCCAGCTCTACATTTCCTGCATTAAGCCCTAGAGGGGTTGTTCTGGATGAAAGCCTTTTCCAGTTGCAGGATTCTAGATGCTGAAGCGGAAGAATATGAAGGTTGCCTCATCAATGCTGCTGTGTTTTTCACCAGAATTTTACAGAGAGTAGCTCAAAGTATCTGTGACAGACATTCCCTGAAAAATAACACTATTATGCAGACAGGAAAAACACACTCGAACCATTTCTCTTCTTTTTACTCCAGTATACCCCCCCCCCAGCATCCCTCAGATGATAATAGGGACATTTCTCACTCCTCATCTACTGACTCTCCTCGACCTCCAATTTTTTGACGTTGTCCCTTGCTGTAGAGCATTTCCTATCAGAAGAAGGGTGAGTGCGCACTAATAGGACACAGCACATATGCCCTCCACCGTCCTTAGAAAACCCCTTAATTGCAGTGTTATTGTATTTTACTCTTTGGTAGATGTACAAAAAGGGACACGGGTAGTGCTGTGGGTTAAACCACAGAGCCTAGGGCTTCCCGGTCTGCGGTTCGAATCCCCGCGACGAGGTGAGCTCCCATTGCTTGGTCCCTGCTCCTGCCAACCTAGCAGTTCAAAAGCACGTCAAAGTGCAAGTAGATAAATAGGTAGCGCTCCGGCAGGAAGGTAAACAGCATTTCCATTCGCTGCTCTGGTTCGCCAGAAGCGACTTAGTCATGCTGGCCACATGACCCGGAAGCTGTATGCCGGCTCCCTTGGCCAATAAAGCAAGATGAGCGCCGCAACCCCAGAGTCGGCCACGACTGGACCTAATGGTCAGGGGTCCCTTTACCTTTACCTTAGATGTACAAAAAGAAAAACACACACCAATAGATTAATTTTAGAAGGGGGCAAAGTTAGATGTGGATGCACAAAGCATTAAAAAATAAAATCAAGGCTCTTTGTGCTCTGCTCTGCTCTGCTCTGCTCTGCTCCCCGTTTCTTCCAGCCCAGGGCGGCCCTGTCCTATGCCTGCCCCTCAGTCAGCATATCATGCGAGGTTGGGACACGGTGGTGGCAGCCTCTCCTCCTCCTCACCAGCACTCCAGCAGCTGCTATGAGTTGACGGAAGGAGGCCAGCAGGATGCTCCCTCACCACTGCAGCCACCACTGCTTGGGACAAGCGCTGGCTCATCTTCCTCCCCAAGCTCAGCACTGGCGACAGAAATAGGGATATTCCAGGATCAAACCAGAAGCCGGAATGGCCTTCATAATTCTGGGACTGCCCCTGGAAAAATCAGGAGACTTGGAGGGGATGCTTCGGTTCCTCTTACTTTTGTCCATTATTTTCAGACATCTGCAGCAGGATGAAATGTGACATAATTAGAAATGGATGGTGATCTTCACCAGGAATGGGCTTGCTTCAAATAGGTTAATCTCGGCTTGATTCAACATGGGCCCAAAATAAGTTAATATCCGCTAAGTCCCATCTAGAGTGATAGCTTCAGCACACACCTGATTATATTGCTGTGGATGTAATGAGGCCTTAAATCCTCACCCCAGCTCCTTTTCCTTCCCCATAATTTATCTGGGAGCAGCATCTTCAACAGACCTTCAGCCTGTTGGCAGAATCTTGAATAAATATACAGTGGTAACTTGGGTTACATACGCTTCAGGTTACAGACTCCGCTAACCCAGAAATAGTACCTCAGGTTAAGAACTTTGCTTCAGGTTGAGAACAGAAATCGGGCTCCAGGGGCACAGCGGCAGCAGGAGGCCCCATTAGCTAAAGTGGTGCTTCAGGTTAAGAACAGTTTCAGGCTGAGAACGGACCTCCAGAACGAATTAAGTTCTTAACCCGAGGTACCACTGTAGTTCTCATAGATTGACATCTTAGAGGGATCATTAGGAACTAAATCATCTCCTGGTACCACACTTGTGATACTGTCCAAGTGATGCCCAGAAGCATCCCAGGTGTAAGAAAACATGGGAAATGTAGTTCCCATGGGTCTTGAAGATTGTGCTAGCTTGGACATCAGAACCAATGGGAATTAGCTTTCCCATGGATCTTTTATGCAATATATTAAGGCAGCCACCTTGTAAATTTGGACTAGAACGGGAAGGGAAAGGCTTGTGCCAGTCTGAATCCAAGCAAGGCCCATGCATTAGATTAAGACTGAATTTGGGTTTTGTTTTTTGAACTGGGGGAGTTCTTGCTTTTTGCACTCCCCAGTTCCAAACTTCAGCACCGTCACTAGTTGTTTTCACATATGCAACCCCCCCCCCAAAAAACCCCCCACCAGTTTTATTCTTTAAGAGTTATGCAGATAAATATTCTGGCAAGTCAAAGATACAGTATATGAGGAATACAAGAGGTGGAGAGTCATTAAATTTCAGTTGTGTCAGTGAAGTGTTCATGACATGCCAAATGAGAAATGAAAAAAGGCAGATTCCTGTTCAGGGCCTGCAGCATGAGTAACTGGTTAAAGTGTGAAGCTAAAAGGCATACTATTAAGTCAGAGATAAGAAAGGAGTGGATGATCTCTGAGAGAACAATTGTTAGTTCTATTTTTGAAATATTTTCATTAGTCACCTTAGGGAGGAAAGTAGGAGCATCTATCTGAAATCTGCAGATGGTACCAAGTCATTCTTTTGTTTGCTTCTCCCACTCCTACCTTTGTATCTTTCCTCCTGCCATTCTGTCAAGCCTACTCAGCCTTGTCCCAGCCCATGTCCTTGGCACATAGGCCACCTCACCCCGCTATCTCAGTCTCTTGTATACCTCCTAGGGATGAGGGGAGAACTTGAATCCCCTCTTCCATTCCTTTAGCATGGTCTGGGTTTGAGTAGCTCTGCACTCCAGGGGGCAGTGCTTGCCAGTGTGCCAGGGCTCCTCTGTGGACCAACATGGAGGCAAGAATACCCCAAGAGGGCTAGCGAAGTGTGCTGTGACCACAGCAATAATTGCTAAAACAATTTAGAGATATTTGTGGGATGCGCCTGTGTGTAGATGTGGTTGAGTTCATGTTCATGCAAGTAAGCACACCTATCATAGGTCTGGAAGATATACAGGAAGTTACCTTAGACCAAAAGTGTGTTTGTGCATGTATGTCTATGAATTTCTGTGCATTTGTATCCGTGTCCATATGTATTTCTCAAGTAAATATTTATAACCTCTGCCATCCATAGTGCTAGGCACCCCATTGGTTTTTTAAAAATAATAATAAAAAAAAGAACAAGAGAGTACATCTGTGCTATTTTACCTTCCATGGAAGATATGTCTGTACCATGCAATACGCCCCAGAGATTTGCCTTTATTTTAGTCACCCCTTTTATTGCTGAAAAGGGTTATCCAGTTTATCAATCATTACAACAAGTATAAACAAAACCAAATAGATGTTAGAAAAAGACAAAAATAATTTTAAGAAATGACATCAGATCAGATACTAGCGTTTGATATTTCAATTTTGAAAGATACTTAAATTATGAAAAAAAGGAAAATTATGTATAAGATCAATTTAGCCTTATCATGGGGAAATTATGTGCAAAGCAGAAGCGACTATGAAATAATTAACTCAGAATTACAATACAGTGCCTTCATGTCACCTTCCATCAAATAGCATATTGAAACATATTTAAGGGCATTATCTATTACTAGTTTCAGTTTAATAACAAGGCAAAAAAACTGAATTACCATGTTGGATGCTCAAAAAGCATTTGATATTGTAGAGAAGCCTTTGTTAAAAAGCAGTATTAACTACATTTATTTTGAGAACTCAAGTTTGTGAATTAGTTTTCAAGTATTTATGATAGACCCATTCCTAGGATTACTCCAAGTAATAGATGGTCAGAAACAGCATTATTGAAAAGAAGAACATGACAGATTTGTTCCCTTTTGCCAATATTTTTTATTTAGAGTACTAAAATCTGAGCAATAGCAGTAAGAACTAATTAAAGGGATGCCTCTTAGAAATAAAGAAAATTAACATTAAATGTTGGTGATAGGGTGTTAATGCTATCAGATCCAGTGCTTTTTAAAAAAGTATAGCTAGATTTCCAGTAGTTAAATAAATTAAAGTAGGACATTTTGGGAATAATCATAATACCAGTCTTTAAAGTTATAGCTTTTTGTAAAAACCCTTGGAAGAAGAAAGTTAATTATTTCTATGTATTACTTAGCAGTAGACGTTAAAGAATTTTCTTTGAATTATTTGTGAATCAAAGAGATTGCAACCAAGAACAGCAAGAATTGACTGTAATTCTAAATTGTTTTTGTTTTTACATTATGAATAAATATACCCAAATAAAGGAGAAAATGATAAAGGTATACATTAACAGGATTAAAAGATCTGGACTTGCATGCAAGATTCTATATCAAAACAAGCAAAGGCTCCCTAAATCTGTTGTGGTCTCCTCCCAACCCTCTGGATCAGATCTGGGGAGGGTGCAGGGTACATGGGGCTTAAGCAGGGTGAGTTCCATTGCACAAGTATAAATCCTTGCACTGACAGAAGAAACTAGTTGGATAATACCCTTAGAGATTCCTTTTATAGACATTCATATGATTCAGTAAAAAACAATGGCAAGTAAATGTCTTGGCTAATCCTGTAATTCATTTCTTTTATACACGTTGGAAAATGATCCAGATTAAGTACTGTTATTGTCTCATATGCATCCTCCTAGTTTAATGATTAGGTTCAAAATTTTAGATTTGATCCAGTTCAAGATCACAGTATATGTTTAAACCTGACAATTGTGTTAGTTCTTAAAATAGAATAGAATACTTTCTACTATGTATAGATATGAATAAAAATTGAGGACAATTTTTTGTTTGAAAATGTTTATTATAGCATATATTTAGTTATTTATAGTGCAACTCCATGCATGTCTTATCAGAAGAAAGTCCCATTGAGTTAAATGGAACTTACTCCCAGGTAAATTATTGGAGTTCATCCTTAGTGAGCAATGTTGGAATACAGTGGTACCTCTAGCTGCGGACTTAATCTGTTTCGGGGTGCTCTTCGCACCCCGAAAAGTCTGCAACTAGAGCGCCTCTTCCGCGCATGTGCGATCGAGCGCTTCTGCACATGCGCGAGGTGCGCAGATCACTTCTGTGCATGTGCGCGTGGCGAACCCAAAGTAAACACTTCCAGGTTTGCCGCATTCATAAGTTGAAAGTCCATAACAAGAGCGGAACGCAACTAGAGGTACCACTGTACACTGGAACTTGGTTTGAAAAATTGTTAAGTGTACTTACAAGATACCATCTAAGGTATACAGTACTTGGTTTAATGGTAGAATGGGGAAGGGAAAATGAAAATGCATTTACGGAAAAGGTCAAAGTATTGTGAAACAGAAATAAACGGAGAGCCATAGGTTTGAGCCATGAATTTTTCTGGGTGACTGAAATATAAAACACTGAATGGAGCAGGCCAGTTTTTCCACAGACAACATGAAAAGAAAAGTGCCTGTACATTTTGCTTCATATATCAGACGCTACAAATAAATGCTAGAAACGTACCTGTTTAAAAATGATAGCTGGGGATCTGGAGAACATTGTTTTTTATTGGGGTGGGGGTGTCCCTACCCTGCTGAACACCCATGCGGAGAACTGTATTTCTGAAAGAACTCCACTTTTCAATTTCAAAGGCACTGATGGAAAAATCATTTTATATTTTTGTATAATTGTTATAACTTCCCATCAGCAGAGTTGCTGCGGTTTGTTGGAAGGAGAAACTGCTTCTTGTTTTTTAATTTTTGTATAGTAGTATGGAGGCAAAAGCTGATCATAAAAAGTGAAATTCGCATCAAATGTGAATTTCAGTGGTATCACAGAATTCTGGTTCTTTCACATTATAGTATGCTGTGTGAAATGAAGCATAGCTCATTCTGCCTATCTAGTAGCTATCCTGGGAGTTCTCATCTGACAGGCACAACTGGAGGCAAAAAATAGTGGTAAGTGCTCAAGTGGACAATTCTTATACTTAGAAGGGGGTATTATTTGAATATTATGAGATTGTTTAACTTTCTCTTTTAAACCACTGCATTGCCAGGAACAACTTTGAATAATAGCAGTTTGATACAAAAAGACACAGCAGTAAATTATAAATAGTAAATTGTATTAGACTACAGTTGAATATAAAAACATTTATAGAATTAAAGGCTCAGTTGTACCAATCCTTCAATACAAAGTACAGTGACATTACTGACTTTCCAATAGATAGAACACTGTTCTCTAAGTATCTGCAGCTATACTTGCAATAAATGTTATGAATTCGGGTAAATATTATTTTGACTACTTATTTGCAAGAGTAAATAAATATACTGTTTATGGAATACTGTTATAGTTGCTAAAGCCCAGAGTGCAATGCACTAATAGCTGAATTGTGTCAGTAGTATTAGTGCCACTTTTCATAAAATAGCAACTTCTTTGCTTGAGAGCACCTCCATATTTTAAGTATTCAGTGGAAAAGTTGTATTAAGTGGGAAAATACATGTAAGACATGATCTCAATCAGAAAATGGGACAAATTAAAACACTGAAATGAAATGAAATGAAAACAAAGGATAGACACACTTACTTCATTTGGGCCCACAGAAACTGAAGGCAAGAAATGTCCATCTAGGTGAAGATGGATTTGCGCATAAGCAGGTTATGGAAACAACAGAGGAAGCCACACGGTTGACCCAAAGGTCATGATCAAGCACCCCTGTGAGAGTTTTTGTTTCAGCCACCTTTTGAGGCAAACTTGGGAAATCGAAATGCAAATCTCTATTTTGAAAAGGGGCCATGGATTCTGCATAAACTATCCCTTACAATATTCTATAAAATCATGTGACAGTTTCTTAGGATGTTGAACCAAACTCTAAACTACATGAAATAAACAAAGTGAGATAAACAAAGAAAGTGGTGCAGTCATGAAATGTGGACAGGAATAATATATTAACCTGTTTCAGCAGAGTAAATAATAAATTGGATCTGACGGAGGGGAAGATGGCAGAGATACCAGTTCATTCTACATGGTACCGCTGGATCCAAAGTCACTAGTTAAATCTAATAAAAAAAGTAAGTCAGGGTGTTGCTTTAGTAGAAAAGTTAACTTGTAAAAAAACCCCAAAAACCCCAGAGGAAGTCATTGACAGCATACCTATTTTATCAAGAGATGAGGTTGCCATAAATGTTATTTTTCAAAAGTCCAATTAAACAAGCCAAAAAAGAAGAAAGGTGGTGTATCCACAGATAATAGGAATCCACCAGCAGAATGGGGAGGGAGGCAATTTTTATTTATCAAATTATTTATCTCCCAAAGGAGTCCAAGGTGGCATTTTTGGAGATCTGCCACTGGTCCCACCCCTGGTCCATTCCTCTGACAGACTCCTTCCATCAGCACATGGCTGCCACTGAAGACTACCCATAATGTTCAGCGTAGCTGGTGTGCCTTAATTCTGCAACTTCTACTGTGAATTACGGACTGCAACTTGGTTTATTCAAGGTGCGATTGGCTGTTGCTTTGCTGTTCAGCATTGCCTCTACCGTTATGATTTTGTTTAAGAACTGAGCTAGTGTGCTACAGCACTGAGGCACCAGCTCAAAGGCCAGAATGTGGGCTTGCTGTTGTCCCTTACGATGCTGCCAGGACAAAGTGGGACAGTAGAGTGGCAGCTGCCTTTGGTCAGGCAAGAAGCAAGTAGGTGTGTGAGCCTATTTTCCTGTGTATCTTTTCCTGGGAAGTGGAGCAAAGCTTCACTTGCCATGCAGTTAGGCTTTGCCTGCACTGGCAATAGTGTTGCTGCTGCAACTGTTAAAGAGAAACTGTTTGGTAATATCTTATTTCTTCATTATAATTAATAATTACGTTTCCTATACAACTCAAGAGTTGCCAAAAAGCAGAAATAGCTGGAAATTTAAAGCTGTATCTGTTCTCCAACAGTGATCCTTATGAGAAATCTGTCTTTGACTTTTGAAAAATAGCATGAAAAGCTACCTTAACTCTTAACAAAACACAGCATTCTTGTCAATACGCATGCTGTATAGACCAATATTTAATGTATACTTAGCTACATGTACATCCTTGTTAACACACAACACATTCAAATGTCTTTAAATTAAATGCCACAGTTTGAAAATCATTTGTATTTGATACCTGATTTGTCAAGATAGTAAAAAAATTACAACGTAAGTGATCTGTCATACATGTGTACAACCAATGTTTTTACACACAAACCCACACACCCCATGCTACCAGTTTTCCAACTGGAAATGAATAGATTGGAATGAATCTGGTACAAATCTGAAAACGATGGCAGCGTTTAGTTAAATTAATAAACTCATGAAACATTTACAAGTACTATGTTAGGGGCAGCTATGAAGAGCCTTTCTTCTTCTGTTCCAGCTCTTGCAGACGCTCTTCTCTGAACTGGGCATGTTGTGTCCCTACTTTATGAGCAGTCTCTGTCGCTGTAATGTCAATCTGGGCATATTTAGTTGATCCACTCCCTATGGCAAAAAACATTGCCATGGTTATAACATCTTCATGTACTTTCACCTAAGATAATTAGGTAAGAATACAATAATACTCAGTTTGATATCACACACAGCACAAATAATAATACCCACACCAGAACTTAAAAGCTATAATCTTTGTTACTGGAAAACATAGCATCAAGAAACAGTTAAGCTCTTGTAGCTCAGAATCCAAACAAACAAGTGGAACCTACAACATAATGTTGCAGTGTATCAGCACTTCTGTGGGAATGTTCAGGGATGCAGGAGAGGATATATTGCTTGATTATATCCTTTCCAACTTGTGTTAACAAGTTCTACAATTTAGCAGAGTAACATTCCCCTTTTTAAACTTGCACAGCGGATGCGTTTGCTCAGGCTCGCTAAAGCCTCTAAAATAGGGTACCTGGTAATTTCCCTTTTAGTCCCTCATAAAAGAAATAGACACAATACAGTCTTCTATAAAAGTATAAAAGAGTTTACTCACTCACATTCTGTTCACAGATGGATCCCAGAAGGCATACTTAAGTTATAAAAGTAATATACCTGGAATCTATCCCATAAAGAGATAGTCCCTTTGTCCTCTCTTGGCTGGAAGCCAAGGGAGCATCTTAGGCTAAAAGCAGATGTTGCTTCTTTGACGAATGTAGTCAGAGAGAGAGAGAGAGAGAGATGGTGGCCAGTCCTATGCTTTTGTTCCTGCACAGGTGAGGCCATGCCCACCTCTGGTCACATGTAGAGAAAGCCTGTCCCAGCCTAGGAGGAAACAGGAAATTCCGACTGGCTGGTCCAGACATCCCCTTTTTATGTCCACTCTAGGGATGTTGTACTTGACTGCTCTGTGTTTCACATCCCACAACTTCCCCATTAGTAGTGCTCCTGCTCAGGACCATCTTTCCTTCCACATCGTTTTCCTGCTGGAAAGATGCTTGTCTTCACGAAGCAGACCCAGATGGGCTGCTCTGTACCCAATGGGAAGATGGAGAGCATCTCATCCTCCTGGACACTAGTTTGCTAGGGTAGATGGGGCACTGCCCCACAATCAGCTGCCGCCTGTTTGTTTTTGCACTACCAACCAGTCCAGGAAGTATCACTACTTGTCACTTTCCTTCTCCTTAATCTCAACCAGTCCAGGAAGTATCACTACTTGTCACTTTCCTTCTCCTTAATCTCAGCATTGCCCCTGTAGGGATGGAGAAAAAGCTGGAGCTGGTTTGGACTGCCAGCCATGGGTTCTGTTGGTCTCTTTGTCTTCCACGCTGCCAGCCCTAATGAGTATCAGCAACCGCTGCTTCCTCCCTAGCGAAGGAGTTGTAAAAGGTTCTGAAAATATGCAGCTGCAGAACCCTATTGTAGGAATGCACTTTTTAAGTACCAAAATTGAATCCACCAGAGCTATTTCCTTCCTCTCTTCAGTTACTTCCTTCCAACCTTTCTTCCTTCGTCCCTGCCACATCTGATGAGCTGACCACCCTATAATCCTGACCTAACCTGTGTTTTCCTGGCTTCCAGCTACCATCAACTGTGCTCTTTTCCACATTGTCATTTTTAAATTAATTTTATTAAAGGTTTTCAACCTAATATATACCATAAAATTCCAATTAAACTAAAAATAATAATAGAAAACAACATACCAAACAGAAAAAAAACTAAACAGAAAAGTAAAATAAAGCACACTATCAAACTCCTCTCCTCTGGCTCCTTCCCATTCGTATTCAAACATATCAAATATCTTGGCCTCTACTCAGTCCTCAGTTCTCCGATTCCTCAACATTTTTGCTCCCTTAGATATGGGTCACATCCAGAATGTCACTATTCTGTAGGAGGGATTTCACTGCATATCAGAAATGAAGGTTTGCTCAATTAAAGTGCTGTGTTGTTCTGGGCCCAACAAATACACTTTTTAAAAAACAATTTTTTGTGTATAGCAAAGTAGCAGGGAAATGCATTAAAAAGTGTGGGATAATGGTTGACTGATGCGAAGATGTATAACTTCTGCACAAGCAAATAATGAATTTAAAGAAGATATTGTATCATATATTATACTACTACTACTACTACTACTACTATTATTAATTAAATTTGTATACCTCCCTATACCCGCAGGTCTCAGGGTGTAAGCTTTGTGCAACCAAATCAGGATGCTCCATGAACAGATAATTCAGAAGAGCCAACAGTTGATCACCCCCTCATTTCCCTTGATCACTGTGATTCTGTCCTCAAATGGTTATCTTCCTACTTGTCTAATTACTTCTCCAATATCTCCTTAGGGGGGACGCTTCTGCTACTCTCCAGTGAGCTTCTTAAGAGTTCCGCGCTATTCTCTCTAAATACTTTGTGCCAGGGTAGTATGGCTTCCAAGAGCACCTACCCACTGCTGACAGACAGCTCTACACCCTTGTGCAAATTAATTGAAACAAAGCATGTTTTCTATCTTACTCGTAATCCTGTACTCAAAACAAACACGAAAAGTCAGTTGATCATTATGGTGTCAGAAGCCTGCAGCCTATAGAAGGAATGATGCGCTCGCCACAATATATTGAGGTTCTGCGAAAGAGAGTTATTCCAGAGCTGGAAAAGAGGTATCCTGACAGTACTGGGATATTGCAGCAGGACCTAGCCCCCTGTCACACATTGAAAGTGGTAAAGAAATTCATGACAGAGCAGCAAATAAATAGTTGGAGATTGTATATTACTTGAAATCAAAGAGAAAAAATAAAGCATGTAGCAATAGTGCATCGGAGCTAACAAGTACCCAATAACCAGCGGTAATTGGTGCATCTGTAAAAGGGGACCATGCCACAGTGTAGCTTTGCAAAAGCCCCTTTAGGTCCCTGGAACAGCCTAAAATGTTATGCAAAAACAACAGAAAAATGCTTCAGTTGCTTTCAAAGATATTTTACCTCTTATGCTTGTACTAGGTTCCTGAAGTTCCAACTCCATGTAATGAAGCTGTTTCTTTGATGTGGGGCTGGTAGGAATATTAACATAGGTTGCCATTTCACCATGCAATCGATCAGCCATTGGCAGGTCTGCTGAATAACCTACTGCCCCTGCCATGAGAAGGAACATGCTTTTAAAAGATACATTAACTTAAGCCCCCTGAAGAAGTAAAAAGACATCAACTTGGGTGTAAGGCAAGAAGGGAAATCTTTGAATTCATGCACTCATGGAGTTCTCCTGCTTAAAAGCCCCCCACCCTGTTCATTTCAGCATAGGAAAGTACACCTTTGCATTTACAGTGGAAGTTTAAAAAAATGCAAATAGCATCAGCTGGATGGGGGGGCAATGATAATGATCAGGACTGCAGCAGCTGGGGGTGGGGAATATAACCCTATCCTCCCCTGTTTTGTTCTGAGGGACATTCCTTCCTCTGAAGCTTGTGTTTTCATTGAGAGGAAATTACCCAGTAAAGGGCAGTGGAATAACTTACGAATAAAAGAACTTCTACAGATTCTCCACAAAGATTATATTGATATACATGCTTAGAAATGAGGAAAAGAGGACTGGGCAAGGCAAAGGTCTGATTAAAGTTGGGTATTCTATGGAAAACAAAACTCTCTTGGGGTGAGGTATGCTTTGTAATACTCCAGGGAACCCTCCCTATATGTTCATGGCTTTTTCATTTAGGAAGTAGCTCACGTTGTTCCTCCAGCAAGTGCCTGCTTGGGCCCTAATCATATCCCCAGTGCTTTTTTTCGAGAAAAAGAGGTGCCAGAACTCACCATGAACACCTCCCTCGTTCTCTTATAATTGCAACGGCACACACCTGAGAGGTGCTGGAACTGAGTTTCTGCATATCCCCCATTAAGAGTTTGTCCGACGCCTTGTGTCATTCGGAGTGTTCCCTCGCCACCCATTGAACTGAATCTGTCTGCCTATTCATATGAAATCACCACCAGTCTGTGTACTCTGCTGCAAGTCAGTTTACTCACCAGCTTCTTCAGGATCAGATGGAGCGCCAGACTCTGTAGGTGGCATCATAAATTCATAGCTTCCTTTAGGACCTAGAGCATACAGAAATCTATACATTAATATTTTTTTGGAAGCCGCCCAGAGTGGGCGGGGTATAAATAATAAATTATTATTATTATTATTATTATTATTATTATTATTATTCCAATTTTAAACAACAATATGGACAGTAATAATAACGCACATGTCTCAATTCTTTAAGTTTCCTTGCAAAGGATTAAAAAATGTGGCTCAGTCAAGAAATATGGAGATTATCTAGGAAGTATTATATGCTTCTAAGAACACTTTGAAGGGAATAAATACTACCACCGTTTGAAGAGTTTGCACCGTGCGCTAATCGGTCATGGTGCATGGGGTTCGGGAGTGCTGTGATACTTGCAACCTTCCCAGAGTCTTTTAAGACAGTCTACCTAACTGAATGACAGTAATAGCAGACACATCTGATTATAAATGGTACAGCTCCACAGAAGGACTAGTTCACCTCAATTTTATGTGAGGGGACACCTGGAAAATCAAAACTGTTAAACCTATCAAACTTGAGAGAAAAGTTTGTCACGGTACTTTTTACAATTTCTACAAGGGAACAGTTGCTTTCCCATATGGTGCAATCTGCACTTCAGGATCGGTACCACATAAGATGGACATAAAAATGAACTCGAGAAGATCATCTGTAAACAGGATTTTCTTATCTTTCATGGAGCTTACTCCTCATTAAACTTCATTTTCTTAAATAATTCAAACATATTAATTCATCACAGGAACTCCAAGGACCGAGAACTACAGCAAACATTGCTTTGACCATGGGGATCCTACCAAAACCATTATTCCTGTGATGCACTTCCTCACAAAAGGTCTTCCAACTTGCAGTTTAAATGCAAAGATTACTGCCTGTGACTTTCCACACACACAGCCCTTCCTATCTGAATAGAAAAATAAAGCATAACTATCTATCTCATCAAAAATACTGAGTACTTGCTTCTTTGACCTAGGTTTGTTTGAGGAAATTGCCTCTCCAAATACTATGCCTATCTACTTGTAAAGTTTGTCCTTTATATGCTTTCAGGGACCAAAACACTATCCTAGAAGCACCACCTGTTTTTAAAAAATCTCCAACTTAATACTAAAAATCTTTAGCTACATTTATGGTTCTATTGTGCCCAGTTGCTCAAAATAAATTGCTTTGTAGAGATATTCGTGGCAGTGGGGCAGTAATAGATAAATCAATTCCCTGTTTCTTCTTCCTACTACTATTCCCCCCACCTTTGGAGTCACTGAGAGATGAAGTCATTATTCCATTGACTTTGCTTTGAACAAAAATTCTGCAAATGCTTCCTAAAGCTAATTCAGCTGATGAAAGGAATCAGTTAAAAGCTTTTTCTATTTCCTATTGCAGCCTTTCTGATATCCATTAGATATCATTAACACTAAAAATATAACACAACTGACCACAATATAACAACTGCACATGACTAGTAGCCAAGGACAACAAAATTAGATATGTATTCCCACTTGCATGACAACAGAAATGGAATAGCCATCTCCAACCAAGTAACATAATGTCAACAGGAATTATTTTAATTGGCCTTGCACCTAGATGCACATTGTTATGTGATAATAATCATTATTAATTTGTAAGAACAGATTACATATAGAAATGAACATAAAGTCAAAAGATTATTTGAAACCTATTTTTCCAAAAAATAAAAAATTGATTGATTTGGTTCTTAAGTAACTTCTGGAAAAATAGGTCAGCTTGGGTCAAGAAGGCTAATGCCTTCAGATGTGTATTGGATTTCAATCCTCATATTTACTTCCAAGTCCTGCATGGCAGAAGCTCATGCCAGAGAAGACAAAGGTGATTCTGGCGGGATCTCTTTGGACTCTGGAGAGTTTGATTTGGCCCAGGAGGCAGAGGTTGGTTTGGCTGCAACTGACAGGGCTGTTATTTCCTCATCTTTGGAGGTAGAGTAACTAGGAATGCTTATTGAAAGTAGTTGAGGGGGTTTTGCTATGTCTGACTATTGTAATGCTCTCTGTCTTGGACCTTGTTGACTTTGAAGACAAACTAGAACCTTCAACTAGTGGGAAATGTGGGCACACAGAGATCCACAACCAAAAACTTGTCGGTTGGTTTCTATGGAGGAGGTTGTTTGCATGTACCATGCTGTTTCCTCTACTGAAATGAATGCCGGCGCCCATAGAAGCAGGATCTGATGGCACACATGACTCGTAAGGAAAATATACCTGATATGAAGCAAAGTTATAGGGGTGGGGATGGGAAGGAAAGAACAGGAGGGAGCTTTTGTTTTGTGTGCATGTACATACTTGCCCTAACCCACAAAGAAAGAGGATTAGGGCTCAAAGACCAGGTAAATATAGGTAGCTGTAAAATCAGCACAGTGTGAGGGATGGCACACATGAGCTTACAATTCTTTTTGATACAGAGTGAATTTATTAATACTTTGCTCTCCTTAAGCTTAAGACTTGTTTTTCTTTTAAGTCCAAGAATAAATATTGCAGTCCTGTGGATTGGGACCTTAACTTGTAATTTCATTTCCCTGAGTACTGAAATCAACAGGTGTCAACATCTAGCAAAAATCTCATTGCCTCTTACCTGGGCTGGCTGGTAAAATTCCAGATGATAAAATAGACGTTTCCTTTTTTAAAAAAACAGAGAGAGAGAGAGAGAGAGAGAGAGAGAGAGAGAGAGAGAGAGAGAAACAGATGCATTATCATGAATGAGTTTCTTGCAAACTTAACACTGAAATTTTTCACCTGATAAACTGTTCTCAAAACTATTTTCAATTTAATCTTGTTGATAAAAGTTCCAAGGAACTGCATAATAAATTCACCTTGTTTGAATGAGCTCAAATCCTGTCAGTCCAGCTCTCAATATTGTTTGTGAATAATTTTACAAGTACATTTGAAATGATTAATCCTTTATGCATATGTAAATGATTATATATATGCAACAGATGAACACTTTATGCTGAAATTGACCTCCATATGAACTAGAAGATCATCACTATTAAATTAAAAAAACAGATCAATCCTAACTATAGGAATCCAGCAGAACTTAACACTGCCTTGAGTTAAGCAGGCATAAGTTACTCCTTTCCCAAACTCTGTCCAGCTAGTGCTTGCTGAGCTGTCCTGAGCCTGGCAGAGGGAAAACAAGACTTTAAAAGAAGGCTTTGACTTACATTATCATTTTTGCTGGTGTAAGTTCAACTGGGTTGCTAGGTCACATGGCTGAGCTGAAAGGCGTTTGGAATAGGTACAAGTCTGCCCCTGTCCTGCCCTACCCCATTGCTGCACCCCCAGAACAACCCCTTTGGGGGACTTACCATGGTCAGCCAACTTAAGCTGAGCTCAAGGAGGAATTGCCCTGGCTTCCACAAATGTGGAAAAGGCAAGGGATGGGTTTCCATATAATGTGAAGAAAGAATCTGGTTTGTCTTCTCCTCAATGCAGCAAAAGCAGGGGCCGAGGAGGAGCAAATCAGGCATTATTGATCAGCATGCACCAGCAGGCTGTTCATTCAACATTAAACTACAATATCTTTTAGCAAGGGGCTGGTAGAGAGAGGCCCCCTTTGGCACTGGCACCTTGGCTGCAGAGTGCTGTCCCCAGAGAGGCTCACTTGGCACCTACTTTAGAGTTTTTTGTGGCAGGCACAAACCTTTTTAATTTCTTCAATTTCTTTAAATTAATCTTAAATCTTTTAAATTCTGTTGAAGCCTGATGTTTTATTCTTCTGTAAGTGACCGGTGCATTTTAATAGTTTACTGACATTGCAAGCTGCCCAAGAAAGTTGTTATCATGAGATATAGAAATGTAATGAATCAATCAATCCCACTAGCCACTAACCCCTGCTTCTGGAAAGTTCAGGACACTACTGAATTTCTTGGTTTATGGTTACATGCAGACCAGCGCCCTGCAAGTAGGCCCACACTGCTAAATGGAGAAAAAGCAAGCCTAGTATATATTTCTGTATTGTCTCAGCCCTGGAATATGTGCAGCAATAAAGAAGTAAGCCTCTGCTGCATGCTTGCTCCCTCATCACTGAGAAACATAAAGCAGCCGCCACACAGCAGATATGAGGGACAAATGACTTGAAGCCAAAGAGTAGGACCAAATCCTCATAAGAACAGGAAAGTAATTGTGGCATCCCAGCAATCAAAGTTCATCTGTCTAGCATTCTGTTATCAACAGTGACCATTCAGAAATTCCAGGGTGGTTTGCAAGCCAGGCATGACACAACAGCTCTCCTATTGATTTTCCTTACAACAGGTATTCTGAACATGTGCTGATTTAGAAATCACGCTAAGCACTTAATTTCTAACGTGGCACATTTTCAGAGATACTAGTCCTCCCATTTGCCCATCTCAGGCCTTGGCAAATTCTGAAAGAGGACTGGTCAATTTGCCTAACACTTTTTGCACCACTGCCCTATTATTAGAAAAGCTAAAATTACAGTGGCATCCCAAACTTCCCCCTTCTCAATGGTCTCTGTCTGGAGGCCTTTGGAAGCAACCAGTCAGTCAAGAAGTCGCCAGGAACAGCAGGGGGAAATGACACAAGCAAGACTGTGACAGCTGAGTAAGATCATTATATTTAAAGTTCCTCAGTTATGGTACTTCATATATTCTTAACCAGCACAGTAACCAGACTCTGAATTATATATATGAATGACCCATGATGTTTACTCAATACTTTATAGTGTACTTGGCCCAACTTTTTTCATGCTCCCCCAACCTGTTGCAATAAACTTTTCACTAGTATAAGTACCATGTTTTGTCTCATTTTCAGGCCACATTCAAGGAGCTAAAATGCCAGAGCAATAAGGCATGGTTACATTGTGGAGCTGCTCACCTAAAGATTTTGCAGAGACAAAGAACTGAATCACTTTTGTTTAAAAGGATGAAACTTTCCACTTGAACATCTAGATATAGCAAGTGGTACAATAACACTAATGCCTTGGGCTAGGGGCCCGATGGCTCCCAGGCAGCATGCAACGCTAGGCCCAGTTTCAAAGTCAAGGTGGCACAGAGAGCGAGCGAGCTCTAAAATGCTGCAAATACCGCTCATTTTTGGCTCTGGCTTGGCCCACCATCAGTTATAGCCCTTGACTGGCTTTTCCAGAGGGTAATAGAATCATAGCACCAGAGCTGGAAGGAACCCCCAAGGGACCCCTGCAATGCAGGAATCCTGCCCACAGCTGTCGCTGGGGGGGCTCAAACCACCAACCTTCTGGTTAACAGCGAGACACACTGACCTATTGCACCACTGACCAGTGGCGGAGCTTCATGCTCCGGCACCGGGGGGCGAAGAGCAGGCAGGGGCATGGCTGGCGCGCATCCCGGGGGCATGGTGCGCCACCCGCAGGGGCATGTTGTGCATCCTGGGGGCGTGGCGCACCACCCGCAGGGGCATGGTGTGTCCTGGGAGCATGGCACGCCGCCTGCGGGGGTGTGGCACCCAGTGCGGGCAGGGGGGCAGCCGCGATGGCACCCCACCAGGATCGTGCTGCCGGGGGCGGTGCACTCCCCCCGCACTCCTCTTCCTCCGCCAGTGCCATTGACCCTTTATAGAGAAAAGGTTCCCACTCCTGGACTAGGGGCAATCTTCAGTTGAATTACGAGCTGGCTGGCAGGAACCATACCCTAAGACAGGCCATCTCAGAATGGCCCAACACAATTTATTTTAATAAAAGTCTGAACATATGTTCAGTTATTTCTGATGGAACAAACTGATTCCTCCTACAGACTTAATAGTTGTCTTCAGGAACATTTGGCCCTCCAAAATGGGAAAAGAATCATTGGCACTTGTCTGTCTCAATAGACAGTGGAGCGTACCTCCAGGGGTGAAGCCAAACAACCGTGTTAGCAGCACTAAGGTGAGCTCTCCGGGGCACAAGCCCAGGCAGTGTGTATGACTGCTCAGATGACAAGACCAAAGGCAAGCAGAGCAATCCATTTGGCCCCAGCTTGGCTGCAGGAGTTGCTGGAAGGAGGCGTGCAAGGTGCCCTCCACATAGTCCTGGGACAAGGTATGAAGGCTGAAGCTCAGCAAACCTGGGCTGGTCAATGTCTGCATGGGAAATCACCCAGTAACCTTAAGCATGACACCCTGAATGCAATGGAACGAAAGGTTGGATATAAATGTAATGAATAAAATAACATTTACCTGTTGTTGTTAATGTTTTCCTGACGGGAACTGATTTCAGCTACCATTGGCACATATATAGTAGCATTTATCCGCCCATAAAATGCACACAATTCTACAAACAAGACTAGCATGTGCTCAGAACAATGATTTACCTTTAGCCCTCCACAGACCGGGCAAGGTGAAAAGAAAGCTCGAGTTGTCCCAGAAGGAGAGCTACACAGTTCACACGGGCTGCTGGAGACCCCAACGAATGTTGCCACATCAGTACTTCTAGAATCTAACAATTGTGCTTGTTGTCTTATATGTGACCACCTTGAAACAAAATCTATGCTTGCCTCAAGTGATGAGTCTTTGGCATGTTCCTGGGGGACAGCTGCTTGCATGCCCCCTTCCCCTCTGTGCTCAGGAGAAGCTTCTGCTTCCAGATGCGGCAATGGCAGTTTGAGGTCACTAATTTCTTGAGATGATTCACCCTTGGATAATGAGGAATCTGAACTTGAACTTTGTGTGTCTTTAGCAGCTACCTGTAGCAAACTCCTGGGTGTGTCATAGGCGTGTCTAAGGGAACTGGGAACTTGGTACTCCAGGCCAGGGCTCCTCAGGTGATCACCTGGTGGACAAGTGCATATACTCTGGTCTGAAGGGAGGTTCAGCGGCAGACTCAACAATGATCCAAATTCATCACCACGGCAAATGTCCAGGCTCCCAGCATATGAGGAAAAACTTCCTGAGTAAGAAGAATGACTCCCAGTAGCTATCCCACTATCAGAAGAACTTTGGCGGCCTATTTCTTGCAGTTGTCTGGATCGAAGCAGCTTAGGAGGTGGTTTGGTGATGCTGCGGACACCTTCTGAATGGGCCTTCTCCTCCCCAAGATGAATTCCCTTTGCTGCAGGCAATCCATGACTTTCTTGAGAAGTACTGGCTGAAGACTGGTCTGCCCAAATAGTCAATCTGCTCCCAATGCTAGCATCAGAATGGCTTGTGTCCGAAGATGAACTTGATAAGCTTCTGTCATCACCTAGGATGAAAGAAAGGAGATTGATGATTCAAGTGGAAATGGCTGAACTATAAAGAAAGATGATAGCTGGGTTATCAGCCATACTTCTGACTTTGACAGTTCAGGGAGTTCTAGATCACTACATCTGTGAGGGGAGTAACACTCAATTTAGAGAAACCAAGTCCCTTGGCTGCATTAGGGATTTTCCAGTGGGAAACTTCCTAGTGCAGCCAGTTCCAGAACGGGACCCTGTCAGCATCATCCGGCTGATTGACACTGACAAGGAGCCCCACTTGCAAAGGAACCGCCAGAAGCTCACACAAAGCTTCCAGTTGTCCCTTTGAAGCCCTGTCTCTACCTGCCCCAGCCCAACATCATATGTGACATCAGGTGTGGACAAAATTATGATTCATGCCAAACCTAATTAGGCCACTAGGCCAGAGGTACCCCACAACTGCTACAGGAGAATGAAGAACGGCAAATATACCCAATGACAAATTTCATCTCATCATCTCTCTAGTCTAAAGCCATGGCCTAGATGTGACTTTAGCTTTAGCTATTTTGAGGAGTCTAAGAGCTCGTCCCAGGGATGCAGGTGGTGCTGTGGTTTAAACCACTGAGCCTCTTGGGCTTGCCGATCAGAAGGTCGGCAGTTCGAATCCCTGCAACAGGGTGAGCTCCCATTGCTTGGTCCCAGCTCCTGCCAACCTAGCAGTTCAAAAGCACATCCAAAAGTGCAAGTAGATAAATAGTTACTGCTCCGGCGGGAAGGTAAACGGCGTTTCCTTGCACTGCTCTGGTTTCAGTGTTCCATTGCGCCAGAAGCGGCTTAGTCATGCTGGCCACATGACCCGGAAAAACTGTCTGCGGACAAACGCCGGCTCCCTCGGCCTGTAAAGCGAGATGAGCGCCACAACCCCAGAGTCGTCTGCGACTGGACATAACTGTCAGAGGTCCTTTACCTTTTAAGGGCTCATCCGCACTTCCGCTTGTGTGATGCCTAGAAAACACATGTCCAAGGGCTTTCACCCTTGCCCGGCTGCTCCTTTCCAAAGTAAAACCTGCTCTCGCAAGAGATCAGAACAAATGGCAACCTGGGGGAAACCCAAATTCCCATTTGCTCTGACTGAGTGCTTTCCATGGGGGAAAGATGTGGGGAACAGGAAGTGCGGAAAAGCCCTTTATTGGGTAAGGGGACACCACTTGAGGGCACATTCACTCCCTGGCCAGCTTCTAGGGGCTTGAAAGCCTGCAGTGGGTGAGATCAATGAGAGAGAAACACCCCATGGAGAGTCCTCCCTTTTTCCAATAGCACAGAAACACGGTGACCTGCCCATGAGGAAAGAGAGCAACCCCCTCCTCTGTGGGCAGCCATGCCCCCCCCCCCTTTCCCACTTGTTCTTGCAAATCAGTGGAGCAGCAGCAGGTGGGGAGACATCACAAACAGGGGCGGTGGAAATTTCATGCCTCCCACAATCTGGTACTGCTGCTCAGGGGGAAGTGGCTGTTCAGCCTTGGAACCAGGGCTGCAGAAGGCGAGGGGCCTCAGAGGCTGTGGGGCCCGGGAAAAGTGGTTGGTGAGTCAGCTGGAGAGGCCTTGGGGCCCCCGTGCCACCACCCCTTATGTCAGAGGCCTGAGAAAACAGGATCAAATGCCCAGGTGGATGATGTACTTTGTCCTTACCTGCACTCCCATGATAACTTGTATGGGACAGAAGGCTGAGTCGCTTCTCTAACTGCAAAGCTTCATGGGCCACTCTCTCTTCCGTGCATGCAGGATTTATGCTGGGGTCTTTAAAAAATCAAAACCAAAGTAACAAATCACAACTGAGGCCTAGCTGTAAAAAAAAAAATGCTTCCACTTTAATAGTCTAAGTAGAGCACCTGGAGCAAGCATCAAGGCTGCCTGCGAACCTTAAACATGAGCACTTTGTTGCTTTATAGTCAAGGTACTGGAGTTCTGTTCTTTCCTGCCACCCAAAATCTTTACACATAGCATCAGAAGGGGAGGTTTTTAATATCAGCTGCTAATAACTCCCTCCAGGAATGGTACCTCGGGTTACAGACGCTTCAGGTTACAGACGCTTCAGGTTACAGACTCTAACCCAGAAATAGTACCTTGGGTTAAGAACTTTGCTTCAGAATGAGAACAGAAATTGTGCGGCGGCAGCAGCCAGAGGCCCCATTAGCTAAAATGGTACCTCAGATTAAGAACAGTTTCAGGTTAAGAACGGACCTCCAGAACGAATTAAGTTCTTAACCCGAGGTACCACTGTAAAATGATAAATTCATAATTCCTTCTTGGCAAACAATACTTGTTCTTCCATTTTCCAGTCAGGAATTTCAGTAATTATTACAGTTAATACATTTGTAAAAATATATTTGAATAGCTAGACATCAATGCTATTTTCACCATTTATCAGATATTACTTTCCCTTCAGTGACAACCATGCCCTCATTTAATCTGGTAGGATGCACAAATTTTAATCTAGGTTGTTGAAGACCACACAGTGATTTCTTGAACCACTTTGAAGTTTAAGTGTTAATGTTCTAAATATTTAACAGCTGAAATCCTATGCACACCTATCAGAAAGTGAGCCCAATTGAGCCTACTGGGATTTACAGCTGAGTCAACACTTGTAGAATTGGCCTGTAAATCATGTTTCTTCAAGGTTTGTCTCATTCTATGAGATACAACTGAACTAATGATGCTTGGACTAAAAATTTGGGGTGCTAATAATGTATTCATGTATTTCAAACTACACAATATGATTGTTTCCTTCTAACCAACCAGTTGTTGTTGGCATCCATCTGTCTTGAGAGACAATGGAGTCTGCCTCCAGGGGTGAAGTCTAACCTTTGCGTTAACAGCACCAAAGTGACCTCCCCAGGGTGCAAGAATGGGCAGTGTGTCTGGAGGTCCTGGGCTGCCCAGGCAACAACCCGCCCCCTTGGCCTCGCTGAGGTGGTCCAAAGAAAAGCAGAGGAATATGTTTGGCATCAGCTTGGCTGCAGGAGTTGCTGGAAGGAGTGTATCCAACCATCTTAGGGACTCCACTCTGGATTTGTCTAGGGTTTACTCCTGAGACTTTTCTTCTCCCAAAGATATCCCAAAAGGCAGCGGAGGTTTAGGATCAGAATTTTGCTTCTCCGAGGTTGAGCCCCATCTGTCCTTACTTCCCTTGACAGCAGTCGCTGCCTTCTTGACCATTGGCCCACTGTGGGTCTCTTCTGCTCAATCCACCAGAGCCTGTCTTCACATGCAGGGCAAGTCCCTAACTCACCAAGGATTTAAGATCCATTGGCTACCCTCACTTGGTTTAGCCTGCCAGTCAGCCATTCTCAGGATGTAGCACCACTCTATTCTGCCTTGGTCAGACCACACCTGGAGTACTGTGTCTAGTTCTGGGCATCACAATTGGATACTGAATATTGACAAGCTAGAACATGTGCAGAGGAGAGTGACCAAGATAATCAAGGGTCTGGAAACCAAGTCTGATGAGGAATGGTTGAGGGAGTTGGGTATGTCCCATGGAAGATGAAGCAAGCTTGTTTTCTCCTGCTCTGGAGGATAGGACTTGAACCAATAGTTTCAAATTACAAGAAAGGAGATGCCAACTAAACATCGGGAAGAACTTTCTGACAGTAAGAGCTTTTTGACAGTGGAATGGACTTTTTTAGAATGTAGTGGACTCTCCTTGGAGGTTTATAAGCAGAGGATGTTTGGTCATCTGTTGTAGTTGAGATTCCTGCATTGCAGGGCATTAGACCAGTTGCCACTTGAGTCCCTTCCAACTCTACAATTCTATGATCCTATGATTCACCTGATACTAAACTGAACTAATAGCAATGCTCTTGATGGTTGCCTAGCAAGGAAAATTTTTACTTTCAAAATTAATTACCTGGCAACTTCCAATTATGTCAAAGTTTAACAAGTTAATTTTCAGAGTAGTGTGATGCAACTCAACTCAACATCTGAAATTAAAGTTGGGTCCCCCTCTAGCTTTTTAACATTTATAAACATTTACGCAACTATATGGGACACAGGTGGCGCTGTGGTCTAAACCACAGAGCCTAGGGCTTGCCGATCAGAAGGTTAGCGGTTCGAATCCCCACCATGGGGTGAGCTCCCATTGCTCAGTCCCAGCTCCTGCCAACCTAGCAGTTCGAAAGCACACCAAAAAGTGCAAGTAGATAAACAGGTACTGCTCCGGCGGGAAGATAAACGACGTTTCCGTGCACTGCTCTGGTTTTGCCAGAAGCAGCTTAGTCATGCTGGCCACATGACCTGGGAAAACTGTCTGCAGACAAACGCCGCCTCTCTCGGCCAGTAAAACGAGATGAGCACCGCAACCCCAGAGTCATTCGCGACTGGACGTAACTGTCAGGGGTCTCTTTACCTATGCAACTATATATATACCTTTTATTTAGACAATCCAAGGAAAAATGTACATGTAATTGTATTTTGATGTTTAATGATGACAAACATTTTATGCATCCAGAACCTCTTATTCCAATCAAAGTGAAATATATTATACAAGCTAAACTCCCTTGTTACATGGTTATGCACAGTGCTATTTTTCTAGAAAAAGAGGTGCCAGAACTCACTATAAATGCACCCCTTGTTCTCTTATAATGGCAATGGCGCCTACCTGGGAGGTGCTGGAACTGAGTTCCGGCTGAAAAAAGTGCTAGTTATGCTATACATCCAAAACTAACCTGGCAGGACTGGACGTAGACCAAAAGGGCCTTTCATTGGAGAGATGCCATGAACAATGCAATCAAAGAGAAAGCTGATCTTTTCTCCTTCCATGCAAGATAAAAAAAACACACCAGCCCCTGAAAGAAAGCAAAACGTTTAGGACGATTTTAAATTCTGGATGAAGGACACATTGGCATATTTATGCAACATCAAAAGAACCTAAGGAGCAATCTATATGCTATGCTGGCTCTAGAATTGCTTCCAGAAAGATCTTATCCTTAAGCGGTCACATTTCAGAGGTTCTTAACCTGTGTACCTGTGTACAGTGTTTCTGTACTAGACCAAAGCACTATAATAATATGGACTTGTGGTTGCTGTTTTGGTCAAATTCCTGAACCAGAGAGGAAAAGGTGCTATCTTGCGCTACATTGTGAACTTTTGTTTGTGAAGGGCAACACATTATTGGGCTCTTGTCTTAGTGGATAATTAAATATAGCAAAAACCACATAGTTGCAGAAGGCTTTTTTTTACGGTGGTTTGGACACAATGAAACAAGAACCCGATCTTCTATCAAACATTTTGAATATATTATTACAGTCTAGAATGAATAGTGATAAAATGCTTTCAAAATGAAATTTTAACTGCCTTTCCTTTTTAAATATTATTTTACTACTTATTTTTTTTCTAGAAATAATCCAAAAAGTCTTTTTTATTATTTCATTGACAAAAATGATTCTTAATTTTTCAGTCTGTTTCAAGTATCCCCCCTGAAACATTATCTAATATTTATCCACATTCTAGACATAGGAATAAAGTGAATGAAATCTGGATATTAAGGCTCCAGGAAACCACACAATCCCTAAAATAGTCCACAGGGTTAGCTCCCAAATCCTGTAATAAACTGACATGGACTGGTTCACAGCTGTTTCAAATGGGGTATTTTTATTAAGAAACATTTTAATGACAGGGAGACAAAATTCTTTTGCAGGGGAGCCGTTTCCTGCCCCCCCCAACACCTGTTCTGAGGTGAATTTTGGAAAATTCAAACTCATAAAAATAGCTGCCTCCTTTGCTACTCACTAGGGGGAGCCATTATAGTGGACAGCAGTTGAATATCCATTAAAAAAAAACATTTTACAGAGTAAGAATATTGTTCTTCCAACAGCTCAATTTAAAAATTCTTTTTTAAAAAAACTTGGAAATCCCTTTGAAAAAAACCATTTCTTTCTTTTAAAAAATTACCTTGCAAAACCTAAAATATGCTTTATTTAGAAATAGACTCAAGAGTTTGTGAGTGTGCTAATAAATCAGCAAAATCAATCACTGAATCAAAGTTAAACAAAGCTGGAGAGGCAATTGAAATTAACTGGGTAAATTTCACAATGTTGAGTCAAATCATTATTTCTGTACAAGGAAGATGGAAGGCTTTCAGAAAGTGTATAAAGGAGATTCTCCAAGCTTATTCTGACAAATTTTGAGAATGCACAGTTCTCTTGCTCCTAAAGGGACTACAAAATTCCCTGGTGCCTAAACATTAAGTTCGGGAGGGGGGGCATTTGCATAGGTCTGTTTGAACTGTGATTAACATAAAAAATGGGAAAATACACTATTTTGATTGTGTGTGTGAGTGAGAGAGGGAGGGGGAGAGGGAGAGGGAGAGAGAGATTTGCTTAGCTGTATTGAAAGGTTCATCCATATTCATAGTTCAACACAAAAATCAAACCTCACAAAAATTCATTTTACCTCTAATTTATTGATGTCTACAATGCCCTATGAATGCTCTACATTACTTGACAGAATAATGTTTTTCCAGTTCTTGGAAGAGAATACATTCATTATCAAAGGGGCACAGCTAGCCAATGTGACTAAAAGCCATAGAATGGGGTGGGATATGTCAAGCTGTGCAAATAAACCTCCCCTTTCTGAGAAGAATGCACATCCACACAGTTCCACAGCCCCATAGTTGTTCACAGACATAATAGAACATTATATTTTAGGACCATTTTGCCACTTTATTTGCAGCCCTAATATTTTTAATATACCGTATTTTGCGCTCCATAGGACGCTCCGGCCCATAGGGCGCACCTAGTTTTTTGGGGGGGGAAATAAAGAAAAATATTTTTATTTCCCCCCCAGGTGCGGGGCTGGAAGAACTAGGTCGGGGAACAGCGGGAAGGTGCGCTCTGCCTCCCCGCTGTCCCCTGAGCTTGTGGGGCTGGCGAGAAGTGCGCTGATCCTGGGACTGCAGGCAGCTCTGCGCGGCCATCCGGAGCGGGCGGGACTTCGCGCCCGGCTCCCGGTGGCCGCGCAGAGCTGCGCTGAGCCGGGGACGGCAGGCAGCTCTGCGCGGCCATCCGGAGCGGGCGGGACTTCGCGCCCCGCTCCCGATGGCCTCGCAGAGCTGCGCTGATCCCGGGACTGCAGGCAGCTCTGCGCGGCCATCGGGAGGGGGGCGGGACTTCGCGCCCGGCTCCCGGTGGCTGCGCAGAGCTGCGCTGAGCCGGGGACGGCAGGCAGCTCTGCGCGGCCATCCGGAGCGGGGCGGGACTCCCGATGGCCGCGCAGAGCTGCGCTGATCCCGGGACTGCAGGCAGCTCTGCGCCGCCATCCGGAGCGCTCCCAATGGCCGCGCAGAGCTGCGCTGATCCCGGGACTGCAGGCAGCTCTGCGCCGCCATCCGGAGCGCTCCCGATGGCCGCGCAGAGCTGCGCTGATCCCGGGACTGCAGGCAGCTCTGCGCCGCCATCCGGAGCGGGGCGGGACTCGCGCCCGGCTCCCGGGGGCCGCGCAGAGCTGCGCTGATCCCGGGACTGCTGGCAGCTCTGCGCGGCCATCCGGAGCGGGGCGGGACTTCGCGCCCCGCTCCCGATGGCCGCGCAGAGCTGCGCTGATCCCGGGACTGCAGGCAGCTCTGCGCAGCCATCCGGAGCGCTCCCGATGGCCGCGCAGAGCTGCGCTGATCCCGGGACTGCAGGCAGCTCTGCGCGGCCATCCGGAGCGCTCCCGATGGCCGCGCAGAGCTGCGCTGATCCCGGGACTGCAGGCAGCTCTGCGCCGCCATCCGGAGCGGAGCGGGACGTCGCGCCCCGCTCCCGATGGCCGCGCAGAGCTGCGCTGATCCCGGGACTGCAGGCAGCTCTGCGCCGCCATCCGGAGCGGGGCGGGACTTAGCGCCCGGCTCCCGATGGCCGCGCAGAGCTGCGCTAATCCCGGGACTGCAGGCAGCTCTGCGCGGCCATCGGGAGCGGGGTGGGACTTCGCGCCCGGCTCCCGGTGGCCGCGCAGAGCTGCGCTGAGCCCGGGACTGCAGGCAGCTCTGCGCAACCCTCGGAGTCGGTCTCCGAGGGTTGCGCAGAGCTTCCTGAAGCCTGGAGAGCGAGAGGGTCAGTGCGCACCGACCCTCTCGCTCTCCAGGCTTCAGCGAAAGCCTGCATTCGCTCCATAGGACGCACACACATTTCCCCTTCATTTTTGGAGGGGAAAATGTGCGTCCAATGGTGCGAAAAATACGGTATATATTCTTACATACAGATCCCTAACTGATGAGATGCTATCATCCTACAATTTTCTATATTCAAAAAGCTAATCAAAATTTAAGTGCAGAAAACTCACAGAAACCACACCGAGTTCCTCCTTCAAAGACAAATCCATTAGGAACAGCTCCATAGCGTCGCAGATCTGAGAGTTTCCATTGTCCCATGATAGAGGGTGGGTTATCTTTTGCTAGTACTAGGATATCATTGCAAAAGTGGAGAGTTGCTGGACCACTCTCCAGTTTCGTTCCTGGTGCTACCACAACATGAAACCTGTGAACTATCAGAAGGAGGGAGAAATGAAAGTACAAGGGATTAATTTAATCATTTTGCCAAAAATAATTAAACAGTAATGGGACGCGGGTGGCGCTGTGGGTAAAACCTCAGTGCCTAGGACTTGCCGATCGCATGGTCGGCGGTTCGAATCCCCGTGGCGGGGTGAGCTCCCGTCTTTCGGTCCCAGCTCCTGCCCACCTAGCAATTCGAAAGCACCCCTAAGTGCAAGTAGATAAATAGGTACCGCTTTATAGCGGGAAGGTAAACGGCGTTTCCGTGTGCTCGATGGTGCTGGCTCGCCAGAGCAGCTTCGTCACGCTGGCCACGTGACCCGGAAGTGTCTCCGGACAGCGATGGCTCCCGGCCTCTTGAGCGAGATGAGCACACAACCCTAGAGTCGGACACGACTGGCCCGTACGGGCAGGGGTACCTTTACCTTTACCTTTAATTAAACAGTAAAATGTGCACGAAGACTGGTTTCATTACCACTAACATAAAAATGTTCATGCTAATCCATGTTCATATAATGACGCTTAGCAAAGCTACAAGACATAAAATAAAACTTGGTGCTGGTAACCTCTTTTCCTGTAATTTCATTACAATTTTATTTTAATTCTATTTTTAAATATATAACAGCAAAGGGCTGAATATTTTAAGAGCAACTCATTTACTCTGATGGCTCATAGGGAAAACAAAGAACTTCCAACTACAGTTGTACCTCAGGTTACAGACGCTTCAGGTTACAGACTCTGCTAACCTAGAAATAGTACCTCGGGTTAAGAACTTTGCTTCAGGATGAGAACAGAAATCGTGTTCTGGCGGCGCAGCAGCAGCAGGAGGCCCCATTAGCTAAAGTGGTGCTTCACGTTAAGAACAGTTTTAGGTTAAGAACGGACCTCCGGAATGAATTAAATACTTAACCGGAGGTACCACTGTACTGAAACAATCTTTTTCATATTTCACAGAAAAAGACATTAATTTAATGGCAACAAAGGGAAGGCTGCATTTTAACAAGATGTGAAGTGGGGGTGGGGGAGAGAAAAAGAAGAAGAAGAGGAGTTTGGATTTGATATCCCACTTTATCACTACCCGAAGGAGTCTCAAAAGCGGCTAACATTCTCCTTTCCCTTCCTCTCCCACAACAAACACTCTGTGAGGTGAGTGGGGCTGAGAGACTTCAGAGAAGTGTGACTGGCCCAAGGTCACCCAGCAGCTGCATGTGCAGGAGCTGAGACGCCAATCAGGTTCCCGAGATTACGAGTCCACCACTCTTAACCACTACACCACACTCTCACTTATACAGTGGTACCTCGGGTTAAGTACTTAATTTGTTCCGGAGGTCTGTACTTAACCTGAAATTGTTCTTAACCTGAAGCATCACTTTAGCTAATGGGACCTCCTGCTGCTGCCGCACCGCTGGAGCACAATTTCTGTTCTCATCCTGAAGCAAAGTTCTTAACCTGAAGCACTATTTCTGGGTTAGCGGAGTCTGTAACCTAAAGTGTATGTAACCTGAAGCGTATGTAACCCGAGGTACCACTGTACTCGAGTCACAACTATTCAGAAAATCTGCTCTCCATCAAGTGAAGTCCATCAAGTGAGTTATCATCTCAGTGGTACAGGGACACTTGCAGGGGAGAAATAAATCAGCAAGAGCGAGTGAAGCAACACTCCTCTTGTAGCTTTCCCCTTACCTAAGCCTACTTCCAGTCTTAGAGTCACAGATGGTTGAAATGACCTAGGGGGCATCTGCATGGGAGAAGTAGGGAGTAGGAATTAAGCATCAACGGGTGGAGATATTCGTTAAGAACCCAAATTTTTCCTTATAACACAGCTTTCTGGTGTGCCAGCTTCAAGCTCCTGCATACCAGCACTCATATTCAGGTTGATTTGCAATGGTGCGTAAAATGCTGAGACCATCAAGCTTCATGAGACTGACTTTTTTACATGACAGCTATGGATGAAGTAGTCATGACAACAGCCCCAAGATAGGATTGGGGAAACTCTGGTCCTCCATTTCTCCAGATGTTGTCGCACTCCAACTCCCATCAGCCCCAGACAAAGATGCGATTTCTAGTGCAATAACATCTGGAGAGCCACAAGTTCCCAATCTCTGTCCTGAGAGATGCTATAAAAAGCAAAAGAAAAGAGGGACAAGTAGCCAAACTAATTGTAGAAGGCAACCAAGGACCAGGGAACCATCATATGTTAACAATATCATTGTAAAAAAACAAAAATAAAATAAAATAGGATAAGGGGAAGCATGATTCAACCAAAACACAAAGCAAGAGTTATGTAGTCTCTGAAGCATAGTGGACTCACAGTACTTCTGGACCAATGTGGGATGGCTCAGAGCTATGAGATAACTCCATGTTATTCACCTTCACAAAAGCAGAGGTACATGAATGAATTTGCTGATATGTATAAATGGTCACTGATGCTAGGTTTACAAAGCCCATGGGAGCCAAACAGTTGTTTAGGTTTGCACATAGGCTAGTAAAATTGTTAATTTTTTCCCCCCCTCTCTGGTCTCAAAGCTGCTGTATTTTTCGCTCCATAAGACACACTTTTTTCCTCTTAAAAACTAAGGGGAAATGTCTGTGCGTCTTATGGAGCGAATGTGTGGTCCCTGGGGCTGGGTGGGTGGGAACCTGGGCTTCCCCCGCCAGCCCTGGGAGCAGCAGGCAGGCTGCGCGCAGATGCCCCACACTCCTAAGCAGCTCTGGGGTAGCCCTCAAAGCCTCCGCAGGGCAGTGGGATGAAGGCTCCCCGCTGCCCTGCAGAGGTTTCGCGGGCTACCCCAGAAGCCAGAACAGCTAGAGAAAGTGCTGCGTAGCGCTCCCTCTAGCTGTTTTAGCTTCTGCCTTAGCGGCGCAAAGCCTTCGCAGGGCAGCGGGGAACCTTCATCCTGCTGCCCTGCGGAGGCTTTGCGCGACTATCCCTGGCTTTTGCAGGAGGTGGCCCCCAAGAGCCGCGCTCCCTTTAAAGAGCCGCACGGAGTGTGTGTGTGGCTCTTGGGGGCTTTTCCCCGAGGAGGGAGACGGGCTACCCTTCTCCCTCCTCAGGGGAATGCCTGCAAGCGCCGCACACACGCTCCGTGCAGCTCGTGAAAGGAAGCGCTGAGCAGAGCCTGGGATGCATACAGGTTTTGCTCAGCGCTTCCTTTAATTAATTTTTTTTTCTTGAATTCCCTCTCTAAAAACTAGGTGCAACTTATGGTCAGGTGTGTCTTATGGAGCGAAAAATACGGTATATCACAAAGTACTTCAGAAATTCCCTTATGCACCAAAAGCACATTCCTGTACACAATATTTTTGCTTTAACCAAATGAACCATATGTTTAAAAGAAGCAAACATTACCTTCACCTAAACTGTAGCGAATGCGCAGATCCCAGGCATGCATGGTTTCCTTGTTTTCAAAGCCCAGCATAACAACTTGACTCAAACAGATGATGGCAAGAGTGTGATTCAGACCCTCATAACAAAGCCCAGGATCCAGGCCACAGATGTCTTCCAAAGTCACACTGTTCCTCTCCTTCAGCCCCTTCAGTCGTTCAGATCTTTCCTTGTATATAAGCATAAGCAAGCAATCTGAAAGATGGAAGCCTGTGATCAAATACAAAGTATGGATGCATTGCAACATTTATTCTCATGCTGATCAGAATTTATCCTTAGTATTAACCAGGACTCATTTCCTGAAACATTTCCTAATCAGATAATATAGATGATAAAGCACCATATATAAGCACTTATCAGATACAAAAGGAATAATTACAGGTACTACGCTAATTCAGGTGTGCAAACATTGCCATGTTCTACAAAGCCATCTCACCTTGTGGAAAAAATAATTCCACCACTCCGCAAGATTATCAACATGAATTTATGGGTTAAAACAAAATCTATGTCGTTATCCTAATGCTATCTTTTGTTAGCTATTCAGAAAATAAACATATATTGTCTATATCTCTTCCCAGTTCTGTCACTGTGACTGTTCTGAAGAAAGCAGGAAAGAAATCACCCTCATTTCACATGCTACTACCAAAGCACTAGAATGAGAATAATTATTTATTTCCATATTTTCAATGCACAGGCTTCTTTTTTCAAACGTTCTTATCATGGTATCAGGGGACTGCCATCGGAACAGGGGAGGGAGGCAGGGGGATACAGAGAGCCTCCGATGCTTCTGAGGAGCAGCTCCTCCTCCAGCAGTGGGGAAAGCCACACCTCCAGTGGAGAAGAGAGGGAAGGGGGCAGCCAAGCAAAGGGAGGGCTCGAAGATGCTGCTGAGAGCCCAAGCGCCTCACCTAGCCCGGCTGGCCAGGAGGCACACATAACATTTCTGTCGCCCAGCTTACGCAGAGGGGTGAAACGTAAAGAGGGGAGGCAGAGATTCAGGGTGTCTAAGTTCTTGTGTTGGGGGAGAAACCGGAAGGGGCCACTCCCGGAATCTGCAAGTGACTAAGACGGACATGAACTTTGTGGTTCTGCACTGTAAATAGTTTGCACCAATAAAACCTGTAAAAGACAGCTTGGAGTCCTGCCTGGTTACTCACGAGCAACCACCACCCGCATCTGACACATGGTTTATAGACAGTATAATAAAATAAGCAATTTAGCATTTAAACAATTAAATGCTCAAAGTCTTGTGATGTTGTCACTTAGACTTGTGGTTGGTAGTCTCTCTGAGTCTTTAGTGTTGACTGAAGACCTGAGAGGACTGGCACTGTGTAGCCTTTTCTTCTTCTTAGGCAAGGCTTTCTTCTTTTCATTAGTCACCATGAGGACCTTCTTTAAGGAACTACCGAAGAGCTTCACTCCTGAGAAAAAAGGGCCTACGAAGTGGAAGATGGGATCCACATCTGAGTGATGGAGCTGCTAAAGGACCATTGGCTGCCATAGATCTTGCTGCGAGGTTTGTGGTATTATGTAACAAATATGGGAGAAGCAGCTCCTGTTTCCACCCTAGCAAATGCTGAGTTACAGCACAATCCTATTCATGTCTACTCAGAAGTAAGTCCGACTGAATTCATTAGGACTTATTTTCAGGTAAGTGGGACTAAAGTTGCTTAGTCACTGAGGCCTCAAAACTCTTATTTAAAACCAAGTCAGTGCATTTTCATATGCGAATCCTTTGAGGTTTCCCCTATAAGGCAAACCCTTTGAGGCCTCCACCACTGCGTTGTACCCAAGGGTACTGCATCCTACCCATGTCACTGAGAATAGGGGAAAGTGTAGTTTGTCACTCCTGAAGATAAGCCAGTGGTGAAGTCAAATGGAAGAAAGCCCAAGGGCAAGGGACTGCAACTTCGCAGGTGTCTATTGCCTATTATGCTTGCTCAGCCCTGAGAAGGCAGCAAAGGCAGGAGAGAAAAATGGGAGTAAAAACAGAAAGGCTGAGGAATTGTACCTCCTTTTGATAGAATCATAGAGTTGTAAGGGACCCCCAAGGATCATCTAGTCCAACCCCCTGCAAATAATACCTGACAGATCCAACCTCTGTTCAAAAACCTCCAGTGAAGGATAGTCTACCACATTCTGAGATAGCCTATCAGAAAGTTCTTCCTGATGTTTAGTTGGAATCTCCTTTCTTGTAATTTGGATTCTTTGGATTGGGTCCTACTATCTGGAGCAGGAGCAAACAAGCTCACTCCATTTTCCATGCGATTGACAGTCCTTCAGATATTTGAAGTAGGCTATCATATCTCCTCTCATTTTCCTGTTTCCTAGGCGAAACATACCCAACTCCTTTAACTATTCATCTTAAGGCTTGGTTTCCAGACCAGATCATCTTGGTCGCCCTCCACTGCACATGTTCCAGCTTGTCAATATCCTTCTCAAACTCTGGTGCCCCCTCTGCCCAGTTGTTCCTCTCTGCCCAGTCCACTTGAACTTGAGGGGATGGTGTAACAGGATAGAGAAAGGGGCAGGTGTACTTCAAGTTCATCCACTTCCCTGCTGCCCTAGAGCAACAGAAAAGGCCAAGGAAAATGCCTTCCTGCAATCATGTAGTTTAGGAAAGAAGCAGACAGCTCAAGCATACCCTCTCCATTCTTGTCTGCCAAGTGCTCCCCAAAGAAAAGCAAGCCCCAACTGACTCCTTTGAAGAAATGGCAGGGTGGGGAGAAGTAGAAGAACTGCCGCAAAACGATGTAGCATCTGCCTTATCTAGACTCTGCTTCTCCCTCCCCATCACAAGCCAGAAACGGATGGCAGAAAAGACTCAGCCCCCACAGAGCTCACCTATCTTCACCTGCACCATACTTTTTAAAAGAAAAAAACCTAAGCCCTTGTTGAAGATGTGTCATTAAAATAAAAGAGAGCATAAAAAGAAGAGCACAGATCCTGCTTTTGAGATGTAAGGCAGGGCAATTCTGGAGACTGGGATCTCCTCTCCAGCAGAGGAGTCAAAGTTCAAGCCGGCCTTATCTCATTCTGATGCAACAAGGGTGGGAGGATTACCCTGAAATGTCTAGAGCATGTCCACCTTACTAGAACTGGGCAACCATAAAGATCAGTTACAGGTCATTTGGGGGTGTGTGCTTTCCTCCACTTTTACTTTTTATTTTTAATATTGAGAACCTATTGGCACACACTTTTTATGTGACATAAAGCTCTTGATGCATTTTTTAAAAATGTTACAGCATATACAAAAATGTCTCTCATAGATAGATAGATAGATAGATAACCTCTAATCAAAGAGCGGATAAAAGTTATGTGATATATAATTCCACTTATGATACCTATTGTTCCAAAAATGTAAATTATTCTGAGAGGTCTCCAAAGAGGTTGCTGGAATAACACGTTTTACCTAAGAAAGTTTGTTTAATTTTTTGTTATCCATTCAACATGAGTAAGATTAATTTATGGCAATAAAATAAAATTATGAACTTTTCTTGAAACTGTACTTTTTACATATCCATGCAGGATTACCAACAGGGGGAAGGCAAGTGTATTTCAGTATTTATTGCAGCATGAATTTCAATCCAATATAAGTTAATTTTAATATTCAAAAACCCAATATAATACATGCATTAAAAAGAAAGCTCTGCCTATCCATTCATTATCACAGCCATTTCTTATGGGAAGAATGGTATGGGAATACATAGAGAAGAGGCAATTGTCACTGGGAAGGAAAGGCTGAAGAACAGAGACAAATGGAGGCAGCATGTAACTAGCTAGAAAAGAATGCAAGTGGAATTAGTTAATTGAAAGGTGTGGGTCTTTTGAAAGGCAGCTAGCCTATACTGTAGACGGTTTCATCAGAAAAAAACTAGGAGCGGGATAATCTTATATTACGCTGTGTTTATTTATTTATATTATGCCCCGCAGCTAGTGTTTAATATACAGCAGCAGACTGAGAGGACCCGGCCCATAGCATGGCCTTCTTAATATAGAAATGGTTCGAAACTGAATCCAAGATTTGGTTTTTATAGAGGAGGATCAACTGATCCGCGCAGGCTTCCAGGCCCCTTCCATATCCTCTTTCTATAATTAGCGCGCCCTCCGGCCGCCAGAACAGGAAGGGGAAAGGAAGAGCCGCGAGACGGACAAGGGCAGCGAGGGGGCGAGAGGCGATGGGGAGAGCGCGCTCCTCGCCTCCTTCCCTTCGGCTCCGGGCGCCGCGGCGCCGGCTGCCCTCTCTCCCCCAAGGCGCACGGGGTCCCCTCGCTCTCCCGGCGCGCCCGCGGAACCCTCTCGCGCGTCGCATTGCGAAGGGGGAAAAGCAAGGAGGAAAGAGCGAAAAGCCCCTTTGTCCCGTCCCCCCCGCTCCCGGACTCACCCGCCACCGGCGAAGGTTTGCGCAGCACCGCCCATCGGTTCTTCCACTGCGGAGACAGAAAGAGAGACAAGGCGTTGGTGGCGGGGAGCGGCGCGCCTTCCCGAGCCCCTCTCCCGCGCCGAGCCCCACCGGCAGCCCCCCGACCCCCCGCCCGACCCCCCAGCCCCCAGCCCGAAAACGCAGGCCGGGGGGAGCTTGGCGCCGGGGACCTTTTTGCCGTCTCTCCACTTGAGCGGGCCCTCCACCACCACCGCGGAATCCGTCATCTTCAGTCATGATTTCCGACAGCTGCTGCCGGCTGGGCTGAGCTGCTGCGGGGGTCACTTTCAAAATAGCTTTATTGGGTCACTGCTGCGAGTGGGAGCAGGCGGGGCGGAGGCGAGCCGGGAGAAGAAAGGGGAGCGCGCCGGAGGGAGGCGGCCGGAGAGCCCGACAGGGCTGGTGGCGTTGGGGCACCGGGGTCGAACCCCAAACGGGCGCCTCCACCTCCTCCCCGCCAGCGAAGAAGGGATCGGGAATAGGGGGAGGGGGAAAGAAAGATCGACGTCGCGATCGACTGCCCCTGGGAAACCTGCCGCCCGAGGGGCTCGCCTCCCCCGGCCTCCTGCGGGACTAGCCCTTGCAAGGAGCGCCCTGCTTGCTGCCTCGTCTTCTCTCGGGCTTTCGCTCATTGTTCATAAAGGATCAAAAGTTAGAGGCGAGCAGTGAAGCTATCGGGTCTACAATACCAAAAACAAGTAGAAGCCCCAAAGGATTTCTCCAAATTGAATGGGCAGTAAAATGGCAAACACGGTTCAACACAAGCAAGTGTAAAGTGATGCGCTGAGGGGGAACTCCCCCCCCCCAAAAAAAACCCCTAAATGCACATACAGTGGTACCTTGGGTTAAGAACTTAATTCTTCTGGAGGTCTGTTCTTAAGCTGAAACTGTTCTTAACCTGAAGCACCACTTTAGCTAATGGGGCCTCCCACTGCCACTGCGCCGCCGCCATGCGATTTCTGTTCTCATCCTGAAGCACATTTCTTAACCCGAGGTACTATTTCTGGGTTAGCGGAGTCTGTAACCTGAAGCATCTGTAACCCAAGGTACCACTGTATATGTGCTGAACAGAACTGATAGTGACTGACCATTAATAAGATATTGAGATTGTAGTGAGTAGCTTTAAGAGAAGGAAGACTTTGATCCTAAACCCCTGATGCCTTGCAGCTACGCTTATTAATGGGAAAGGCTTTGGGAATAAACCCTGAGGAAAAGTCTGTATCTGCTGGCTTGTGGGACATCTTTGGGAGTAAATCCTACACAAATCTGGACTGGACTCCCTAAGGCTCCTTCCGGCAATTCCTTCAGCCAAACTAGTTCCAAACATATTGCTCTTGCTTTCCTTTGGACCACATCAGCGAGGTGAAGGGGGGTCTTGTTGCCTGGGAAGCCCAGAAGCTGCAGACACGCTGCCCAGGCTTGTACTGTGATAGGAATTTTATGGTTTTAGATATATGGCAACGTTCATAACCACACGTACATAGATCAGCACAGGAAAGCCAACCTGGAACCATTTTGATTCCTAAACTGAGCAAATGTTTCTCTGCATGGTAAAAATGGAAAAGCCTCCCCATTGTCTCTTTCCTCACAAATCCTGTCTCAAGGATATGTCTGTTTGAATAAGGTGTGAGCCTGTGACCTGGCCCAGGAAATAAGTATTTTACCACTACAAAAGAATGGCCAGGCTCCCCAGGCAATCCAATCAAGTAACTTGCCAGACAGGAGATAAACTGTGAAAAACAACATTTAAATTTCTGTGATGTAGGTGGGATGTATCCGAGGGGTGGTCTTAGGTTACACCCCTTCTGTGATGTATGCATAATGTTTCTGGGGGTGGTCTTGATCTAGAGGATGGGAATTTCAGAAGTCTTTATAAGCCATTGCACAGCATTTTTGGGGGTCCTCTTCCTCTCCTGCGTGTGAGGGGAGCACCCTGTTGCAACAGATCAATAAAGATCAAGCTTACTAGCTGCTTTGCTTCTCAATATTCTCTGGTTGGCCTCTGTTATTTTCTCCTACCAATAGGGAACCTATGTAAGGACTCTATATGGGCTCTTGGATACCCCATAAGGGAAAAGGGCATATTTTTATTTACAACAGTACTCAAAAGCGTTGATAGCTTGATGAAGATGTTGGCCCAGGATGAGGCAAATGTGAAAAAGGCAAATTCCATGCTAGGAATCTTTTGGAATGGGATTGAAAATAAAAATGACTGTCCTAAATGCTGAACTCTATGGTGTGACCACACTTGGAATACTTGTTGCTTTACCTCAAAAATAATATTGTAGAGTAGGGAACACTCCCAAGATGATCAAGGGGATGGTGCAACTGCCCTTTGAGGAAAGGTTGCGACATTTGTAGCTTTTTAATTTAGATGAAAAGTAAGAAACATGCACAACTTTTACGCAGGGGTTGAGTTCTGAGGCACCATGCACATCAAGATGCGCGTAAGCCCGCCCCGTCCCACTTGTGGTGCGTCAGGGGTCGCATGCGTGCCAGTTGTGCGCAAGTGGGTAGTTGCCTGTTATGGAGAAAGTGGACAGAGAAATATTTCCTGTTGCACGGTACTAGAACTTGGGGCCATTCAATAAAGTGGACTGTTGTTAAGGCAGATCAAAATAAATAAAGTGCTTCTTCACATGGCACATAAAACTGGCATTTGCTCTCATGAGACGAAGCAATGGCCACCAACTTGGATGGCTTTAAGAGAGGATCAGACAAATCCAGGCAGGACAAGGCTGTTGGGCTACTAGCCACAGTGCTTCTGCCTTCATTGCCCTTGGTGCCTTTGAATGCCGGTTTCTGGGAGACGCAGGAGACTATGGTGGTTGCACCCCGTGTCTGCTTATGGGCTTCCCAGGGCCTCTGCCCGGCCATTGCGAGACGAGGATGCTGGAGGAGATGGGGGCCTTGGCCTAACCTGCTGACTAGGCACTTCTCTTCGGAGTAGTTTTGTGCAGTCTTTCAAAACTAAAATGAGCAATGCAACGACAAAATTAACCCTCGGTCTGAGAATAAATGTGCGCGATGTGGCGATTCCTGTCATTATTTTCGAAGCACATACGTCAAAAGGGGCTTATTTCGAGAGCTCATTTTATTTAGGAGCTTTGTCGGGGGGGGGGAGTGCGCGAGGGAAGCGCGTTTTTCCGCCTTTTCTCTCCAAACTCGGGGCAAGCCTGAACTTCCCACCAGGCCTCACGCGTCGGGGCCTCCGAGCGGCGGGCGGGGAGGGGCATGGCGGGAGTTGTAGTCTCTCGAAAACTGCCGCCTCCCGCCACGCCAGCTCGTCGGGCCAGCCGAGGGCCCCGTGATTGACAGCCCGCCTCGGCCAGTGGCCGACGGGGCCGTAGTCAAGGCGGGCCCGGCGGGCATCACCCTGGCAACGGAGTCGGGGCGAGAGCTGGCTCCTCTGAGGGAGACCTGCTTGGGTGGTCTCCCGGCCCCTCGGCGAGGGGGCAGGGGGCGAGAGAGGTGAGAGGAAAAGAGAGAGACCCCTTTGCCCCCCCCAGCACCTCAGACCCCCCCTCCCTGGCGCTGGGATTCCGGGGGAGGCGGCGGGGAAACAATGGGCGGGGTGGGGGGTGGGCGCCGAGCGAGTTGTGGTCGAAGTTAAGGCGCTAGTTCTCTGTGTGGAGCCTGGACGGGCTCCGCCGAGAGCAACAAGTTCTGGGTCCGGCGGGCCTCTTCCCCTCCGCTTGCTGTCGGCCCTCTTCGGCGGGGGCTTTGTCTGGGGCTGCGGGCGGGGGGCGGCGGGGGGGCGCCAGGTAGTACCTGCGGGGGGGGGGCGCGGCTCTCGCCCCGAAGCGAGGCAACAGCAGGCAGCGGCTCCGCCCGCCGCGTCCCCGGTGCGACTTTTGCTGGGCTCTCTCTCCGCGCTGCCCGGACGCGGCGCTGCCTTGTGCTTCCGAGGCAGGGAGCGAAGGGTACGGAGCAGCCAGGCGGTTGCCACAATAGAGGCAAGTGTGTGCAGCGAGCGGAGCCTCCTCGGAGGATCTTGGAAAGGGAGCCCCGCTGCTTGTGCATGCATGAGTAGCAAGGCAGCCCAAGTTTATTCCTGTCTGTTCGTTCAAAACACTTTTTATCCCGCTCTTCAGCCAGAAAGAGCTTCCGAAGCAGCAGCTCACAAGTTGCCTACCAGTAATGAGTTTGCAGGTGGTGGCAGATTATTCAGAGCACAGTGAAATCCCAAGAAGAGTTTGAAGAGCTTTGAAAGGACCCCACTCTGAACTGGGTGGAATGGCCAGGTGCGGATCCTATGCCAAGGAGAGCTTTCTGGGATAACAAAGTTCGCTTCACCTAAAGGGTGTGAAAATAGAAAGGGAATATTGGCTAATGATAGGAGGTACATTTTTAAATGGCAAGACATGCATGTGATGAAGGATACCAGTCATATGTCTCCTGTAATGAAGTTGGAGGACTCAAAATGTACTGCATATGGGTCTGCCTTTGTACGCAGTTTTGAAATTTCAGCTAACACAGGATGCAACTATCTAGAGACTTGTCAGGTGGTCAGAACATGGTACACCAGTATTGTACCAGTTGGTTTCCTGTATGCTTCTGGGTGCTGCTGCTAACTTCTAAAGTTGTACAGTGAATGGTTTGAAGTAAAGTGATTTCAAGGACCAGCTGCACCCACATGAATCTGCTTGGGCCTTGAGATCGGTATTTGCAACCCTGCTCATTGATATACTTGTAAGATCTGTTAAATAGGCATGCTGGCAGGCCCTTCACAATGTGCCCCATCACAGCTAAATTAGCATTTCTGATACCTCACTTCTGTCCTGGGGGCATTAAGAATATATTCTTAGTGTGAACCAGATAGTTTTCTTTACATTTTATATGTCTCTTCCTCCATGCTCCCTTTTCCAGTCTGTTGCAGACCTTAGGACTAACTCTAGCTTGTTGATACTATTGCGGTAATGTTTTGGCTACATAAGTGCAAACACTTAAAAAAACCTGATATTTCTGTTGGAGCATGGTGCTGATAATGCCAGTGTTACAGGTTTGATCCCTGTATGGGACAGCTGCATATTCCTGTATTGTAAGGGGTTGGATTAGATTATCTTCAGGGTCCCCTCCAACTCTACAATTCTGTGATTCTATGATACCATGAAATAGTATCTCATTATTTTTAGTTAATTACGGGATCTGATGTTGGATTATAACTGTTGGGTTTTTAATTGTGTTTTAAATAATTTAATTGTTTTTAGGGATTGCTTGATTGGACTTAGATTTTTCTAACTTCTATTTTAAATTATGGCATTTTATTTGATTTTAATGATTTACATTTTCATATTAGCCACATTGGGAGGGCTTTCCCCCCTAAAATAGCTCCATTAATAAAATAAAAGTTGGTGTTAGGAAAGGGATGAAGTACCACAATGTCACTGTATCAATCTTTGGTGTACCCATGTTTAGAATATGGTGTGCAGTTCTCTGGCCACATTTTGAAAAAGGATGTTGTAGATATGGATCAACTTCCACCATTGAGCAATGTGAAGAAGTCATTGTGGGCAGCATATTACAGTCAAGCCAACATGTTCCATTTTTTCATTTCATACTTAACTAATGCACTTTGAGTGACATAAAGGTAAAGGTACCCCTGCCTGTACAGGCCAGTCTTGACAGACTCTAGGGTTGTGCGCTCATCTCACTCTATAGGCCGGGAGCCAGCGCTGTCCGCAGACACTTCCGGGTCACGTGGCCAGCGTGACGAAGCTGCTCTGGCGAGCCAGAGCCGCACACATAAACGCCGTTTACCTTCCCGCTAGTAAGCGGTCCCTATTTATCTACTTGCACCTGGGGGTGCTTTCGAACTGCTAGGTTGGCAGGCTTGAGTGACATACAGCATAGTATAAAACAAACAAACCAACAAAGCATAAATTGCAAAATACATTTCTAAACAACAGCTTTAAAACCATCGAAATAAAAAAAACAGAGAATCCAGCAGCAAACAAACATTGCATAAAATTACTATTGGATATTAGAGGGATTAAAAGGGTCAGATTAGAAGGCTTGTGATAATAGAAATGACCTTGCCTGGCACCAAAATATTATTAAAATAGGATGTAGGTGAGCCTCTCTGGTGAGCTTGTAGAGCATTCTACAAGTAAGGAACCAGTGCTGAGAAGGCCCTCTCTCCTTTAACTGCCTTATCTCAGTTTGAGGGAGTATGCAGAGAAGCCCTCTGCTGATGATAACAGGGCCCAGAGAGGTACCCATGGGAAGGGGTGAGCCATTAGATACTGAGGTCCCAGGCTGTGGAGAAGCAGAGGGATTGGTCATGTAAGTTGCTAGGGAAAAAAGGTGTGCCAGAAGGGTTAGTTCACCCAGGCAGGAACCAAGCTGTCAAAGCTGGTCCTACCTTTAGGTGGTGTAAGGCAGCTGCTCCTGGCTAATTCCCCTAAGTCCCTGGCTATAACCTTCAGTTGGAGGACAGAGCTCTGTGTGAGCTGCAAGGAACCCACACTGAACCCAGGAGACTTCAGGTATTGCTTTCCGGCTCTGGATTTAGTCTGAGACAGAGAAAAGAAAGGGGAGGGACTCCTGTCCCATCCCAAGCGTGGTTTCACCAACATCTCTTTAACCAAGTAGTACACATAGAAAGAGTAGAAGTGTCCTCCATAATGTTAGTTTGAATGTAACTAAATTGCTCCATGCTTGCTTGACATGAAGTTCCATTGAGCCTAATAGAACTTCTTTCCAAGAATGAAAGATTGCAGCCACTGTTATAGAATAAAATGGGGGACAAGATGATTAGAATTTTGAGGCTTTGAACAACGGATCCATGATCACAATAAAAATGTCAGCAAATGGATGAATTAGGAAGTGTGAAAAGGTGCGAAATCTGAGTCTGCAGTACAGTATTTCTGGTCCTGTAAGCTCTACTGTGTGCTAACAAGCCAGCACTGTACAGTACTAGAAAAATGTGACTTTTAAAGTTAAGGCTTTCAGTAGTGAGGCTCAATGCAATTTCTTGGAAGGATTGTTTTATATTTCATGCTTTAAGTTCTTTGTATCTGCCTTTACAAAAGTGAATATCAGAATAGAAGGATCTGGTCTTTTAGAAACTGTCACAATTAACACTGTGGGACTAGATATGGAGCAAAATGAACAGAAGAAAGCCAGCAGATTCATGGGCTTCTTGCTGAGAGTGAACTTGGCAGATGTTAGGTACTTGGGGAAGTAGTAGATGTGTCACTAATAAATAGTAGAGTTTGTGCTGGGTGCTTCTTTTGCTTAGGAAAGTTTGTACCTGGGTCAGCCTCCTTATATTACTACCACGTATCTGAACAACAACAACAACAAAAGTGGGAATAGCAGATATATTTAAACAGTATTTTTCCCCTCTGTAGGCTTCACTGGATAAAGACATGAAAATTCCTTGCCTGCATCCCAGGAAACATTAACACTGCATTGCACAGACTTTCTTTTCCAAGAAATACCAGCATGTACAGACCAGGAGAGAAAGTGAAACGCCGGATGCGTATGCATGGTCCCAGCATAAGAAGTGTTGAAGTTGCTAGAGGAAGAGCTGGATATGGATTTACCCTTTCTGGCCAGGCTCCCTGTGTTCTTAGTTGCGTTTTAAAAGGTAGTCCTGCTGATTATGTGGGACTTAAAGCAGGAGACAAAATATTTGCTATAAATGAAATCAATGTGAAAAAGGCATCCCATGAAGATGTGGTGAAGCTAATAGGCAAATGCTCTGGGGTTTTACACATGGTCATTGCTGAAGGGGTTGGCCACGCAGACTCTGGCTCAAGCGATGAAGAAGTTGGGTTTTGTGATGGGAAGGGGTGGCTGAAGCCAAAGCCCGATTCCAAAGGACTGGGTATAAACAGAGCAGAGAAGGTTGTAGAAGAAATGCAATCTGGTGGAATTTTCAACATGATCTTTGAAAATCCTAACATTTCTGCTGGTAATCTGCAGACGACAACCAGAAAGCAAATGCTGGTCCATGAAACTGCTCTTGTTAAATTAGAAGTAGGACCTGAAAATAACAACCCAGATATTCCCTGTAATGAGGAACTGCCCAAAGCCTTGAATGATGAATCAGTTTTTAGAACTGGAGTGGAAAACCAGGAATATTTTGGATTAGATGCAAGTATTTTAAATGTAGCAATGGTTGTAGGCTACCTAGGATCAATTGAACTTCCATCTTCAAGTTCAAATCTGGAATATGATAGTTTGCAGGCTATTCGTGGATGTATGCGACGTCTTCGAGCAGAACAAAAAATCCATTCATTGGTTATAATGAAGATTATGCATGACTCTATTCAACTCTGCAATAATAAATCTGGTGTGATTGCAGAATATCCTGCAGAGAAGCTGGCATTTAGTGCTGTATGCCCTGATGACAGAAGATTCTTTGGGTTAGTTACCATGCAAACCATTGATGATGGAAGTTTGGCTCAGGAAGATGAAGCAGTTTTGAGGACCTCATGCCATGTGTTTATGGTGGATCCAGAGCTTTTTCACCATAAAATTCACCAGGGCATTGCACGACGTTTTGGATTGGAATGCACAGCAGATCCAGACACTAATGGCTGCCTAGAATTTCCAGTGTCATCTCTCCCTGTTCTTCAATTTGTCTCTGTTTTGTACAGGGATATGGGAGAATTGATTGAGGGAGTTCGGGCAAGGGCCTTTCTTGATGGAGATGCAGATGGTCAACAGAATAACAGTATGAGCAGTAATAGTGATAGTGGTATTGGAAATTTTAACCAAGAAGAGAAAAGTAATAGAGTTTTGGTAGTTGAACTAGGAGCTAACTCAAGTAAACATGTTCTTAATAGTGCACAAGACAGTGCAGTAGGTAGAAGTCAGGCTATTTCCCATTGGGCATTTGGTCATGAACAAGAAGGAAACTCTGCATTAGAAGCAATGTTTCAGAATGATAAATCTCAAAATGTAAGTAAATTCTTAGCTCCTTCAGCTCGCACTGAGGTTCCACTAGTTCCTCCCCAAAGCTCAGTTACATCATGCAAGAAAAATTCTGTGAACATTTCCAATCAAAGATGGTTGCCGGTTCATGTATTAAAAGATTGGCAACATGGATGTGTAAGTGACCAAGAGTCATACACAGATTCTACAGACGGTTGGTCAAGTGTCAACTGTGGTACTCTTCCTCCTCCCATGAGTAAGATTCCTGCTGACAGATACAGAGTTAATGGCAGCTTTGGGCAGCCTCATCTAATGTCTCAAAATAATGAATTGACTAAAAAAGGGTTTCATATACAAAACACATTTGACTCTCAACACAATGTCAGAAAGGCCAAAGAAGATAAAAAGGTAAGAATGTTCGTGTAACACTTGTTAGAAAATGCTTTGAAATTGCAGTCATTTTGCCCATTAATTGGAAAGCAGTGCTGTTAGAGAATGGGGGGAATATAATAAAGGAGCTGCTGTCTTCTGTTCTTTCCCCCTTGTCTGTAATTATTATCAGTACCATGCAAAAGAAATTGTACTTACAGATAATAGGAATGTTGAATAATAATATTGCACTGCATCTGTAGGGTGGAGGATTGGAATGTGATTTATGAGCAGCAAAGAATTTTTAGTGTCACCCATGGAAAATTAGACATAATAAGTCTGTTCTTTAATTTCTTTGTAGTACTGTATTTGCCCGCACTATATCAAATGGTCAAAGTTTTGGGGTTTATATGTATAATTAAACCATGTAACGTGCAAACCTCTTGTGAGATGAAACTAGAAAACCTCTGTAAAATATGCTTGCAAAAGAACTTGGGCTGGTACAATGGAGCTGATCTTTTCATAACAATTAAATCAACTCCAGGTGTTGCACACAGATGCAGAATGATAAGACTGCACAAAATACATTGAAAGAATGTATGGGCAGCAACTTTATTAAACCATTAAAGAATGTGCAACAGGGTAAACTTGGAAGTTTTCAATACAGACCGAAAAATGGCATTGTAAAGGCTATTGAGTGATTGGGGCAGAGTTAGAAGTATGCATACGCCACCCCAGCTCAGGGCCTATGAGCCCATATGGTTTTCAGTCGTTGCAGCTAACCTGTTCAACGTGTGATCTGGGAGGCTTTATAAAGGCCTCATTTTTCAGCCTTCTAAGCTTTGGGTAGGTGATGTGGCCATTCCACAAGAGAATTTCTGTCCCTGTTCTTCCAAGCGGAGTAGCACCAAGAGACGGGTCTGAGGAAAGGATGCCCTGCAGTGTTCCCCTCTCTAATCCTGTGCCATAACTGTCACCTGAAAGATATTCACGACCATTCCAGGAATGCTGCTGTGGTGGGGAATATGTAGCATCCACTACTACCAGGTTCCACCTCAAGTCCTATTAACCTTTTCCCTGGCTCTGGCAATGCACTTTGGGTGCTTGGCACATCTCAGAACCATCCTTTTCAACATAGCAGTCAACCAGCCATCTCAGTCTAGATATTCTTTAATCTGTTGGCAATAGGATTTGCCAGTTCTCACCCCCAAGTCATTTGCACCTGAGCGAACCAAAAGATTTTGAGAAAGTGGGAAGGCCTTCAAGTAATGAAAGAGGACAGGAAGCAGGCGACCTCACAACATGCTTCTTACTTTGCGCCCGTCTGTCTTGTTAATTGAGCATATGCCATACTGTGATCCAGGAAGAGCTCCCAGAATGACTTGCCCCACAAAGTTCCTGTAGCCCCACAAAATAATTTGTTTGGGGGCATTAGGCTCATATGTTTAAACCTCTAATAAAATATTAAGTACTGAGGTGCAGAGTCAGACCAGCCCACAATTAGAAAAATAAACAGTCAAATTTGACATATGGACAGGGAAGGGACCTGTGCTGCCTACCAACACAAATGAAAAACAAAACAAAAGAACACCTGGCCTTGAACCCATTGTGTCAGCAAGATTTACTGCTGGCCTATTACCCACTAAAATAAAGCGTCTCGCACTGTTAACATTCCTAAATGCCTGAAATTGCCACCTGCTAACCATTTGAATTAAAGGAGTGCCAGATATCCCCCTTTCATGGGACTATTCGTCTCCTTCAAAATTAGGGGCAGGATATTCAGCAACTTTCATGGCAGCAGGCAAATTTTAAGATTTTGCGGGGAGGAGTCTTGCCTTTAAATATGAGATGGCTCATAGTTTTTCTTGCATTTTAAAAAATCTTGGACAGAATGCCCTGGAAAGGATACTACATTATGATATAATGCCCTTCCCAAGGACATCTTGGAAAGGGATCAAAGCTGACTGCCAGAAACTGCCAACTGAATGAAGCAGCAGTAATTTTTTTTTTTTTAAGTCCTTGCTTCTTACTTAAAGTTAAAACACACACACACCCCATTCTTTAAAATTGCCTGCGATCTTTGGTGGTATTTGTCCTCCCCAACCCCCCACCCCAAATAACAATCAAAATTGGAAAGGACCAGGATAGCTCAGTTGTTAGAGCATGAGATGCTTAATCCCAGGGTTGTGGGTTCAAGCCCCACGGTCGGTGAAAGATTCCTGCATTGCAGGGAGTTGGACTAGAGGACCCTTGTGGTCCCTTCCAAGCCGATGATTCTATGGAAATTTAGCTTCAGTACAGCAAAAATTTGAATGATATGGTAATAAGTGTCCAAGAATGTAAGCATGTATTTTGCTCCAATCATAAGCCTACAGGGAGGTCAATATTGCTAAAAACAATTATAATTCAGAACTGGTTTCACATCAAAGGCACTGCGCCAGCATTCCTGAAAAGAGGTGCTGGAATATTGCCCTCAGGTCTTCATGCCTATATCTTGCTGCAATTGCACAGAAGCCGTGGACAGCAGTTAAGGCCAGAAAAAATAGATGTTCCGCTCTCCTGTTCCATCTTCGAGAACTGTAGTTTCATAGAGACAGCCTTCTCATGAACAGCCAGATCCCAAAAATCATGTCATCTGCCAAAACTGTTGAATCCAGAATGAACCAGAAGCTTTCTAATACAGAAGGATCCAGTATGTTCTAACTGCAGCTGCCTGAAAAAGATAAAGAACAAATATTTAAAAGGCAAGTGTTGCCAAGAACAGGTCCAGAGAAACAGGACTCCAACTATTAAAGCTCTAAAGGCCAATGCTTATAGGAACAGTCCTAGGTATGGTTGCATCAAGTGTCTTACAAATATTAGAAAACTTAAGGAATTAGCAAAATGCCCTAGCATAAACTGCCCTAGTAAGAGGAGCCAAATATGGAATGCCTGGCTCTCATTGCGCAGGCAGTTCCACCAAAACTCCAGTGTCCCATACTCTGTGCTCTCTGCACCGGCAACTTTGGCACCCTGTGTTGCATATGACATATGTCTCAGATGAACTTACAGTTCACACAGCATATTGTCTGGGTACATATTGTTTCTCTGTGCCAATAATCTCAGTTCCTAACTCGAGTCCTAGCACCAAGCACATGCTGTATAGATTTGTTACTGCTCCAGATGTCCTTACTATGCAGCTCCAATTCTGGGCTAGAGTACCTTCACAAAGACAATTTGGGTATATTATATTATATTTATTTTTGTTGTTGTTGTTGTTTCTATACTGCCCTTCATCCGAGGATCACATTCTTATTATTATTGGCACTGTTATTTTATTACTTATTATATTTCATCCAAAGATCACAGGGCAGTTCAAAGCATAAAAATACAAAATGAGAATATGAAATACATAATAAAAGAAAAGCATACCAATAACATCCCTCCCACAAACATATTTAAAAGGCCATAGAATGTTAATCAGCCAAAGCCTGGTAATCAAGAAACATTTTTGCCAGGTACCTAAAGACATGTAATGAAAGCACCAGGCAAGCCTCCCGCAAATGGAGAGCCACTGCAGAAAAGACCTTTTCTTGTGTTGCCATCCTCTGGACCTCTCATGGAGGAGACACATGAAGAATTATTGTTTTATTAAATTTGTATACCATCCTTTACCACCCCTTTGAATCTACAGAAGATTGAGGAATCTGTGCACAAGGCACACAATGTGGGGACTTTATCTCTTTTGTTGGCACTACTGCTGCTTGCCACCAACTGGAGGCACTCTGTACATTACCCAACAGGGAGTATACACCAGCTGCTGACCACCTTTTTTGAGCACAGAGAACTCTAAGGTTTCTTTGCTCACTAAGGTTACTACCAGTTCCAGAGGTGTCCCTCACATTGTATTGCCTCTACATCCCATGGTGAAGCAATATTCATACCACTACAGAACAGTTGGTTGCACCCTCCTTCCTCTCTATAGCATCTCCCTTATTTAGTTCACCTTCAAGTGAACTCCATGAGTGAACCTTTACACAATATTTGTACCTAGTCATCTAACTTTGTCAGTGTCTGTCTCCATAAACATACGTACTGAGGAATGCATCACTGTTCTCTTGATTTAACACAGCTTGCATCCTGTTGACTGTCTGAGTGTGTACACCATCGGGCAGGAGCTTCCTTCTGCCTCATGCATTAGTAGGAGTGGAGGGACCAGTCCTATGAATTAGAACAGATTATTGTTATGTCTTACCTATATAGACAATTTGACACTGGCTGTTAGGGACTATGTACACCTGCACACACTGCATGAAAATCATTCACCTTATTACACATATGTTGGGAGTATGCCCTGCATATGTCCCTTAATAGATGTACCTGGCTAGCTGTCTTATGGTACCTGTCATGCACCCCAGCTTCCCTGGATCCTAGACTATGAAAGGAAGGATGATTCAGCTAAAACAATGTGTTTCCTTTCTGTTCACCCACCCTTAGTCTCACACTGCTTCCAGGTGAAAGATTTTATTTCCATCACTGCATTCAGACACTGATCCAAAGCTTTCACAGCCTCTCCTGATTCAGATGTTATGGAGAAGTAAAGCTGTGTATCATCAGTGTATTGGTGACATCTTCCTCCAAAACTCCAAATGATCATTCCCAGTGGCTTCATATAGATATTAAATAGCACTGGGGAGAGAATAATGACTTGCGAAATACTCACCCAGAGCATATGAAGTACAGGGGAATCCCCACTTACACAGGGATTCAGTTCCCGCACACTGCATGTGTCACTGGGATGCGCACAAGTGTGAATTCCTCCATTCCGCCCCTCCCCCTTTCAGCACTGAAAACACATGTGTCAGCAGGAGCACACATGCTGATCACATGCGAGTGGGGAGACACCTGTAGTGCAATCCTTTGAAAAGCAGAGGAGGAAGTAATATTTAGCAGATTATTCAGTATATTATTTTCATTGATACAGAATTCCCAAGGAGAGGGTGTATTTATATACAGTGGTACCTGGGGTTACATACGCTTCAGGTTACATACGATTCAGGTTACAGACTCCGCTAACCCAGAAATAGTACCTCGGGTTAAGAACTTTGCTTCAGGATGAGAACAGAAATCGTGCTCTAGTGGTGCGGCAGCAGCGGGAGGCCCCATTAGCTAAAGTGGTGCTTCAGGTTAAGAACAGTTTCAGGTTAAATACAGACCTCTGGAACGAATTAAGTACTTAACCCGAGGTACCACTGTATATTCATAGGGGAAGCTTTTGCAGCCAGAACCTGCAGATTGTCTTCTTTGGGCTGCATGTTAGTGATGGGTAAGTTCAGAGACAAACATGGATAGGCGTAAAGCCAGAGCCAAAAGTGGGCAGGGCAGCAGATATGACTCTTATCGTTGTACAGTAGACTACAAACCAGTCATGCAAAAGTCAGCAGTTTCTACATGCATGTCCATGCGCGTGCGCGCACGCGCGCACACACACAAACACACACACACACCTCTTTATTCTGCAAACAAGAGGCATTATCACAGTTCAAGAGCACATTCCAGCCAGGTTAAAACACTTGAGGAAGCACAGAACTGTTGAGACGTGTCACTCGGGGCAAGTTCTAGATAGGAGGACACTTTTAGCCTCTGGGCCAGGCCTGCAGTTCCTCACCCCAATATATAATACTGTTGCATGTTCATTTACAAATATTTTTCATGTTTATTTCAAGATGGTTGTGCCTCATTGGGCCTCCCTTGTAGGACTACAGTATTTTATCTTATTTGGAAGTGAGGCATAGTTGAGTTTTTGAGGCTGAATATACTTTTGGGGGGAAGGATTGTTTTGGAGGAAAGGTTCATTTTATAAATGCTTGTCTTTTTAAAAATAATCTGCTTGCTCCAGCTGTTTTCTGCAATACCTGTTAACAACAGCATTTTTTCTGACCCCCCCCCCCCATGTTCCACTTTTATCCTTCCATATTCTTTTCAGGCTACTTTTGAGATTGGAGAGCAACATTCTTTAAGAAATGTTTAGAAATCAATGTTTATACACCTTGTCTGTTAAATACTGTACTAAACTGGGCTGTTCATATCCTATTAAAGGAAATTCCAAGCATATTAAAATCTCAGTTTACTAGTTATCCATTGTTGTAAACAAAATCTGCCCTTTTTCCCTTATGGGGATCCAAGAGCCTGTATAGAGTCCTTAAGTGGGTTCCCTGTCGGTAGGAGAAAATAACAGAGGCCAACCAAGAGAATACTGAGAAGCAAAGCAGCTAGTAAGCCTGATCTTTATTAAAACTGTTGCAACAGGGTGCTCCCCCCACACGCAGGAGGACCCAGAACCAGGGGGTGCCAGCCCTTATGTAGACTTTTGAAATTGCCCACCCTCAAACTCAAGACCATCACCCCAATACATCATACATACATCACAGAAAGAGGTGGTCTCCATCAAATTCCTGTCTGGCAGAAAACTTGTTAATGGTCACTGACTGGATCACCCTGCAGCCTGGCCATTCTTTTGTAATGATAAATACTTAGTTCCTGAGCCAGGTCACAGACTCACCCTATTCACACCTTAAATGTGCCCTTAAGGCAGGATTTGTGAGCACAGAGACAATGGGGGGGGGGTTTCATTTCCTACCCCCTTGCAGAGAAACATTTGGTCAGTTTGGGAGAGTCAAAATGGTTTCAAGACTGTCTTCCTGTACTATTTCAGATATATGGTTTATATATTTATGTACGTGTTTGCCTTGTACATTTAATTTATATACTGTATTTGAGACCTTAAATTCTTATAACACCATAACTAGAATTTCTTCTTCTCTCTGCTTATGCCCGAAGTCTCTTACTGCCTTTTCTCTTAAGACTACTTCTCCTTTCTCTTATAATCATATAGTCTTCAATGTTTCTCAGGGCCAAATTAAACAAGATACCATTCATGCAATTATCAATTGAGTGAATGGTTTTTAAAGGTAAATAGGAGGCACAGGGGGGCTGAATCTAAACTGGGACCCTGGTGGGTGAGGCACGGGAATTTCACATATTCCCCTCCACCCCACTGTAGCATATTAGGACCCACACAACTAATGTTGGCAGTGGAAAGCTTCCAGTTTTATGCAAATAGGAGTTCTCACCCCACCTGACAAAAAACATGCACAGCACCAGAGCCCAGACCTAGACTTGTGCCTGCTATTTAGTTTTTTGAAAATCACTCAATTGCTAATTGTGTGAATGGTGTCTCTTGTCGTTTTACTCTTAGTCTCCCCCCTAGATTTTTAACTGCAGTATTACATGGGGAATGAATCAGCTCCTAGGAGTCTTCCTGTGCTAGCAACAGCTGCATCAAAGAATGGACTTCTTTCCTTTCCTTTTGGTCCCTTTGACCAGTATGTACCCCAAGCTGACATATTTTAGATTAGCAGAAACCACATATAAAGCAATTTGCAACTTTAAAAAGTTACGTAAATTAAAAATCAAAGGTTTTAATGAGATACAGATTTCTGTTTATCTAGCATCAGAGCAGAGACAAAATTAAAAGTGATATAAGTGTATTCTCTCCCCCAACTTCAAACTTCCTTCCCACAACTGTAAAAAGACTAGGGTCTATACTCTTCACTGTCTTCCTTCTTTAGCTTATTTCCAGGAATTGAATCTTGTGTCTAGACTAGAGCAGGGGTCGGCAGCCTGTGGCCCATTGGCCACAAGCAGCCCACGGGGGTTGTTTAAACAGTCCACCAGCCGCCCACAAACTGAGCCGCCCGCTCGGCAAGTCCCCGTATGCTGCGCTAAACCGGCGCAGTGCGGAGTGGGGACTCGCTTCTGTGGCGCCGGAAATCGTGTCTGCGCATCTGGCCCCCAGAGTGAACTGGCCCAGTCGAGGTAAACCTTGCCAACCCCTGGTCTAGAGGCACCTTTGGATCTCCATTCAGAGCAAGGATCTGAGCCACCCATGAACACAGCTCTGCTCTGAGAGATCAAGCAGATTTATCCTCCCAAGTAGATCTCTTAAGTATGTCTAACAAAGAACTTAACGTCCTTTTAACTCCATCACCTTTAGTCACGTAAAACTTGATAATTTGCTGGGAGCATTTAAGGTCAAGTCAGTCTTTACATGTACGACACCTCTCATTTAAAGATATCACAGCAAATGTCAAGCTGGTATAGGTTAACCGCTGAGCCTAAACAGAATGTAAAACAAAGCTTTACCAACAATACATGATAGCCATCTTCAAATATCTGAAGGGCTGTCCCATGGAAGATGGAGCAAGCTTGTTTTCTCCTGCTCTCGATGGTAGGACTCAAACCAATGGCTTCCTGTTACAAGGAAGGAAATTGTGACTAAACATTAGGAAGAACTTTCTGGCGGTAAGATCTGTTTTACAATGGAATGGACGACTTTCTCAGAAAGTGATGGACTCTCCTTCCTTGGAGGTTTTTAAGCAGAGGTTGGATGAAGAATATGACTAATTGGGGTAGATCTCTACTATATAAGAAACGTTGTTGTTGAAAAAGCAGCCTCTGCAATGTGTAGAACAACATAACCTATGTCTGGAAGTCATTATTATGCGAAGCATTTCTCTTCCCTGTCAGGGGCAGTCAGTGATGCTCAGTGGAGGTGGGGTAATGGACAGCATAATTAGTCAGGGTAAGTTGTGCTAGACATTATGAAGGAGTGAGGAAGGATGAAGATAAGTTGCTATTTTCAGCAGTCACCACATGTTCCTTAGAACATGTAGTTCTGCCCTCAGAAATTAATGCATAGCAACCCAATATTAGAACAGTTTTTCTAGATGTTATTTAAAAATAGAACAAAATCCTACAATTAAAAAAGGTTACATTAAATTGCATGGCGCTAAACAGAATTCCAGCTGCTACTAATTTTGCTTTATAAAAAGCTTCTCTCCCTCTCTCTCTCTCTTTACTAAAAGGACAGTCTCCAAAGCAAAGTGAGCAGAGCTCTTGAAGATTGAAGACACTATAATTATGCAAAAGAAGAAACTGATAGTATTATGCAGATTTGTTAACATTGTCCTTGCATCACAAGTGACTTTGGTTTATTTCAGCAAACATCAGCTGTTCATTAAAAAAACCCAACCCTTAAATGCATATATGCCATGTGAGCTTATATGCATATATGCCAACTTATTTCAGTGAATGGTTTCATCTTGCTTTTCCTTCCAACAGGAAGCCTATTGCACTTAATAACAAAAAATGCAATACTTTTTTTTAAAAAGGAAGCATTGTATGAAATATTCTAACAATAAAAATGGTGCACTAATCAGTACAATATTTAAGAGGGGGAATTATCCATTAAATAATAAACAGCAGACATTTGAAGCAAAAGTCTAAGCAGCAACCCCTTTGGAATTACCCTTAGGTTATACATGCTGGCATCAACCACCTCCACAGTTTTACAGCACTGCTTGGAGTGCATTCATACATATTCATACATACATATATATATATAGTTTGTGTGTGTGTGTGTGTGTGGTTTTTATTCCATTCTGACTTAATTCCCTTTTTCTGTCTGCATACTACAGTGAAATCTCTTCCTGTTGACCCATGAGAGCTCTTTGCTCATGCTTCTCTCTGCTAACTCACCCTCACTTTTCTGTCTACATCCCATAGCATGCACACTCTTCTTTTTGCCCAACAGCAACTCTGCACTCCTAACTGACGGCTCCTCTCCTTCCGTTTTCATACTTGTAGGTTCTCTTTAGGCCTATAGGCCTGTTTCCCTCACTGAATCAAAAGCAGCCCAAACAAGAAGTCTGTAGTCCCTGTTAACTGCAGTAACAAATTTAAGTAGTTTAAGGCACCAGTTGAACTACGGTTACAGGCAGCCACTGGAGAAAGTGTGAGGCAGTGGCTTTACCATCTACCTAGCAGTAACCGGCACCAGTTTTCAACCTAAAGCAAACAGATGTAACTCCTGAACTGAGGAACAGGCTGCATGACTTATGTGTTGGAATAATGGCAGCAAAACTACAACCAAAGAAGTCAAGGGAGCAAGATGCAGGATACAAGACTGTTGGTGTTGAATAGAGAGTCTTCAGTTGCCAGACAGTGGATCTAAAGCAGATACAAGACCAGAAAACTGCAGCGATCCTGGAGGGCAAAGTGTTTATTCAGAGAACATACTGGCTGCTTTTGGAAATGCCACAGTTAAATGAAAGGGTACAGGAATAGCTTACAGCACAGCTGGGTGTAATTAAGAAGTTCTCCCGTTCTGCATCTGCATTACAAGCACCCTCCAGCAAAGATAATGTTTTCAAACTATATCTAGATATTTTTGAGGGGCTTTGATAATTTCCCAACACTCAGTGTATCTGCTTGGTTCCATCTGTGACCCCAAAGATCCAAGGATCCAGGAAAATATAGGCAATGCTACCAAATCTTAAGGCTACTTTTTAAAGGCTGGAGGCTGATAGAGTTGTTATCAAAGTGTGGAAACCCAAACCCTACCTAAGTCAATGACATGGTAATCAGAGAGTAAAAAAATAACTGTATAGTCATAGCAAAACAAAGCTAAGGGGCACCATTTCCGTTGCTGGCAATTCAGGATTCCCTCATCTTTACCCCTACCCCACAAAAGGCCAAATCAGCTAGAAATAAACTATTCATGATCCTGGATAAGTGCAGGTGACAGTAGACAAATAGCCTTCAGAAGTCCACATCTTTATTTACCCATGGAGATACTACTCCAACAAACTCCTTTTTGGAATAAAGTCTGCAAGTGTTCTAGTAGAAAAACGAGTGTTATTAAGTGCACACATCATAGCAGATGACATGATAATCGCATCAGCTGCCAAAGAACATGCTGCCATTCTAAAGCAAGCGTTGGGCAGAGCTAATCAAAAAGGAGGAAAACTCAACAAGAAACAGTACAATGCCTGAATCACAATTTGTCAAATATATGGAGTTAAACCAAGTGAAAGCAAGACAGAAGGCATCTGCTTACAGAAGATTCTCAGTACTAATCAGTAACTAGCATAAACTAAATAAGTTTAGCCTAACAGCACAACCGCTGAAAAATAATGTCATCTGCCAATGGGGACCAAAATATGAAGGCTCAAGCAAAACCTTACCACAGCTCCAAGGGATAACACAGCGGATACTATGACCTGGCAGAGCAACTTGAAGTACAGACACATCTAAGGATGGTCTAGGTGCATGTCACTTCCAGAAGAGAGAATCCATAAAGCCTGTTCATCGCTGCCATCTCTATTGCATCAGCTGAAAACAGTCGCGGGAGACTCATTCAAGAGGTTCATAATTTAATAGAACCACTTTCTCCATTGAGGTCCTGTGAGGTCGAGATCTCCTGCAATGATTTTGCAGTTTTTTGCAGATAAAATCACTCAAATTCAGAAAGAGGTTGACTCTACCATGGTAGCAGAGCTGAGCTGGGTGAGTGCCCATGCTCTGTCTGGTCAAGTTGTATGGGACCGATTTCAGCTTGTTACCTCTGAAGAAGTGGTCAGGCTGCTTGGATGAGTGTAACCAACCACCTGTTTGCTTGATCCTTGCCCATCCTGGCAATCGAGCCAGGCTTGGCTTGGCAAAGGGCTCCATCGGGTAGTGAATGCTTCCCTCTGTGAGGGAGTCTTCCCAGAACCGCTTAAAGAAGCAGTTGTTTTAAAAACTATATTTGGAACAGCCATTGTGGCCAGTTATCTCCCAGTCTCAATTTTTCCATTCTTGGGCAAGGTGATGAAGCGGGTGGTCGCTGAACAACTCCAACCATGTCTGGATGATGCCCAAACATGACTTCCCAAACTTGTCTTGTTGGTAACTCCTGCCCACCTACCTGGTGAGGATTCTGCAGGGCACTTTGCAGCACCTGCTACATCCCTAGGAGTTGAGTTGAGGAGAACAGGGTAAGGAATATCCTGGTTATCTAAGAGACTACTTTGCTTTCCATTTCTAGCTTTTCCCTCACTCTTACTCATTACATTTTATATCCTGTCCTTCCCCCAAGGTGGCATATGTGGTTCTCTCCTCCCTCTTTGATTCTCACAACAGCCCCATGAGGTAGGCTATGATGAATCAAAGTATGGCAACCATACACGTTGGGAGAAAGGAGGGGTTTGTGTGGGCTAAACCCTTTGAATTGGGCTTATTAAAAAGACAAAAAGGCCTGGGAACCACATGTCTAAGCCCAGGGCTGTGTGTTGCATTTGACATGTGACTGTTGCTAAAAGCAGCAGCCCCACATCTCTTCTTTCCCTCATAACAATTAGCAAACCAAAAAACAAAAAAAAGGTGATGTCATCATTATGTTGTGAATTTGCCATTCCTATAAATGGTGGTCAGTGAGGTAGCATGGAAGCTACACAGTGGTGATGTCGTGTTATGGGGTTTGCCTTCTTAAGCAGGAATGAGGAGAAGATGACACAAGGGCACTGCTTTCAACAGTGGCCTTTTATCAGCTATAATATGGTGTCCTGGCTAGTGTACTTTGCTCATTTATGAAAGTAAATTTGCAAATAGCAGACGCGTTAGTTCACTTCCCATTATCTCCCAGACACACATGAAGAATGTATTTATGAGTATTCATAAAAGAAGTAGGAACCATGCTACTCAAAGGGGGCTTACACCCTGGTATATGTGTATAAGATTGCAACAGAAGTTGAGTCCCTATTTATAGTAAGAAGTAAATGGAGAAAACCACCCTTGAGAATGGCTAGTAGATTCTCCCACAAAAGCAAAAGTCTACTGTTTCGTGTGCAGACTTTTCTGTAACCAACCTGCCTCAAATACAGCTTTAGCTTCTACTGGATTTGATTACTGGCATCCCATGGAAAATTGAAAAATCATATGAACTCTATGCTAACATGCTTAACTAGAAAGCATAGTCAAATGCTCACATTAGCTGGTAATTTTTATTTTTTTGTGAACCTGCATGCAAACAAGAAACAGATTCACAATTGCATTGCTGGAAGTGTATCCAAAGGATGTTGGCCTTAGTCTAGTCAATGAACTCTTTCACTTCCATCTGTGCAAACTTACCCTGTGGAAAAAGAAAGTTTCAGCCACCAATATATGTATCAAATAATATTACAGGAGAAAATTTGGACAGGTTTTCCAAATGTGGAAACAATTTTCAGATTGTTTGTGTGTTTAACAATTACAAACTGTACTGATGAAAGATTATTTTCTAGACTAAGAAGGATATAGCATGATGTATGGTCAACAATGTCCCAAGATCATAGCTGTCAACCTTCCCTTTTTTTGTGGGAAATTCCCTTATTCCAGCGCCATTTCCCGCTGCTTCCCGCTGCTATCCTGGATTGTTAGATATCCCATAGACTGTCCCCAGGACAGGTGAGGCTGCTGATCCCTTATTTTCTAGGGTGCTGATGCCTTATTTTCAAGTTGACAGCTATGCCCAAGATTGGTTGTGTGATCTAAGCATTCTCTGCACAGAAAATGATAAACTGCAACTCACTGATTTTAATGATATAATTGATAAGTTGGCATCTAAAAATGCTCGAAAGAAACTATTGCATATAGTGTAATGTTATAGCTATGATTCCCCTATGAATGTTCTGTGTGAATGTCTTCATTAATTCCATACTTTTGTAAACTTACTAAAGTTTATAAATTTAGAAACAATATTTTCATGAATGCTCAAATTTCAGCAATGTTCTGCTTCCATTGAGTAGATAAAGAAGAGAATGGGGTTTTGTTTCTCAGGAGCAGATGCTATTAAATTCAGGCCTCCCAATGTCTCCTGGCCCAGGGCCTCCAGTTGCTTTAATCCAGACCTGTCCAGAGGAGTGTAAGAAAACAAAGATACAAAAGGGTGATTCAGAAGGCAGTTGAAGATGGTGTCTGGTGTCTAACATTGTGGTTTATTAAAGGGAATAAGAATTGATTTATAGTTGATGTTCTCTGATCAGGGAAAGTATCTCCTGGGCTATGACATGAGGTCAAGGTTGCTTCCGCCTAATACTGTTCTCTGCAGTGCAACTATGTCACCTATGTAAACAGAACTGCACTAGAAGGCTAGGGATGAAGGCAGATGGGTGGTAGAGCATCTTTATTTTAACCTGCAGTATTAATGCTGCCTGCCACTTATCTTCAGTTTGTGCACTTTTCTATGTATATCGGATTATTCACTGGTCTCTTTTTTATTCTGTTTCACTTGCTAGCTAAAGTAAAATTTGTTCAAGATCTATTTCATTGATTAGAATTTAAAAAGCAGGCATGTTACCGCAAGCATCTGTGTAGCAGATCTAGGCGGTAAAATAAATAATAGTATATCATTGTTTAGTTGCTAATCTGCACATAGTCCCACAAATGACTATTGTTAAGCCTGCTTTTTTAAACTACCGTATTTTTCGCTCTATAAGACGCACCAGACCATAAGACGCACCTAGTTTTTGGAGGAGGAAAACAAGAAAAAAAATATTCTGAATCCCAGAAGCCAGAACAGCAAGAGGGATCGCTGCGCAGCGAAAGCAGCGATCCCTCTTGCTGTTCTGGCTTCTGGGATAGTTGCGCAGCCTGCATTCACTCCGTAAGACGCACACACATTTCCCTTACTTTTTAGGAGGGAAAAAGTGAGTCTTATAGAGCAAAAAATACGGTAAATACTAAGTGCCATCAACGGGGATAATAAAGTCAAATAAATTTTGCTGTATCAGGAATGAATAAAGCAATATAATTAAATATATATTTCTTGGCTTATTTAGTGTACAAAGTTTGGACCTACTTCTGGTTTAGGACAGCTTCCCCAGCGCTCTTCTGCTCGAAGATCATTTGGACGGACAAAGAGATTCAGCATTACTCGCTCACTTGATGATCTTGAGGTAATTTTATTACACTAAGCTTCCACTGTTTCCTGTGAAGAGAGAGTGAACAGGCATTGATAAGCTGCTTAAACAGTACTCTAAGGAAAGTAGATATGTTCTCAAACGAGAGTAAATTAACGTGTTGCTTTTCTCTGTTCTGGTTGACAAATCACTTTAAACCACTGTTAAGCTTGACTGTGATTTAAAAATGAATGTGCCATGTCCTGGGGGGTCACGTCACCCCTCCCTGCTCCCACTGCTGATGCTGCCAGGAGTTGAGCCCTGCTTTGGCTTAGCGTTGCGTTTGGACCCAGACTCGGGAATTACCGTATTTTTTGCTCTATAACTTTTCCCTCCTAAAAAGTAAGGGGAAATGTGTGTGCGTCTTATGGAGTGAATGCAGGCTGCACAGCTATCCCAGAAGCCAGAACAGCAAGAGGGATTGCTGCTTTCACTGCGCAGCGATCCCTCTTGCTGTTCTGGCTTCCGAGATTCAGAATATTTTTCTTGTTTTCCTCCTCCAAAAAGTAGGTGCGTCTTGTGGTCTGGTGCGTCTTATAGAGCGAAAAATACGGTATATCTCTCCAAACAAGCCATGAGCTATAACCATACAGTGGTGCCCCGCAAGACGAATGCCTCGCAAGACGGAAAAACCGCTAGACGAAAGGGTTTTCCGTTTTGAAGTTGCTTCGCAGGACGAATTTCCCTATGGGCTTGCTTCGCAAGACGAAAATACCTTGCGAGTCTTGAGATTTTTTTTTCGCTTTTCCCCCCTTTATCTAATCTGCTAAGCCTTTAATAGCCTTTAATAGCCGCTAAACCGCTAATAGCGCTAATAGCGCTAATCCGTCAATGGGCTTGCTTCGCAAGACGAAAAAACCGCTAGACGAAGACTCTCGCGGAACGGATTAATTTCGTCTTGCGAGGCACCACTGTATTTTGTTCTTGCCTTACTGGTTATGGCTTGTTTAGGGAAGGCAAACCATGAAACTCAGTTTCAGACGTAATCCTAAGGCTGAACCCTCAGAAGCAAGAATGGGGGAGGAGTGAAGGGGCTGCAGTTTTCTTCCTCTGCATCAGTACACTGCACATTCACCTTTAAACCATAATTAAGCTTCATTATGGTTTCAAGTGGCATGCAAATGAGGCCATTTAATGCATGCATGCTAAATATTCTTATAATATAGGTGGTGCTGCTGAACATGTGGAATTTGTGTTATAAATTTGCCTAGGTTCTCGGTTTGATGCCTTGTAACAAAATCCCTGCTTTCGTAACAATGCCTAGCCTTCATCATTGTGTGTGTGTATGTGTAAGCGGGGAGAGTCTCTACTAGTCTTCAAAAAGTGAACACTGAATAGAATGTAGCTCGAAAAGCGTGATTTTCAAAATGTAGCAAGCTTCTAAAAGAATGAACAATTCATTACTGGGGTGGCAATATCCTATATATTTTTTATATAGTATATTCAGAAGTAGTCATTTTTAGCTACGCGAATGACTTTTTTGTGGTTGGAGTTTGACTAATGCTATGACATAATAGATGTATCCTCAGTACTTCATAGGCTTGTGAGTTAAAATAAATGGGCGTGGTACTGAAATGTATGAGAATCCTGTTGCACAAGGAAAAAGAATTCTGTAACCTTCTTTTGCTTAGTCAAAGGAGCAAGGAACAGACAAGTCGGATGAAGCAAATAGCATAATAGGCTTGCATGTGATTGCAATCTTGAAGGAACATGCAGCTACATGCCGAGAAACAGAGAAAATGGGAACAAGCTGTATAAAGTTGCTGTTTGATTTTAGAGCTAGTTTAAAGTTTTTCTATACAGTTCACACTGAACCTATGAACCACTAGTATGCAGTCTCTGTGGAGGGTTCATTGTTATGCAAAGACAGTCACAGCAACAATTTAAAGCCTTGAGTGCAAGCTGTTTTTTCTTTTTCTTTTGATGGGTAGATACACAAACTGGTGCTTAGTCTGGGTGGGTCTCCACTGTGAAGGAAGGAAGAAGAGGCACCTTAGTTTCATTTGTTTTACTGGACAGGAGAAGTAAGCATGTGTGTTCGTAGGAAACTTTCCTTAAAATGAGAGAGAAGTCCCTTAGGGGCAACTTGTACATGGAGGAACTTTGCAACTTTAGTCACGTAAGTATGCTTCATTTATCTAATAGTGTATATGGAACTCAAGAAAGTGACTTAAAGGACAGCCTTCAGTTGCAAGGTCTTCCATATAGTTCCTGTAAAAGTCTACATTCTGTCCAGATGATTTCCCCCCTCTATTAATGTTAACTGATAATTTTTATATTTAATTCTTTTATTGTGTAAGTCAGCAGTAAAGTGGTTTTCCAGTAGGTACTTATGCAACACTGTGCACTGTCATTTTTCTAAGAATAATTAAATGCATTAAACAATGGCAGCTCCTCATGTATAAAAATAATTTGACTGCATGGTTTGATGGTTCTTTGTATGTTTATTTGGTAGACCTACCCGTTGGGGGTTTTCATGACTCAGATAAAGTTTGAGACGGGGATGTTTCAGTTTTTTAAAATGTTTAATGTTTCTTAAATGAAACACAGAGAAGTATTCTAAAGGCTCTGTGTCATTAAAAAAGGAAGGGGAACAATATGCCCGGGCTAGATTGTTAATGGGATACATTCCAGTAAAACACACACACACACACACACACACACACACCTCACTGGTAGGCATATCTATCTTCAACAGGTTGTTAAAAGAGACCTTACATATTTTTGTGGCTATTTCTTGGCTATCCTTATTCTTACTGGTAAAGAAAATAAAACAAGCACATTTTTAATACGCAAAAAAATTGTCTTCTAAAAAATCCTTTGTGGCTACAAACTTATGAGTAGAATTGGACTTGCTTCAGTGCTAGCATGCATTGGATAGCATATTTTTTATTGGTATTGTAAGTTTCAACCATATCCTGAAAAACATGTTCAGTTTTCTTAAGAGTGACATTTGAATGCTTTGATACAGTTTTTTCTTTGAAGTAGATTCTCTAGGGAGAATATATTTTTGCTATACAATCTCATTGTTTTAAAAGGATTATTATTAAGACTGAAACTTAATTGAAACTTTAATAGCTTAATCATTGAAGGGTTAGTCAATCTATTAGTTAAATTTGAATATTTATACAGCATTCTTCCCGTTCCCATATATATAACACTAACGTATTTGGTGTGTTTCATATTTTCACTAACTTCTGTTGCTTCCTGCTGGGAGCTGCTGCTAACACAAGATATACGGCCTTCATAAATGGAGGTTCCATCCCTAACTGTCCTGGTTAAGAAATTCCTTGATTAAACAGATCTGGCTGTTCATACTTAAGAACTGCCTTGCTGGAAGAGAACATGAGTTCCTATAATTTAGTGTCCTGAACAGCAGACAGTCCAGTATTCCTTCTGAGAAACCCACAGGTTTTGAACTCCCACCCTATCCCCTAGCACCTGCTATCCTCTGCCTGTGTGTTTTTCTTCATGGGCTGAATTTGTGGGTGGAGTGGAGAGACAATGTGGCCTTGAAGGAGTAGAGCAGCAGCTGCCCTCTCCCTCTTTACCCTTCCCAGTAAAAAGCTGGTGAGAAGTGCAGAAGGCTGTGCCATTTGCACCAACATCCACCTCCCCTTCTCAGCATTTGTTTGCTCAGTGACAGAGCACATCCTTGGCATACCGGAGGTCCCTGCTTTGATCCTTTGCATCTCTAGTGAAAAGGATTGTCTGGCCAGTAATGAAAAAGACCTCTCTCTCTTCCTGAGATCCTTAGAGAGCCAGCCACTGCCAGTAAGAGTAGACTAAATGGAGAAATAGTTTGGCCTGGTATAGTCAGCGCTGTCTTTAGCATATGTGCTGCCGGGGTGCAAAGATCCACCCAGCGCCCCCAAATTTAGTTTAGCCCCCAAATTAATTTTTATTATGCTTATGTCAGACACCACGCTTACGCCTGATCTCTTGCTTAGGAAAGAAGGAAGGAAAAAGAAACAAGCATTTTTATTTTCTCATTTCTTTACAATACACTTATACTTAAGTATACAACACCACCACACTTAAACTTACAAGTATTGTTTAGGCACCTCCTTAGGAGAAACATCAGTCATGTCAAAGGTGCCACTCACCCCGCTGCCGCATAGCAGCTTAATACAATATGTAACGTAATATTTTGATGTAAGAGTTACTTTTGCGTGCACGGTGCCATTGTGAATGACAAGTGCCGCCATTGTGAATGATAAGCACACCGCTGGCGCGGTGCATCTTTGGTAAATGAGCGCATGATGTCGAAAGTCCTTTAGTGAAACAGTAGGTATACATTTCAATAATACCTATGTATTTTGTTTTTCTAGCTTGATCAAAATTATGTATTATTTCAATGACAGGTAGATAGTTAAGAGCTTAAGCGGCTTCAGCAGCGGGCATCTGGCGCCCCCAAAAATTTGGCACCCGGGTGCCCCACACCGCTTGCACCCCCGGGTAAAGACGGCCCTAGGTATAGTGCGGCTTGCTACATGAGTGAGCCTCTTCCTTCCCAGCACAGCAGCCGCTGGGATCAGCCAGGGTGACTTGCATGCTGAACATCTGACTCAGATGTTCAGCATGAGAACCACCCCGGACACCAAGTAATGAGCCTTATCAGTGTCAATTGGTCTGAAGGGGATGGGGTTGTGTCAGTGAATCATGTGCTGAACACAAACTATGCAGAGGAACTTTGCACGCAGAGAAGGGAAAGGAGGGGGAGAAAGTTGCAGCTCAGCACAGCTCAGGCTGATTGAGGCTAAACATTGGGAAGAACTTTCTGAGCTGTTCAACAGGAGAACGGTTTCCCTCGGGAGGTGGTGGGCTCTCCTCCATTGGAGGTTTTTAAATAGAGGTTGGATGGCCATCTGTCACAGATGCTTTAGCTGAGATTCCTGCATTGCAGGGGGTTGGACTAGATGATCCTTGGGGTCTCTTCAAACTGTACAATTCTATGATTCTAGAACCCAAATTGGGTTCAGAGCTTTGACAACTGAAAAGAGGATATTGGTCCACAATATTGATCAAGGCAAAATATTTTAATCTTGAGGCCACTTATTACATTACTTCATTTATTGTTTTAGTTACTTAATGCTGCTGGAACAAATAATATGCAGTGAAGAAAACAAACTTATTTGCTTCCCTGGGAAGGGGGGTCTTTTGAGACAGAAACCCATTGATAGAACTGTCTTTGATTCTTTGTGAAAAACATTGAAAATTATATTTGCTTGTAACATAATGGGGGGGGTGTTGTTTTTGTTTTTACATCTGCCAATAATTGCCCCAAACCAGTATCTATCTACCTCTTTCCTGGATTTGTTGAGTCTCCATTTCAGGGGAGGGGGACCCCTCGTCTTAGAGGGTACCAGGAGTATGCTTAAAGGTAAAGGGTCCCCTGACCATTAGGTCCAGTCATGACCGACTCTGGGGTTGCGACGCTCATCTTGCTTTACTGGCCAAGGGAGCCGGCGTACAGCTTCCGGGTCATGTGGCCAGCATGACTAAGCCGCTTCTGGCAAACCAGAGCAGCGCACGGAAACGCCGTTTACCTTCCCACCGGAGCGGGACCTATTCATCTACTTGCACTTTGACGTGCTTTCGAACTGCTAGGTTGGCAGGAGCAGGGACCGAGCAACGGGAGCTCACCCCGTCGAGGGGATTCGAACCACCAACCTTCTGATCTGCAAGTCCTAGGCTCTGTGGTTTAACCCACAGCGCCATGCTTACTTAGACGTAAATCCCATTGCATTAGTGAAGCAAGGCAGTTCCTGTTTAGGTAATCCAGCATCGGGTCTGTCCCTGCCCATTGCCACATTACCCTCAAGGAGTAATCCTAAAAACTCATTTAAAAAAAAAAAGAAATTAAAATTCAGAGTGCTCAGGTTGTCTGTGGGAAGATAGTGCTCACAAGGGTCACATTGTGGGGCCCCAAAGCTACTCTGATGCCTTGAGTAAGCTTTGCCTGGTTCAACTTATGTGCCTGGCTTGTATATGGATCTTCAAGATGTTCCTTTGAAGGAAAAAAAGTTAAAGTCACTCTCACCTATATCCTCTGCACATAGAGGATTTACTACTTGCTTGTTCCTCCTCTTTCTTTGAACATGACTGAAGAAAGCTTTTAAAATTTTATTTTTAACCTCTCTTGCAAGCCTGAGTTCATTCTGAGCTTTGGCCCGCCTGACCTTCTCCCTGCAACTATTGGCTACTCATATATACTCTTCCTTTGTGATTTCCCCATTCTCCAAACACATTCTTGCCGACCACTGTGAGGTGCAACCCATGTCTGGCCAGAAGTCCTTCCTCAAGGAAGCGGAAACTATGGTCTAAGAAGCCAAATCCTTCCTGACAACACCACCTGCGCAGTCAGTGGTTTACTTCCAGTATTTTCCTCTCTCTTCCTGGACCAAGACCTTCAACAGAAAGGAGAGATTTAAAAACACCTGTGTCTCAAGGCCCTTCAGCCTCCTGGCCAGAGTCTCATATGTCAAAGGCTGTGTTTGGCAGTATTGTTTGTACCCACATGAATCAAAAAGAGAAGGGGTTGTTGTTAGTGGACTTTATAAGATTTGGCAGTTTCCCTGTCACATTGTGAATCTTTGCAGCTGGAAGACAGCACACCTCCCGGGACATCCTGTTACTTCCGCACACTGCTGCCTCTAAAGATAACTAAAGAAAAAACAGTATTATATAAGGAGAGTGGGGATGCTTGAGACATGCCTATCCCACCTTTGAGCAATGGAGTCTTTGATGGACAGGCAATATTGGTAGACAGGCAGGGGTTGTGCAGACCTTCATGACAAATACATACTCTGCTGTGTCACATTTATTATACTTTATCTCAAACATTAAATCTAGTTCTGTCCCCAGTTTGTTGTTTTACATAGAAGAGCAGTCTTCAACTTTTGCTATTAGTTTTGGTAAAGGGTCCCGGATAATAGACTATTGCATTCCTGTATAATTTTGCACCACCTGTTTTTAAGGAGCATTTAATACAACATATGCATACACACTGATTTTCGATAATCCTGATATATTACCTTTTTCCAGTAGTGGAAGGGACAAAGACTTCAAAGCTGCTCCCCAAACCAATTATTCAGCAACCCAGCAGGTTATCTGAGATTCAGCAAACCTTTCTATCTTTGCAGCTATGAGGACTGGAAACCTCATTTTAAAAATATAAATCTGAGATGCTCTGGAAGCTGAATTCTGTACATACTGCCACACCTTGCCCATTTTTGCACTCTTGCAGCCATGGCAGATGCACAGACCTAACTATAGTGTTCTTCTGCAAACGCACCATTTCAGACTGAATAAAGTGTGTTATGTTATTTGCTACAGACAGGATTTGTTAAATACCACAGCCCCAGTTCTCCAAACTATCCTTGTTCTGTGAGATAGCCGAGATACAATCTGATCCATCATGAACTGGAGCGTTCTGCGGTGGCTGGTTGCTATTGGTAACATAAAGGGAGTAAAATAGAACATGTGAAATGCCTTTAAACTTTGTAGGCATTTTGCACAGGCAGTGCGGAGTATTGGATGGTGCACTTAAGCTCTTGAGAACCTATTTTATTTAAGAAATGCTCCACCATCTAAAGTAAAGATGAATTTAGGAAAGGTGCTTCTGGCAAAAATAACTGCTTTTTCTTACGATGAACAGGTAAGCAATATGATTGCTTGTCACAAGGGACTGTCTTGCATTGGAGATTAGAGACCAGAATTATAGATTATTATTATTCCATATTAAGACTTTTGAAACTTATAGCTGAAATTGTATTTTGTGAAAAAATAATTTTAAAAAACAAATGTTGATTATGGGAGTTATGTGAAAGAAACTACATAGCAGCAGTTTTACAAGTTTTTTGTTTTACTCATCAAATTTTAGTGTGTAAATATTAACTTTATCAGAGATGTTTCAAGATGAAAAGCAAATTTGACAATCATCTATAAATGGTACAGATTGCTTATGTCTTCTTGTCTGTTTGCAATAAACCACACAAATGCATTTCTGTTTTGGAGGAAAAACCTTTTATTTTTTAAAATTTGAGTTGAATTTTTTTGACACCAGTGTCTTGTAATAATTTCTCTAACATGGCAAGAAAAAGACTATCATCTTTGTCTTCTTCTTGCTTTATTGTTTTTATGCAAGTAGACAATTTTAGAAGTGGAAAGAAAATAATTTTAAAAATCATTCTGAAGTAAAGGAATGTTATCAAATTGTGATGAATCAGCTTCCTGCACAACAGAAATTATGATTTATTACAGTTACTTTGTTACTTTTTGGTGTTTTAAAAATAACCTGCTTCAATTTCCTCTGTAAGAAATGTCTGGTATATATCTGTCCTTTTCTTTAAAAAAAAATCAAAGTAAAATGAATGAGTGATAACTGGGGCAGGAACCGGGGATGAAAATATGCAGAAAGTAAAATACATCTTTTTAAGGCATTCATTTCATAATAGTAATACTTATATTTTTATGTTTAGGTAGTGTCTTTAAAATAATATTTATTTTCATACTTACGTCCAGAGAGGTTGTGTGTCATTTGAATTTTTAAATTTAAATGAAAATATTGAATATGCATAATCTCTGTGTTTGCAAAAATATAATTTGCAAAATAGAAACATTGACCAGAAACCAGGAAGACACAAGAGAGTGTGCTTCATGGAAGGGAGCCCCTTAATCTGCCAGGAGAGCTTTCAGAGGGTGAGGGGCTGTTGCCAGATGGGGAGAGTTGAAAAGTCCCAGTGCAGAACATCACATGAAACACTCTAGATCTCAGAAGCAGAACAGGCGTATCTGCTGTGTGATAACAGCAATCATTTATATACCATTCAGGTTGTTTCTCATATGCATTGTTGCTGTAGGCATGACACTTTACAATCTAAAAAATAGACACAAAGAGAACAACAGGGGAAGGGATATCAGGGTAAATGGGAAGTATATGCAATTACTTCAGCTGCACCTACTGAGGTTTAGTTACAGTAGGGTTAGGGTCTGAGGGTTGTTCCACAGGCTTCATGAAAAATGTGGGTTTTGAGGAGGGACTTGAAATAAAGAAAGAAGCTGGTCTCTGAAACTTTCTGGGAATCAATTTCAGGCAGAAGGGGCAGCAATGGAGAAAGCAGCTGTAGTTGCAGGGAGTAGGAAACCTTCTGATGGTTGGTGAGGGTGTTTAAAAAGTGAAAGACACAGGTAGGTGTGTGCTAGGATACAAGAGGAAGGAGATGGGGGCATGTGAGAGACTAGGGGTTCTGGCTTGTGCAAGGGCCTGGAATGGCTGGAAGCCAGTACAGTTATACCTTGGGTTAAAGACGCTTCGGGTTAAATCTTTTCAGGTTGCGTCCCGTGGCGACCCGGATGTACCAGAAAGGATTACTTCCAGCTTTCGTCGCATGTGCAGATGCTCAAAATGATGTCACTCACATGCGCAGAAATGACGAATCATGACACGCAGACGTGGGTTGCGTTCTGCTCAGGTTGCGAACGGGGCTCCGGAACGGATCCCGTTTGCAACCAGAGGTACCACTGTATAGGGATTAAAGGAGAAGTATGGGGGGGAGAAGGGATGCGGGTGGCGCTGTGGGTTAAACCACAGAGCCTAGGACTTGCCGATCAGAAGGTCGGCAGTTCGAATCCCCGCGACGGGGTGAGCTCCCACTGCTTGGTCCCTGCTCCTGCCAACCTAGCAGTTCGAAAGCACGTCAAAGTGCAAGTAGATAAATAGGTACCGCTCCGGCGGGAAGGTATTTCCGTGCACTTAGTCATGCTGGCCACATGACCCGGAAGCTGTACCCTCGGCCAATAAAGCAAGATGAGCGCCGCAACCCCAGAGTCGGTCATGACTGGACCTAATGGTCAGGGGTCCATTTACCTTTACCTTTATGGGGGGGCTACCCTTGGGGTTGGCCTGGAAGCTGCAGCTTTCCCCAACCCCAACCAACAGTGGTTAGATGGCTGGCGGGGTGGGGGACTGTCTATCACCAGCATATAACGCTTTGTTTGAAGGATTTGCAGTGGCTTCCAATGTGCTACCCGGCCATGTTCAAGTTTTTGTAGTATTAAGGCTTTACGCAAATGAGGACTAGGTTACGTACTTCAGAGAGTGCCTTATTGCTTGTATACCCAGTCAGTTGTTGCATTCTGCAGAAGAGTTTCTGCTTCAAGTACCATCCCCACACTAACTTGGGCAAGCCTATTAGTGTGGCTGCCTCTGTTCCGTAGAACACCATTCTTGTTGAGGTATTGCACAGGCACCCACTATTTTTACTTTCTAGAAACAATGGAAGACATTTTTATTTCAACAGGCTTCTCCAGTTTCATGAGAAGGTGCCTCTGCTCATTTTGTATTATTTTTAAACCTGTCTTGTTATTTTTTGTACCATTTTAAAAACTATTTTAGCGGTTTTTATATGTTCATAAATTGCCTTGACTCAAATGTCGAAGGCATAAATTAAGAAAATGCATACAAATAAAAAGGTGAAAATACTGTTTTTGGATATTCTAAGCTTGAGAGAACCATAAAGCATACAAGGGGAAATATTAGAGAAGCACTTGGAGATGCAAGACTGGTTCAGAAGTAGAACAGGATTTCATCAGCATATAAACTACTGTTTTATTTGTTGATTTTATTTCTATCCTGTCCTTCCTCCCAAAGGAGCCCAGAGTAGCAATCAACAAATTGGTAAAACAATATAGTAGAGGTAAAAACATGTCTAAAGAATGTAGAAACAATGAAAAACATTTAAAACAATAACCTATCCTCAGAGATAATAATTCCAAGGTTGTCAGTATCTTTGGTAGTATTGAAAGCCATAGGATGTGAAGATGTTTTCCAGGGTCACTAAATATAGAGAGAATAGTGAAGGTCCAAGTAAAGTAGCTCAAGGAATGTATTAACTTGAGAGTAACCTTCCAGGAAACACAAGTCAACAGATGTGATTTTTTTTACCTTTTGTACAGTACATTCCACACACACACACACACACACACACACACCCACCCTCATTGGAGCCAGCAAGTGGCTGTAGTTCAAGGGTCAAAGTTAAACAACGAGAAAAAGAGTTGACAAAGGTTCTGAAGGAGGGAGATCTGGAAGAGGGAGGAGAGAGGGGTGTCAGAGCAAATAGATTCAATTATAGCATTGAAGAAGATGGCAAAATCTTAAGGAGGGGAGAGGCGGAGGAGCAGGCATTGGCCAGGTATCTTCAGGGTGTCTTTAAAAATTATCCCCAATAAGAAGAGCTTTCTATCACTAAGAGTGCAACATAGTTTGAACATCATTTATTTTTCTTTTCTATAATACTGATTTTTGGCTACAATTCCATATGCATTTATCTGGAAGTAAAGCTCTGCTGAACTCTTTGGGACTTGCTTCTAAGTTGACAAGTGTAGGATCGTACTGTTCATTAATCAAGGTAAAAGAGTAAAATGTGGTAGATTCATGAGACAAGAAAATGGAGATCTTAATTTGACACATGGAAGGGAAGGTGGCGCTGTGGGTTAAACCACAGAGCCTAGGGTTTGCCGGTTGGTGGTTCAAATCCCTGTGACAGGGTGAGCTCCCGTTGCTCAGTCCCTGCTCCTGCCCACCTAGCAGTTCGAAAGCACGTCAAAGTGCAAGTAGATAAATAGGTACCGCTCCGGTGGGAAGGTAAACGGCGTTTCCGTGCGCTGCTCTGGTTCGCCAGAAGCAGTTTAGTCATGCTGGCCACATGACCCGGAAGCTGTACGCCGGCTCCCTCGGCCAATAAAGTGAGATGAGCGCTGCAACCCCAGAATCGTCCGCGACTGGACCTAATGGTCAGGGGTCCCTTTACCTTTATACTTCAGAGAAGGAAGTAGCTTTTATAATTAATATGGTAGGTTACACTGTCCTAGGTGCACTAGAGGGCTCACTATTTGTTTATAAAATAGGAGTTTGGAAACCATATGACTATGTTGTATACATGCTTCTAATTTTGGTAATAGCTATTTTCTCCAGCAGCTTGTAATAAAAACTGATGACTCGTTGGGGAAGCAGATTTAATACTTGGAAGTGGTTTAGTACAAGGCCCATTTCAATCTGGCTTCAAGCCTGGGTTAACTCATTTGGTCACCCAGATCAAGAGGCACAGGGGATCTGGACCCTGTTAATTTCCCCCATTCTCTCAGCAGCTTTTAACACCATCAGCCATGTTACCTTCCTTGGTTAAGATCTGAGGGTACATTGTTATGGGGAGGGACTTCACTTCAACCCCATGGCATTTGTGTGGTGGGATCTTGCAGGGCTCCATCCTGTCCTCCCTGCTTTGTAACATCTATATGGAGGTGTTGGGTGTGGTCATTAGGGTTTTGGGGCACAGTGTCATGAGTTGACACCCAGCTCTGTGTCTCCCATCTGGATCAGGTGGTGCTATGCAGGTTAAATATTAAATACTGGTTCCCCACCAACACACACTTTTCTGCAAAGATGACTGACAAAGCAATGGCTTCTCATGTTGCTGCACAGACCTATGCTAAGCAGGCCCCAAGTTTAGAATTAAATTTTGCTAGATATAATGATACTGGGAATATTGTCACCTAAACAAGTTTCTTCTGCTTAATAAAGAAATGGCTGTAATATTTGGACAGTAATACTGAATCAGTTCCTATCACTGAAATAATTTGCGAGGCCCCTAAGGCATTTATAAGGGGTACCCTTTTAAATTGCTTATCAGCAAAAAAAGGGACGATAGAAAAGAGAATATCTTTTAGGGAATAATCTTACGGTACATCTTAAGGAGGCAAATAGAACTATACAATTTTGTATATTAAGGGTCATTTCCCGGCTTGGGAATCATGATCAAAATTGCTTCCCTTCAGTACTCTGGGATTTGAGTATCAAAGTGGCAGGTGGATTGTGTCCACTTTAGATATCAATTTAGATATCAATATCCTAATCTTTTTCTAAACTGTTTTATAAATGTTTCATATGCAGTCAAATGCCAGATTTGTGAATGGAAGCAACTATGACTGTGATCCTCAAGCAGGTAGACACTTAACATACATAAATAATCTGTGATTGTGTGAAATAGGGATCTTGTTTAGGGTTGAAACACTCAACTGTTGCAAATGATTTATTTGATTACATTCCTGTAAATAGGCAAATACTGAGAATAAGAGGTAGGGGAGACTTAAGTAGCTGTCACACATCTCCCTAGATTTTTTTTAAAGAATTGTTATTGTGCCAGTCAATATTCCTGTGGAGTTACTGGAACTGAGAAAGTGTGTTGAAAAGATTAATAAATTGGCAGGGATGGGGGAAGATCTAGGCTATCATAATGTTCCGGAATTTATTTAAAAAAAGGTTTATTGTCTAAACTAACAGTTCATTACTTGGCCCTAAACTGTGGCAGTTGCTGGTTGGTTTACAGTTCAACCATCTGCATGCTGGAAGCAACGAGAACAGGATGTGACAGGCATTTGTCTACAGTCAGTCTTTAGAAATAAAAAGCCTACACGAAGAAATGCGTAAAAAAAGAACCATAGTCAGTTTATTTACATACCTTTCATTTCCCACAGATACATATCCCATAGACAACCCAATAGTCATATAATCGTAGAATTGTAGAGTTGGAAGGGACCCCAAGGATCATGTAGTCCACCCCCTGAAGTTCAGGAATCTCAGCTACAGCATCCATGGCAGATGGCCATGCAACCATTCGCAAAAGTTCAGTACTTTAAAAACCATGATTGTTGGCATCCATCTGTCTCAAAAGGCAATGGAGTGCACTTCTGGGGGTGAAGGTCAATTAATAATAGCCCAAAGTAATTCCAAAGCTGATGATGTTAGTACAGTGGTACCTCAGGTTACATACGCTTCAGGTTACAGATTCCGCTAACCCAGAAATATTACCTCAGGTTAAGAACTTTGCTTCAGAATGAGAACAGAAATTGTGCAGCGCAGCGGCAGCAGGAGAGCCCATTAGCTAAAGTGGTGCTTCAGGTTAAGAACAGTTTCAGGTTGAGAACGGACCTCCAGAACAAATTAAGTTCTTAACCCGAGGTACCACTGTACCTAGCTGCCCCCACCCCCCAAAAAAACCTAGACTGAAAAAGTCAAAATCCCTTTATTAAGCCAATTGTGTTAAGTTGGGGGGAAACTAATGAGGAACTTACTACCAAAAAAATTTAAAATCCTTCATCACTTTAATCTTTTATAACGGAAAATCTAATTTCAGTTTTATGCTAAATATTCCAATCTGCAGTTCTGATAAGTTTTCCACATGGTGCTGCTGTGCATAGTACGAAAGGTTGTTTTTAATTGCTTTTAATGTAAATCTCTTTGGATCACTCTGTGAGTAAAGTGGAAGTTTTATTCCATCTAATAGTGAACTTGGAAGCAAAACAAGGACATCCAGAAACTAATGTAGTGATTGCTACATTTCTCAAGGGACTCACTTGATACACAGAATTACCGTATTTTTCGCTCTATAAGACGCACCAGACCACAAGATGCACCTAGTTTTTGGAGGAGGAAAACAAGGAAAAAAATATTCTGAATCTCAGAAGCCAGAACAGCAAGAGGGATCGCTGCGCAGTGAAAGCAGCAATCCCTCTTGCTGTTCCGGCTTCTGGGATAGCTGCGCAGCCTGCATTCGCTCGATAAGACGCACACACATTTCCTCTTACTTTTTAGGAGGGAAAAAGTGAGTCTTATAGAGCAAAAATTACGGGTATATAGGTTTGTAAATTTTAAAAAGAAAGTTGCTTTAAAAACACACATTTATTTTCTTTAAAAAAATAGCTCTGTAAGTTTCCAGGTTCTACGGAATGTTGATGTCATGCAGATAAGAGAAACCTGGACTAAACTCAATGTCAGGAGAGAGCACTCCTGCTTCACATTCACTGCCAAATAAGAAGAATGGCTTGCAGTTCTACCTTTAGCTAGGGTGAGGAGAGGCTGCTTAATCACAGCTGCGCTAAAATCTGGAATTGTTCACTCCCCCTTTGTAAGGAGTGGGGGAAAGGTCTAAAGAAGGGGTAGCTAAACCCCAGTTTGGGGAGCTGGTCTGCCCTTATCCCTTCACAATATGGAGAAAGGACCTCCCCCATCAGTGGCTGACACGTAGGTTTGGAATTCTTTTCCAGACATGCCAGCTTAAATTATTTGGAGTTTTGTTTCCTCATATGCATTTTGGTAATAGAAAGAGGGGAAGAATGGTTGGATAATTTAGTTTAGCTCCCTGCCTCAAGGCTTTGGGATGACAGAAGCTGTAAGTCTGATAAATAATAAATTCTGCTGGGAGGCAACATTTTCCACTGAGTTACAGAACAAAGGTATTTTAAGAAGCTGTGAATAGGCTTGGAAAGCAAGATGGTTGTATTTTGAATCATGGTATGAAAAAAAATTACCAGTGATTAATTGTGTTAGACTCCTGATGCTGGTTATTTATTTGGCAAAATAAATAAATGAAAATATTCAGTGTAATCCACACAGAAGCCAGAAAGAAACAAATTTATATTTTGAGCCTAAATTGTATATGGACAAAATCTCTTTGGTTTCTAAACATTCTGGACCTTGTAAGATTTTATAAACCCTGTGTTCCACATGGAGCGTAGGAGAAGCAGCAATTTAAGATGTTAAATTCATAAACTCTTCAGTTTGAGCAGGGCCTGAACGTCTGCATTAAAACCAAAACAGGAACAAAAGAAACCTTTGGGTTATCTTAACTGTGCATTATAGAGAAATCAAAGACTACTGATCACCCTTGGGAATAGATTCAAATCCTTACATACAAATAATGTTACTAATCCACAACCCAAAGTTGATCTTATTCCCTTTATAGCCAGCGGGAACACGTTTGTTGACATTGGTGGGGAGAATGAAATTGCCCTGAAGGGGCTGCAATGGATGGCTCAAAATTATCAGTGAATTTGGAACAAAAGTCTGGTTCATATACTTTTGATAACTGAACAATGCTCATTATCTATAGCAGTTTATGTGTAATTGATGTTTCTCCCTCTCTCTTTGCAGTGTGCAGCTGTGTCTGATGGAGGTAAGCATTAATATGTGAAAATATTTGATGTTTCTTAATTTGGCACTGTGGCATTGGATGATAATTTTAGCAGCCTTATTTTATAAAATTTGTATACCACTTGATTGTAAAACAGGAGTCAGCAAACTTTTTCAGCAGGGGGCCGGTCCACTGTCCCTCAGACCTTGTGGGGGGCCAGACTATATTTTGGAAAAAAATAAATATGAATGAATTCCTATGCCCCACAAATAACCCAGAAATGCATTTTAAATAAAAGGACACATTCTACTCATGTAAAAACACCAGGCAGTCCCCACAAATAACCCAGAGATGCATTTTAAATAAAAGGACACATTCTACTCATGTAAAAACACCAGGCAGTCCCCACAAATAACCCAGAGATGCATTTTAAATAAAAGGACACATTCTACTCATGTAAAAACACCAGGCAGTCCCCACAAATAACCCAGAGATGCATTTTAAATAAAAGGACACATTCTACTCATGTAAAAACACGCTGATTCCCAGACCGTCCGCGGGCTGGATTTAGAAGGCAATTGGGCCAGATCCGTCCCTCGGGCCTTAGGTTGTCTACCCATGTTGTAAAACAACGACAACAACAAAAACTACCTTCAAACCGGCTAACAAAATGATAAAGATAAAGGAATAAAATCAACATAATGGCTATTCGTATTTGTTTGGAAAAGAGACCTAATATTAATGTCTCAGTGGACTTTATTGAGTATAATGCTGATCTGTGTTTGTTGTGGTTCACTAAGAATGTCTACATCCTCCAGCCCGGTCCAGGTTTGCCAGGAGCTCCCTTCAGGAGGGCGTGATCCTGGAAAATCTAGTTGTACAATGGGCCAATCTCATATCAAGGCATCTGTTCTTCCTGATTACTCATCCAGATGATGCCCTGTCTTCTTGTTAATCATACCTAAAATGCCCAAATAGGATTTGCATTAAAGGCACTATCAGTGCCTGGAGACTGACAGAGTAGCGCTCCTCCTGTATTACTACTGCTGCTAATACTAATAATTTATAAAGCACCATAAAGTTAATAAACAATACAGTCCCTGTCCACATAGCCAGACTATCTAACTGACTCAGTGCAAAAGGAGAAGAAAACAGGAAGAGAGAGACAGGTATACTCAAGTTGCAAAATTTATACATGCTGAAGCCTGTGAGGTGTACTCCGCCTTCCTTGATATGCCTTTAGTGATTGTGAAGCTTATTTACAATTTTATCAGTATCTAAATATAGAAGAGCTGTTTCATTGGCCTTTCTTAATGTTTTACCTTCGTAGCTCGTAGATAGGAAATATGCTAGAGATCCTTTTAGAGATAGATGTTGGCAATGATCACTCACATCTTCTTTTTCTGCAGTTACTATCAGGAGTCCTCTCATGCAGCTCTTTCCAGGCCGGTTTTTAGAGGCCCCCGCTGAGTGTTTTTCTTGGAGAGACTTTTATCTGTATCACTGAGAAGGGGGCAAAAATTGTTGTTTCTCTTTCAAACCTGTTCTGGTTGCCAGTTAATCTTAGTTCACCACTCTTTGTCACTGGTTTTACTGAGGCTGTGATTTTGTATTTTGGGTTATTAGATAAAGACATCCTGCTAGCAGAACCATGGCTAAACTTAGCAAAGGGAAGGGGGAGAGAAGGAAAGGAGTGTTCAATGTTACCTGTCCCAGGCCTGGTTGAAAGTGAAAGGAGCCATGTCCATGCCACTAAACCGGGGGCAGCGCATCCCGTTTCACCGCCTGAGGCAAAACGGAAACGTGCTGCTGAGTCCCTGCCCTGGGAAGTCAAAGAGGCAATGTCCCGGCACCAGGATCCCTGACTGAACTGAGTTTAAAAGAACAAAAGGGCAAGGAATAGCAGGGAGACCAGGCTGGAGCAGCCTGAGTGTCCTGTGACGTAATCTTCCTCCTGGAAACCATGAAATGGACCTTTAAGAATGAGTAGAACAGTGGTCAAAGTGCAGGCGACAGAACACCCAGAACAAACCCAACCATTTCTCTCCATGCTCCCCTTGTAATGGCTAGCAGGAAAAGTCTTTTGAGGAGCATGGAGGTGTACGTTGTGTTTCATTTCTTTGCTGTCCAAATCAGCTGCCGTTACTTGCAATGCCAGTACAATGTGAATAATTCATGTTCCTTCAGCGACAGCAGTTGAAGGCCCTTTCTTTAAATTATTTATCCAGCTTTTTATAATGCTTTGTGCCAAGTATATTGAGGATATCTCTTGTGGCTATAAGGGGAAATAGACGTTCAAGTAAAAAATGGGTAATTTGTTGAAGAGTTGTTTGAAGAAGATGTTGTAATATAGTGGGAGGTGTTGCAGAAGAACAATGTTCCACACTGTTCAGAGAGCGTCTATCAAGCGTGCTCTAGGGGAATGGATCTGTGTTAGGAATGGATACAGAAGGATGGTTTTCAGTGAATGGTTTCAAGGATTTGGTTAAATGGCACTACAGTGGCTCTTACCAGCTCTATCCAGGTAATACCTTCAGTGATGCTGATGATCATTTAGAAATATAGGCATTCTGAATAGGATTGTGCTGTTTCACTGTAAAAATGATTGCATGGGAAATATTTCTTTTGAAAGGGTGGTTCTTTGCTTAAATATTTTTGGCATGATTATTAAACTAAAACTTAAAAAAAAACCTCTTACAATCAGTAATATTGTTAGCGTTTTATTTTAAAAGGTTCCATTTTTGGTAGTATTTTTATGAAAGCAAGAAATTGGTAAATAGGAAAATTATTTGAATTTGCCTTTCCATTCAGTTACAATTTCCCCACTTTGCATTTTTATTTGTAACAGTTGTGGAGATGTTATAACAAGGAGGACAACAAGAAAGAGAGGGTTTGTTTATCAGTGTGCATAAAATTGCTAATAACTTACCAGAAGGATCTTTAATTTCATCTGCTGGAGTGGGAATGCAAAGTAAAACTGTACGACTCCAACTGTTAAAGTCTTTAATAGAGACCCTATATTAATGCCTTTTGCTTGTCTAGAGGATGTGGAGATAGAGCTGTGGGTGTGGAAACTAGCCCACTGCATTAGAATACACCCACTGCTCCACCCACTTTCGCATCTGGGCTTACCCACGGCTGGCATGTTGCTCTTAGAAGGCTGCCCCAAGCAGAATGCAGCCCTTGAGCTGAAAAGGGCTCCTCACCCCAGTAGAGGGCAACGTCCCCTTGCACCACCCCATTCCCCCGTCCCCCTCTGAGTGCAATTATCGCTTTGTCCACATGATGTGACAGGTGGGTGGTTGACTTTTGTGTGTCTTCCATAACTTCATCCAGCCCTCCTTCTCTGTGTCTTGCAAGTTGTGTATACTGCCCTTCACCAGTAGGCCACAGTAAAATAGAAAACAATACAGTGGTGCCTCGCAAGACGAAAATAATCCGTTCCGCGAGTCTCTGCGTCTAGCGGTTTTTTCGTCTTGCGAAGCAACCCTATTAGCGGCTTAGCAGATTAGCGCTATTAGCGGTTTAGCGGTTTAGCGGCTATTAAAGGCTTAGCGGCTTAGCGGCTAAAAGGCTATTAGCGGCTTAGCGGCTTAGAAAAAGGGGGGAGCGAAAAAAATCGCAAGACTCGCAAGACGTTTTCGTCTTGCGAAGCAAGCCCATAGGGAATTTCGTCTTGCGAAGCGCATCGAAAAACGGAAAACCCTTTCGTCTAGCGGGTTTTTCGTCCTGCGAGGCATTCGTCTTGCGGGGCACCACTGTACAATAAAACAATTCTATAACTTTGACACACACAAAAACAAAAGAAAAATGCAATAATAAATTATCTATTAGTCCAGCAGTGAATGTAGCTGCTGCACTAGCCCAAGCCAGGCATAGGTTTTCATAGCCAGGAAGACCCCTTGGACCTCCAGACGCTGGTTCAGCACTTTCATTGCTTCTCCTGGTACCAGTAGGACGGTGAGATAGGGCTGGGTTTCATCAGCTTAGTGATAGCCACATGGTAGACACAAAGATGTGCCTGAACCTATGGTGATCATATGCATCCTGGGCTCTAATCAAATTGGAAAAAGTCTGCATTACTTCACTGGAGGGGAGGGATAGTCTGTTTTGTACAGGTTATAAGTGAGAGAGGAGCTTGCGAGGTCCAAGTTCTGATTCTGCAAGATTCTGGTCTCCTGCTCAACAGTGATGTCAGAACAATAGTTTAATACAGAAATTGTAGCTGAAATTTATTTTCTGAAAAGTTTGCATTTTTGTAATTTGCTGATAAATTAATTGGTTATTTCTTCCCACAACAGAGCTAAATAACACAGATTTGAAAGATTGTGTCAGTGATAACAGCCTCAGCAGCAATGCCAGCCTCCCCAGCGTCCAGAGCTGCCGGCGACATCGGGAAAGAAGAGTTGCAAGTTGGGCGGTTTCATTTGAGCGGCTTCTGCAGGACCCAGTTGGTGTAAGATATTTCTCTGTAAGTAAGGGACAAAATGCTAACTTTTTTGGTATTTATATTAACGTAAACAAAAAATATCCAACACAAATTGTGCATAAATTTTAGCTTATTTCAAAAAGAGAATTAACTCCAATGTAAAATCTCCTGCATTAAATATGCTCATTTTTGTTGCATTGGGCCCGTTTTATGTTTCCAAAAGTCTAAACGAAGCCTGTCAAAAATTCTTTCTACCAGGATAAAAATAGTGATGTGCAAATACCAGTTAAATTATATTTGTACTAGAAATTTCAAGCTTCCTCCATGAACATTAAAAAGATTGCTTTTTCTAAAGACTTGCATATTAGCTTCTACTGTCACTTACACGCGACCATGAGGGGGTGTCATTTATTTTTATTTTTTAATCCTCAGGAAAAGTGATTATTGCTTGAAAAGGGGTACAGCATTCTTTAAAATGAGTATTGTGAGCAGTTTCTTGTAATCAGCGGGGCTAATTAAAGAGATTGTTGGGCAAATCTTAGATTGAATCCTAATTCCAGCAATGTGAAGTCTACAGAACCCATGTGTGTATCACATGAAGGGGCTCCATGAATAGAACATGAGTCGGGCTACACTGCTGGCCATGCCCTCAACTTCACACGGCCGGACTCTCCCCAGCCGCCAACTTCCATGCATTGATCACAAGCCTCCTGAAGAGGAACACCTAAGCATAAGCAGCTATGCTCAATGCGCACAAGTTGTAGGCAGGGCTAGCCTGGCTGCTCAGTGTTGGAGGCAGAGTCAACAGGTCAGCCCCACACTTTGTTCAGTGAGTGAAGTGGGCTATCAGTTAATGGAAGTGTGAAGCCATTTGAGTACAGGAAATTATTGTTTCATTGAAAAACTATCATTGGACCATGTCTGGTCCTTATCTCCCAGACTCTATGGAAAAGTTACTTAAAGGTAAAGAAATTGAGACCTAACAGTCTCTGGAATATTGTAATTACTTTTGAATCAGGCCATCTTTGAGTGACAGCTAATCACTTTTCTTTTTCTAGGAATTTTTACGGAAGGAATTTAGTGAAGAAAATATTTTATTCTGGCAGGCCTGTGAATATTTTAACCACATATCCGCTCATGACAAAAAAGAGGTAGGACCATGTGGCCATGTAAGGCTTATGTTATATATGAACTACTAGTAACTTAGTGCTGTATAATTTTTTGGAGAAGGTCTTCATGGTTTTAGCTTGATTGGGGTAAGCCCTAAGGCTTCTCAGTTCAGGGTTCCTTTTCCTGAACCGAGGTGAATGGCGTATCAGGAGAATACAACTGTAAATGTTTGAGATTCTATGCAACAATTCCCCCCTCCTTTGGGTGAGATCCATCCACCCTGCCCTTCTCTCATGCTTATGCCATTGGTAAGGCTTCAGCATACACTAGGCATATGTGGGAGCTGGGAAATGCCTGGCCCAGTGGCCACATAAGTACCACTGGCACTGGCTTTGCAATAGAAGAGTGAAAGGCAGGACAAGTTTAAGCAAAAGGATGTGGCATTTAGTATTGCCACAGTGCCCCTCTTTCAGAACAAACTAACCAAGCAGGTAGTTACTTTCCCCGGGGGTTACTTTTATGCAGGTGTTACTTCCCTCGGGGATTGCACGACCCCCAGAACTGTGCCTGCCACCTGAGATGTTGTGAGATATCAGACAGCCCCACAAAATCATACAGGAGCTTCCCAGAGCCTGGAAGGCAATGTGGAAAGAGCTCTGGGACTCTGGGAGGGTTGTGCAAGGACTCTGGAGGCTCTCTCTCAAGAGATCACAAGGGCCTCCTAGACCCTGGTGAGGAAGGCTATCCTGCTCCCTCATTCATTCGTTCACTATTTTTCAGAACAGAACGTTAAGCTGTAATCAAATATGTGAAATATGCATATTGCAGTCCAACTGAAGTCGAAATATGGAGTGAGCAGCAGAAGTCTGCCTGCCAACCCCATTGCTGACACTTACACACTGAGTGGGGCTTACTTGCAAACATTATGGGCAATGCTGAGATGTCAGGGAGGGGTGGGGAGGTACACAGGTGTTGGGACTGGGGGTAGGGCCAGCAGGTGCAGTTCGACTGCCCCCTCAACACATTGGCTGTAAACATGGAGGGGGCTGTTGTGAAAAGGGGCACAACAAACGCTGCAAAGAGTTGCCTTCCCCTTCTGACACGGACCTGATATACAAGACACACACAGGTCCCTCTGCTGGAAAGCTAGTTATCCGAAATTTCAGTTACCCAAACACAAGGAATTAATGCCCCAACCTCTCTACACCAACGGCTGATTCAGAGATCCGAGCAGCTGGAGTTGGCCGACCTGTTTACTTGTTTGTGGCTTGCTGGTCAGCAGCAGTCATTTTGGGCAGAAACCAGGGAAGGGATGGAGGGAGGGAGGAGTGGAAATTGAACAAATCAGTTTTTCCTTCATTTGGCTTTTGCTGATTGGCTGAAGCTGTTTCAGGCAGAATGCATGGGGAGAGAAAGCATGGATTAGAAATGTTTCCATAGAAAATAATGGAAATCATTGACTTATTATGTGAATTCTTGCCTAATGAACAATTTTATGGGAACGAATGATTTCCTGAGAACATACCATGTTGAGAAAGTGGGGCCTGTGTGTACCTAAAAAGCCTATTTTCTTGGTCACTTTGTTTTGGAAAACAGGCCTCATGACAAACCTGTAGCGCATAACTTTTTTTCAACCAGAACTAGTAGGTTTTCTTAGATGAAAGAGAGTTCCTTTATTATATGTATATTTAATATTTTATTGATTTGTTTAAAGAAAAGTGCAGACATAACAAAAAGTTGGAAAAGAAAGAATAAAAAATGTAAACCATGTAGCGTCACAGCCTGGATGGACGAAAGTACAAAGATCTATTTGATAACTAAACAAACTATTACTCCATCTTTCCATCTGGCACTTTTGAAACTGTATATGGAAACAGAATGGGTTTTGAAAAGCAAAGAGCTTATCTGTCATCAACAGCAGCCCAGGGCTCTGTTGCCAGAACCTAGAAGACCTTCAATCTCAAGAATTTGGATTGCTTTTACTCTAGGGTTTGGCAACTTGCCCCCTTGAAATGATATCTCATAAGCTGGAAGTATCTAAAAGGCAGAGCTTGAATGACCTTTCCCTTTTTTTCCTTTTTTCTTTTTTGCTATATGGCATGATTTTATTTCTTAAATAAATATTGAGGCACACGGTCACTCAGTGTCACCAGTATATGCAAATGTTTGGTTGATCTAAAACATTATAGACCCTTTATTCTCAATAACCATGGAACTCACAGGTGGAGAACACTTTTATTCTTACATATCTTTATTATTTGTAAAGGGAATCAATGTATGAGTTAATACTTTATTATCTCTTTGGAGCTGTGTTGTGTCTTTGAGAGGTTTCTGTTCTCTGAGAGCTTAGCTGCTCTTCATCTGGAGAGTCTCTTAGGCTCTGGTTCTAAGGTTTTAACCATTTGGATGTGAAGTCTATCAGCCTTGGTCTGAGGAAAAAATTGGACTCTCTGTTTGAAACTTTCTCTGGACAGGTAAATTATTTTCAGTTGGGGAAAGATCTGGGGAAAGGTGAGGCAAGAAACTCACTTTATACATTTAATTGAACAATTCCATGTTGATATTTTTCTGATATTTGGTAACTGTAATAATAGACATTAGCACATTAGAAGAAAATTAATAGATAATTTACTTTTTAAGATTTTGGGGGAGATCTAAGGGAAGTAAAAAGCACAAAAGAGCAGCTACAAAACAGATGTTGTACTTTTTAAGCTGTATTTTTATATTGGCTTTTAATTTGTTTTGATTGTAGAATTTGTTTTGCAAGTCACCTTGAATTATGCATTTAATAAGTAATAGCAAATGCAAGGTAACTGCTGCAGACCAGACCACCGTCTGTGCCAGGGTTTCTCATTGCCACTCTGCAGTCACACAAGGCTGCCCTAACACCCAGGGGGAGAGCCCTGGCAGGGTATTCTGGGAGCCCTGTTGGATTGTTAAAAAGTCTGATGAGAGTAGTTTGTAGATCCTGTAGCAAGGGCCAGACTCAATGTGATATTAAATTTGTGAATTCTTGGAAGTGTCTAGTTTTTATTTTAAATATGAGGTACTGGGCAATGGGGTAGCTCTGTGGTCTAAACCACAGAGCCTAGGACTTGCCGATCAGAAGGTCGGCAGTTCGAATCCCCGCGACGGGGTGAGCTCCCATTGTTCAGTCCCTGCTCCTGCCCACCTCGCAGTTCAAAAGCACTTCAAGTGCAAATAGATGAATAGGTACCACTCCGGCGGGAAGGTAAACGGCATTTCCGTGCACTGCTCTGGTTTCGTAAGATGCGGCTTAGTCGTGCTGGCCTCATGACCTGGAAGCTGTCTGCGGACGAACGCCGGGTCCCTCGGCCTATAGAGCTAAGATGAGTGTGCAACCCCAAAGTCATTTGCGACTGGACCTAATGGCCAGGGGTACCTTTACCTTTACCTTTTTACTGGGCAATGAGGACTGGGGCTGGGGGCTGCATGTAGGGATTTTAATCTTTCCCCCACATCATAGTTATCAATGAAAATCCCCCCACCCAGGGAGAAATTGCTGTTTCAGGTGGATGCTAGTGGGGAGGGATTAAGTATTTTCTCCTTGTGTGCTGCAGTCCTGATCCTGATGCCCCCAAGCTGCTCTTATTTAAAAGAAAAAATGTTAGACATGTTAAATGCATTCACACATTTAACACCACATCTTGTTTGACCCTGATTCCTTAATTACTTTGCAAGTTGTTTTGCTTCCAGGTCAATAACAGGACTTGTGCTTTGTAGCTTTCTTTCAGAGCTCGGGAGATCTTTAATAAGTTTTTATGTAGCAAAGCTACAACCCCGGTTAATATTGATAGCCAAGCACAGTTGGCAGATGATGTTCTCAATGCACCGCATCCAGATATGTTCAAGGATCAACAGCTTCAGGTGATTTTTGAAATGTTAGAAAGTATGTTTTGGAGAGCTTATAAGAGAGACTTTGCTCGTGATGTAACACAGAAAATGTTGGGCATAGCTGTGGGTGGGTGAAAATGTGCTTTCCACCCCCTGCTACTGGGTAAAGATCGCTTCCCACAGCTTGCACGCCTCAGATTATGCACATGCTTGTCTTCCTAGCCTGCTTTCGTCTTTATCCCTCTTCACTCCTCTGCACCCCAATAGCTTTGCAAGTTATCCAGTTAAACATTTATTTGTTACCTTAAATAAAACCAGATTTTATTTAACTTGAAAAACTGTTCTGAAAGGGGAGGGTGTTTGTGATTGGTTGGCTTTTGTGATAACCAGCAACACTGTTGTGAAATGGATGAGTGGCAGCTTTCACTCCCAATCTCAGCGATTAAGAGAAGGCTGTGCATCTGACCAAAACGGAGTGAATGCAGAACCAGAGCAGACTCACTGCGCATGCATTTAGATGTACACGGTATGGGTTTTTTCTCCAGTTCTAGGCTCGATGCTTCTCTTCCACTCACACTCAGTCCCATTCATAATTTCACGGAATCATAGAACAGTAGAGTTGGAAGGGACTCTGAGGGTCATCTAGACCAACCCCCTGCAATGCAGGAATCTCAGCTAAAGCACACATGACAGATGGCCATCCAGCCTCTGCTTAAAAACCTCCAAGGGAAAAGAATCAGTGGCGTAGCGTGGGGGTGCAGGGGGGGCCGGCCGCACCGGGCGCAACATCTGGGGGTTAGGGTTAGGGGGCGCAAATCCACTGGTTAGGGGGCGCAAATCTACTGGTTAGGGGGTGCAAATCCACTGGTTAGGGGGCACAAATCCATGGGTTAGGGGGCGCAAATTACTTGCCTTGCCCCGGGTGCTGACAACCCACGCTACGCCACTGAAAAGAATACACCAGAGGTGCAATATCACAAAGCAGAAATGAGCAAAATTTCCAGAAGGTGCAGAGAGAAGTGAATTAATCAAATTATTTTCACAACATTTTTTAGATACTCTTCATCATATTAGATTTAATGTAATGTGATGTACAACATTAAACATAAATTGGTAAAACTTTCAAGTCTTTAGTTTTTCAGTTACCCAGAATAAGAAATCCCAGTTGTTCTGCAGTGTCTCCAACCAGCATTTCCCCAAGAGATACAGATATATTGGACAGGTTGTTTTTTTAATGCAGGGAAGGTAACAGAATCTGCTCATATGCACCAAGGATATGAACTTCAGTTTTCCTGGGGCCATGGATCAGATTCAGCCAAAATGAAGCACTTTTTAAAATTAAGCACTTTTAAGTAGTAAGCACGATCTCTCTTCTTGAAAACACTGGAGTGTAAAAGTCATTTACATGGTAACATTTATGACAATAGTCTTTTATTTGCAGTTGTGCAGGAACTTGTTTTATTTACAACAGTTCACGGAAATTAGATGTAGCTTCCATTTTCTTCTTAAACTGCAAGCACTCTTAGGACAAATTACTATCATTATGCTAAGGTTTAGCATTTTTAAAAAAATGATGCTTGCAAAAGCTTTATTCAGTGTTGTTGTTTTTGAGATGTTGATGTGTTTGCTTCTCAGATTTTCAACTTGATGAAGTTTGACAGTTATACACGTTTTCTGAAATCTCCACTTTACCAAGACTGTATTTTGGCAGAAGTAGAAGGTCGCCCTGTTCCTGATCCACAGTACGCTCCCAGCAGCCCCACTTCTAAACACAGCTTTGGTTCTGAGAGATCAACACCAAAAAAGGTTTCTGTCTCTTACATGACCCATCATTTACAATCAAGCGTTTTTTGTTTGTTGATTTTCTGGATGTATAGGAAAATGTAACCACTTTTGCTTATAGTGCCCTATGTTGACATGAGGGTCTGGGTCAGATGTAATGAATGTGCTAAAGTGAGCCTCAAGCTTTTATTTTGCCACCTTTCTTCTATTTTTTCTAGCACCATAGCAAAAGATCAGAAGCATTCTGTTCCACATTTAGATGAGTTGCAGTTCCACATGATATCTGTATTGGTGCAAGAATTTACAGAATTTACAGATTTGGGGTAACAGAGTTTGGGCTGCAAGGGCACCCATAACTGCTACAGTTTGTGAATGTTAGAAAACAATAAAGGGGTAGGATTTAGCTGATTTTTGGAGTATTGAAGGGAAGAAGTTAGGTCAGTGGAAAATTACGGGCTAGGCTCCCTTTCCAGGCCAGGGTGTCACCTGGATAGAAGCCATTAAGATGGCCCAGCAGGGGAAATCCTTGTGTCTGTGCCAATGGAGATTACTACAGGAAAACTCACCTTTTAAAACTAGGCTTGAAATAGCAGGGAGAATGGGGATGAGCAGACAGAAGAGGAGGAGTTGCTTGGAAGGAGTTTTTTGGGAAGGAGAAGCAGGAAGTGGAGAGTGCTCTCTTGTCACATGCGAAGGGAAAGATGAGAGAGCCCAAGGCTTGTTGGGGCAGTCACTTGTATGAAAGGTTAGTTGTGAATTGGGCGATAATAATTAGCTATATCGGAAAGTATAAGTGCTGCTCTGATTAAATTAGCACAACATTTCCATCTGTTTTTCTTTTTTAAAAATTATATTATGATAGTTAAGTGGAAAATCCAAGTCTGGGCGATCTTTAAATGAAGAATCGGGAGAGGAAGACCTTGAAAGGAAAAAAAAAGGAACATTTTTTTCGTGGTCTAGAAGCAAGAGTTTGGGGAGATCTCAGAAGAAAAAGGAGAATGGTGATTATCCCAAAGGTAAGTTTTAATATTAAAATAATGATATTATTAATGATATTATCATTATGATTACTAACGGTATTATTCGTCTGAAGTCTGAACATCTCTACAATATAAGTCATAGCCATATTTGAAGCTTCTTGTTCAGAGTTCCATACTTTTGATGGTCATAGCAGCTTAATTTGCAAACATAGAATTATAGACACTGTTTATAGTCTCAAGCATGTTTAGTTGACTGCAGTGGACAGAGCATTATGTTTTTTTTTATCTTAAAGCATGATTAGGAAGCTGTTTCCATAATTCTACACGTGACATGTACTCAGCATTTTATTTGAAAATTCTGCTCTGGTGATTTAAAGTTGTCTAATAAGATTGTTACTATATGTTTAAATTAATTGCACTATCCGTGTTTTTAAGATTGCTGTACAGATTCCTCTCATGCCAATGGATTGTCCTACAGACATGAATCTCAAGACTCATTGTCATCATCTGCAAGTCTTGAAATGGTAAGGCTTGCATGTGAGGACCATAAATATGTCAGGGAGAGCATGGGGGTAAAAACTTGAATAACTGTACTCCCTAAGTTAAAACACCCGGAGATGAGTCAGAAAAATACTGCTTGGTAGGCAAAGGTCCAGCTGCCAGACAGAAAATAGGATGTGGTGTTTCATTATGTAAAAATAATGTGCGAATTTTAAAGGAGAGAACAAATTTTGCATTTTAAATAGTATAGATAATCAAAATGCAGCTACATTCAATAATTTGCTACTATAATTGAAAATATGCGTGCATGCGTGCGTGCGTGTGTATATATACATATATACGTATAAAATGAAAGGTGAAAGATTTTTTTTTTTTTTAAGACAGCAAATCACACTGAACACAGCCTGGCCAAAGTTAAACATTTTGAAGGCCCTTTGATATCCATGGCATATGCTTAACTCATAATTCAATGGAGCTTGCTGCTTATCTTTGAAAGGGTCATTCGCATTACTTTAAAAACGTTATCAAGTAGGAACATAAAGGTGTTTCACATCCCCTGTTGCTTTAACTGGAGATGCCATGGATTGAACCCAGAATCTACTACATGCAAAGCAGGCGACCTATCACTAAACTATGTATTTTATCTGAAGGAAGTATGTTCTAGTGAGAATTATATTGCATACTGTAGTAATTTGCATTTATAAGACATTTTTTTCTAGCCTAGCACCCTAAACATTTGTGTTTTGTAATAATATTTTGCATTTCATGTGCTCTTTGATGCTCAGGTAGTTTGATATTGAATATATAGTTGGCTGACTAACAATTTTAACATTTTTATACACATTATTATATGCTGAAGCATATGCATTACTGCGCATATGTTTTCCTAAAATAAAGAATCATAGAAACATAGAATAGAATTGTAGAGTTGGAAGGGACTTCAAGGGTCATCTAGTCCAACTCTCTACAATTCAGGAATCCCAATTAAGCATCCATGACAGATGGCCATCCAACCTCTGCTTAAAAGCCTCTAAGGAAGGAAAGTCTACAATCTCCCAAGGGAGTCCATTCTACTGTCTAACAGTTCTTGCTGTCAGAAAGTTCTTCCTGATGTTTAGTCAGAATCTCCTTTCTTGTAACTTGAAGCCATTGGTTCAAGTCTTACCCTCCAGAGCAAGAGAAAACAAGCTTGTTCCGTCTTGCTTGTAACAGGCTTTGAGATACTTGAAGATGGCTACCATATCTCCTCTCAGTCTCCTCTTCTCCAGGCTAAACATACCCAGCTCCTTCATCCGTTCCTCGTAAGGCTTGGTTTCCAGACCCTTGGTCAACTTGGTTGCCCACCTCTGCACGTATTCCAGCTTGTCAACATCCTTCTTAGATCCTTCTTAAGAGCACATAAACATGCAACAATACTATACATGCAAAAATACTTATAGATAAAAAATGTGTTGCAGATAAGGCTTGACTCTTTCATCCCTGCTAGCCCTCATTAACAAGGAGAGTATGTAGTGTATAGAATGGCAGCTTCCTATAAGAGAATAACAATATTTAATTCTGCTTGCACAATAATTTAACAAAGGAAAGTTAAACATCAAGTATTTTTCTTTACAAAACATACATTGGTATTTGGCTTGTTCTGCTGTTTTCCAAGTAGCCTTTCTTCTCTGCTTGTTATTTTCATTTCACGTTGAATATTAACCTGCGGTCTTGTCTCTTGAAAGTTTGACTCCTATAGGGCATCTGCAACTGAGAAAGAGAAGACTTCTAAATGCTGCCATATAAACCTTCCAGATGGCTCATCATATACAATGGCTGTTAAAGCTGGATTCTCAATCAAAGAAATGTTATCTGGATTCTGTGAGAAACAAGGCATTAACATAGCTGCAGTAGATTTGTTTCTAATTGGTGGAGACAAGGTACTTAATTTGGTATTCTAAGCATTGCCTGCATGTTCACAGTCTAGCAGACATTTTGTTTTATTTAACAGGATATGTATACCACTTAGTTATCAAAACCTACAAGTTGTTTACATAACATATGAAACATACTTTTATTAAAGTACTGATAAAGTCAGATGTTAAAAACAAGTTCACAGAAGAAAAAAATAAAATATAAATAAATTCAACAGGTTTTAAACTATACATGATAAAATACATATTAAAATACATGTCAGAAAATGTTTGAGTAGGATTGCTTAAACAAAAGTTTTAGCTGACAGTAAAAACAATACCATGAAGGACAGGGGATACCGAGTATAGGTGCTGACACACCGATGGATCAGTTTCTTGCATGTGAAGAACAAACATTATGTGGCACTTCTAAAAGTGCCAATATCACAGATCAACATGGTTGAATGTGCTTATATGGGGAGATGAGAGAAAAGGAAAAGGGAATAGGGAGGGAAGAGGAAAGCCAGCATTGGAGCAACTGATTCTTCATTGGCCAATAGAAGAATCCAGGTTCCTGGGAGGCAGGGTGTGTAGTCTCCCAGTAGACCTTGGTCTCATGCCTCCCATCAGCTCTGCAGTCACAGGGCGATTGGCAGGTGGAGTAGTTATGAATTTCCAAAATCCTTTGTCACTTTCTTTATCTGCATTTATTTCTGATATTGCATGACATTGCTTTTAATAATAATGTTATGTACATTAACACAAAATGAGAACATAATTTCAAAATATGTTGCATACATACGCTCATACTGTTCTTGTACAATATTTCCCATAATGAGTGGGAGAGGGAGGAAGAGGCAGTTTCTGCACTTGGTTCCTTAGGTGTTAGAAAGGTGTGGAGTTTGCAATCCTCTTCCTCAGCTATTCCCAACAAAGCAGGTAGGCATGAGGAATCACCTTGAAATATATACATATATATATATTCCACAAAATCTCAGAAAAGTCCTAAGTAGTAGTTTGCACCGTACTGAAAGTAAGGCTGTTTCCCGTTTTTGATAGATTAATTTCCCCCCTAAATACCATTTCTATTACCATGTTCTTCTGTTCCTTCTATGGTTGTAGCCACTTGTATTGCATCAGGACAGCAGCATTCTGGATTCTCGAGCTCTTCGTTTAGAAAAGAGAACTTTATTTCGGTAAGGGAAAAACCTCCTTTTCCTGTGGCTTTTAAAGTTGATAGCACATTGTGTCCCATTTCTCTGCCTGAGGCAAAACAGGAGCATGAGATCTCGTGAGATACCACTGAAATCTCACAAGATCTTGTGTGCTCTGTGAGATCTCACAAGATTTCGGTGAGAGATCTCACCGGAAACTGGCGCCACTGCCAGCGCTGCTTCTCCACCAGCGGCAGGGCAGGCAAGGCAGCAGAGTTCATTTGGTTTTCAGCTTCTTCGACAGAAGCTACTCTGGATGTTGTACCAGAACAGCACCTTTGGGGCAATTGCTGCAGAGACAATAATGGCAGTCTTTCTCAAGAACACAAAGGGTGCAGTAGATCTGTAAAACTGATGTGATCTGTAAAAGTGAAGCTACACTGAACAAAATACATTGTTCACAGCTTCTCATGTATTCAGATACCCTAACATGATTGCAGACTTCTTATATGTTCTGAATGGCTTTTAATAGCAAAGACTTACTGAATGTTTTCATATATTTTAGGTTGGATCTCATTCCTATCAATAGATCTGTTGGCTTAAAAGCTAAACCTACCAAACCAGTAACAGAAGTCCTTCGACCAGTGGTTGCAAAATATGGTTTAAATCTTAATAATCTTGTGGCAAGGCTAGTAAGTAATTTATTAGAATATGTTTAAAATCTTTAGCTTTGCTTATCTGCAGAAGAATATACAGATTTTTATAGCATATTTGTAAAACCTTTATATAGGAAGCACCATATATTGAAGTACAAAGAATACAGTCAATGTATTTCATTCCGGTTTGTTTGTTTTTTAGAAAAACAAAATACCTATTTGTCAGTTACTTTGATCCCACTTAATATAGAAGATTTTTAAGCTTATTTGGGACACCATTATCCTTTACTTCTGAACTCTCTTTTTCTATTACTGATATATGTTTGAAGACTCTAGATGCATGTGTGCATTTACTTTTGCGGTTATCAAATCCGAAAGAATAGGAAGTAAAGGTAGATAGCAATAATATGTGCGTTAACACTATTATTCATGTGAGACACCCTATTAAATACCTCTTCTCCTGAAACATGAATAGCTTTGTTTTAGGATATGATCTCTTATCTTCAGATCTGTCTGAGTCCAAAAAAGGTAGGACGATGGTCTTCACAGCCCAGTAAACTTGGGCTGATCAGGAATCTATTGCCATGAAACATACTCTGTTGGAAAAATTAAAGATTTATAGGGCAGCTAATCTAACTGCACTTCCGGCAGCGTGGTTCAAACTTAAGAGGACATACAAATCTCTGATATATTTTAAAAAGAATCAGGTTCAAAGGGAAGCATGGCAATGCTTAATAGAAGCCTCCTTGAGGAGAGAGTCACCCACCTTTTGGAGAGTAGTTGCAAAAGAATGGTAAAGCACCCCATCTGAAGTGGAATATGCTATCCGACTGGGGTCTGGGAAACAAATTTCCATTCTCTATATCCAAGCAACCAACCAACCATCACAAGCAGTGCTGGCCCAGAATGGCCCTCAGTTACTATAGAGCAGGGGTGCCCAAACTTTTTTCAAAGAGGGCCAGATTTGATGAAGTGAACGTGCGTGAGGGCCGACCAGAGTTGCTGAGCTTTTTTTAGGATTTTACCCCAGGACATATACTGCCATGGGGGGCTGGATTAAATCGGCTGGCAGGCCGGATTCGACCCCCGAAATAGACTTTGGACATGCCTGCTATAGAGGAAGTGTGTCAGTTTACTGTAAATCTCAAACAAGGCAAAGTCCCAGGGGTAGATAACATTCCTTCTGAGCTATTTAAAGCCAGTGTTGAATAGTGGGCCCAACTGCTAGTCGCCTTGTTTACCAGCATCGATCAGTCAGCAATTATTCCTGACAATTGGGGATTAGCAATTATCATACCACAATATAAGAAAGGGAATAGATCTGAACCATCTAATTATAGACCGATTAGTCTTTAAAGTATAATTAGTAAACTAGACGCTGCCCACCTCTGTAATAAACTAGTGGATTGGATGAATCAGGAAGACATTCTAGCAGAGGCACAAGCAGGATTTGGGGTGGAGCTGTCAACCATAGATCAAGGACTTGTGCTCCAACATGATAACAGAATAAATGATGCTAGGAGGGAACTGCAGTCCAAGAAAGGAAAAGAACACCTAGGTAGTTTAAATGAATTCACATCTCCAGGGCCTGATGAGCTGCACCCAAAGGTACAAAAAGAGCTTGTGGGTGTGATCTCTGAGCCTCTGTCTATCATCTTTGAGAATTCCTGGAGAACAGGTGAGGTCCCTGCAGACTGGAGGAGGGCAATTCAGAAAGGGAGGAAAAGACGACCTGAGTAACGTCTGACTGGTCAGCTTGACATTGATACCAGAAAAAGTCCTAGAACTGATAATTAAACGGTTGGTCTGTGAGCACTTAGAAAAGGATACTGTGATTAGTAAGACCCAGCACGGGTTTCCCAAAAACAAGTCATGCCAGATGAGTCTCCAGTGACACAGCTGGATCTTGAAGCACCCCAGGCTGCGAACCTGATCTTACCAAGCAGCTTCACCTCTTCACCAAGCAGAACCTTGGTATAACTTGGTATAACATACAAATCAGCTTATTAATAATTTCAGATTGCTTTGCCACCATCCTACAGACTGACCTGTCCCAAAAACCAGTCGCCGTCACTGGATTGCATCTTCTCCCAAGTTGGGATCCTTGTTGATGGCTTTTTGGTTATGTTTTAACTCAGATATTTCCCAGAGTAAAAATCATAGTAACTATGACCTAGATTTTTACTATCATCATTATTATTAAAAAAGTTATTACCTTCCCTTCACCAGCAGGTCCCATGCCAATTTAACAGTACAGCTATTTTTTTCAATTCTATTTGATATAGTTGGTGGTCAAGTTGCTGAACTGTTCTAGCAATTAATAAAGTTTGCCGTGTAAGGAGATAATCCCCTATATTTTGCATTTTCCCTGGGATTGCCCAACTCAAGAGAATGGGTTGGCACAGCAGCACATAAAATATCAAATTGACTACTCATAAAAGAATCTGTTCAAAGAGCCAAAGCTGGGAGGGCATAACAATTTTATTCTGCTTTGGACAAGTCAGTAATGTGTTGGACTCCTCGCCCATTTCAATTCTTACAATTGTTTGAGTAAAACACACTATCAGTCGTTACATTGAAATCACACAGAGCCCACTAAAATACATCCAAGCAGTAATACTTCAGGATGATCAAATAAAATGTAAAATAGCTAGCTATTTTTACTTGAGGTGGAATTGCTACTTATAATTAGCTACCCTCCTCCTCACACACCCCTTTGGCCTTTGGTTTCTAGAGGTTAAATAGCTTGCTGGACCGCTCTCCTTAGAGCCACCAGGTGGACACAATAACTTCTCACAGGGAGATGCTCCAGCAGGTAAATGAAGATGGCTTCCCCAGTCTCTAGCTGATAACTTATGTATAGCAATTCTTTGTTATATAGTGAATTTTTAAGGCAAGAACTTAAAATTAGTTTGTTTTATCAAAATTTGACCACAGAATGGTGAACAGGAACCATTAGATCTTGGTGTTCCCATCTCTAATCTTGATGGACAACGGGTTATTCTAGATGAAAGGCAACCAAAAAAAGGAAAAGGTAAGCAGTTCTGAAATGGTTATTTCTGATTTGTCTACTGCTTTCTTCACTTCACATTCCTAGAAATACAGCCTTGCCCACCCTTCAGCTGTTTTAGAACTAGTGCTTTTTTCTAGAAAAGTAGGTGCCGGTACTCACCTATTTACATTTAGGTGAGTACAGTATTACATTTAGTTGTTACAGTAAGTGTCACACTTTTTATCCAAATAAAGAATAAAAAGTGCAGGAATGTTTGAAACCTGCAAGCAGAAACCTGGAATTTTATTAGCACTGTATCAGCGGGGTATTTTAGAACTCTGGTTTTTGTATTTGGCTGCTTTCTCTGTTCTGAACAGGGATCCTTGCTTTCGGTGGCCGAAGATTGGGTTAGGGAATTGTAAGGTGGGAAATCTGAACGCTACTATAGTCAGTGTGTTGAGCAGAAAGTGGTAAGGCAGTGGGAGTGTTTCAGGTAAGGAAGTTCAGACAAGTGAGAGCTGTTCCTTTTCTCACAATATTCTGTAGTTTTTGGCAGTCAGCCCTGACAGTGAAGCATCCGGTGCTGATTGCTTGGTCAATAAGACATCAGGTACCCAGGGCTTGATCCTGGATGGGCAATCCAATATGGTTTGTGTGATAGAGACTTGCTGCCTAGATGAGGTAGAAAGGATTAATCTGTCCCATCTTTGTCTACCAGGTTTCCTATTGCAGCAGCAAGCTAACATTGGCAGGGAGATGGAACTTTAGTAATCTGCTGTGAATCCACCTCTTTGTCTAGGCCCTTTCTGGCAAGCTCTGTTAAAATAAATAAATCTTGGCATCAGATAGTATCTCCCTGACCAAGCTTACAGAGCGGATTTCATTGACCAAGCCTGCATGGGAACCATGGGCCTGTCTAAATACTGGGTCCCACCCATATTGTAGCATATATGTATATACAGCATAAGCATATGTGCATGTATAGATTGGGGGAGTTTAGCATAACTCCTTTGTCATGAATATGGATTTTCTGTAGCCTCTATTTGCAGGGAGAGGGGTTGCTATTAAAATAGTCTACCCCTGGAGACGGAAGGATCCAGATGGATTCCTGACAGTTCTGGAGGTATTTCCTAGTGCCAGAAATGGGTAAATGATCAAAATAGTTGACATTATAAAGCTTTCTCCCACTCGTTAGAGGCAATAGTTTCCTGTGGACCAGGGAGAAGGGATGGTAGCTAGTGTGATACTAGAAGAAGGCATGCAACAAGTCTGATGAAACTTGGGTTAGAGCCTATTGCATTGCAGTAATAGTGGGATAGTTTCAACTAATATACTTTTCCACCTTTAGAAATGTATTGTTAGCAACACTTTGAGTGAAGATTAATTGGGCAACATTAAAATCAAAGTTGTAATTAATTTTCTCCTCCTCCTCCGATGGAATTACTTATATTTATGCACTCTTCAGGCATGGACATTAGTATGTTTATAGATTTAAATGCATGCCTTTAAAAAAATCTAAATAATGTAAGGCAGAGGTTTTCAAGCTTTTTGGGTCCATGGCTCCCTTGACCAACTATGTACATTATTTCTGTGGCACCCCATGGGGCTCAGGAGCCCAGTTATGTCACCCCTTGCCTGCAGAGCTGGCAGTCTCTCACCCTTTTTGAACACCCTCCCTTGTGGAGTGTTCCCTCAGCCTCCTCGCTCCTCTCCTCTCCTTGGGAGTCCTCTGGGCAGCCACTGCTGCCGCCCCTGGTCTCTGAGCTGGCCCCCCGCCCCAAAGACAAGTGTCTCCTTGCACTGCCCCACAGGGGCCTGAGAAGCACCCCTGTCCAGCCCCAGAGCCCTATTCTCCTGAGAAGCTTGTAGCCAGGGCTGTTGCAACAAATAGCTGTGCAAGCCTTTAGGAGGCAGAGATGCAAGAGGGCATCTGAGAAGGGAGAGAAGGAAAGAGGGACAGAGGCTAGTGTTGCCTGCAGCACCCCTGACCATCAGTCAAGGCACCCCAGGTTGCCACGGCACACTGGTTGAAAACCACTGATGTAAGGGAATATGCTATCATTTACAAGTATTCCAATAAAAATATTTCCAAGGGTGATATCCAACTAAGTCATAGTAGACCCATTGAAATCAGTGGACTTCAATTATGTAAGGTCAGTGATTTCATTGAGCCTACTCTGAGTATGCCTAGCAGTAGGTTTCACCCGAAGTAAAGCTAGAATTGGCTTGAGTACAACATTGCATTTAATCCACACTACAGTCACATTACTGAATGTTTTCCCTAATATTTCTAGTCACCCACCTTTGGCTGTGGGGAGAGCTTTGCAGATATTTAAATTGCATTTAAAATTAACATGAAATGCTTTTTAGTTGTGTTTTGCTAAATGTATATCAGATAAATGTGCTTAATCAGATCTCTAGGGTAGTGGAAACATTTCCCCAATACAAAATTTCCCATAAAACCCACATCACTGTCTTCATGTTTGCTCAGTGTAGATCACTGGAGCTATTCTGGGTAGGAAAGAGCCTATTCTCTCTTGGTCTGATGGGGAGGTATTATTGCTAACCTGCTGTAACCAATTTGCACAACACTGCGCAGCTAAAATTGCTGGTGTTCATTCCTATTTGGAGCACAGGTTAATTGCTGAGTCTGTGGATGTACCTGATACATCTGCTTTTTCTGTTTGTTACTGGTACATTTCAGCTCGTGCAGCTTGAGAAAGTGAACAAGATCCTTGGAGGTTTGTGTTTGACCATTTACACTTCTGGTCCATTCTTGGCTAATTTTGGTGGAGAGGAATGGCCAGATGGAACATTTAGTGCTTGAGAGTAAGGTTACATTAACCTTGAAAGAACCAATAATAAGATGCTATATCCCATCATCCTGGGTAACTGTAGACTTTTGGGCAAGGGGCTCAAGATTATACAGTTGTACCTTGGAAGTCGAACGGAATCCGTTCCGGAATTCTGTTCGACTTCCAAAACATTTGGAAACCAAACATTTTGCAGCCAGTTGGAAGCCATGAAACCCGCATCAGATGTTTGGGTTCTAAAGAACATTCACAAAGTGGAAGACTCACTTCCAGGTTTGCAGCGTTCGGGAGTCAAAACGTTTGAGTCACAAGGCATTCGATTTCCAAGACTGTATGTTCTTTCTAGATGCAGACCTGGTTTTGGTACTGAAACTGCCTTTGTTGCGCTAGTGGACAGCTTGTATTAGGAATCGGACAGGGGGAGTGTGTTCCTTTTAGTTTTGCTGGCCCTTTCAGCAGCTTTTGATCTGATAAACTATGAAATCCTTCTAGACTGCTTTGACAGATTTGACTTGTGGGCACTGTTTGGTGTTGGTTCCAGTGCGAACTGGAGGGCATATCTCAGAAGGGACTTGCTCATTTGAGTTCCATCATGTTCCCCATGCTACGTGAAGCCACTTGGAGAGGCCTGCATGACATCTGTGAGAAACCACTGGGAGAAGTTGTCTGTAGTGTTGGAGAATAGTGTCATCAGTATGCAGTTCACATCCAGTTCTATTTCTCTTTTCCATCAGGCACTTGGGAGTCAATTGAAACTCTAAACCAGTGTTTGGAGGCTGTGATGTGATAAGACTTAATTCAGGCAAGACACAGGTGGTTTGGGTCAATGGGAAAGCCAATCTGAGAATAGATATTCAGCCTGTTACAGAACATAGTGCCCCCTCTGAAAGCTCAGGTTTATAGTTTGGGCATGCTACTGGACTCAGATTGTGACTGTGGCTAATAAGCTTTGGCTAGGGCACCAACTTTCTGGAGAAAGCCGATCTGGCCACTATTATACATTCTTTGGTTGCACTTTGCAAGGGAAATCTACTTTGAAGATTATTAGTAAACATCAGCGGGTTTACTGTGTTGTTGGTAGTCTGTTAACAGGACCCCTTATTGGGATCTTGGGACTCCATTGCTGTGCATTGACTCCCTGTATGTTTTTGAGCCCAGTTCAAATAGCTGGCTGTTACTTTGAAATCCCTGAATAGTGTGGGTGCAGGATATCTGAAGGATCACCTACTCCCACCCTCATGATAGTAAGATCTTATGCTTTGGGTCTTTTCACCATCTGAGCTGTACTTGGTGAGTACCTGGGACACGACTTTCCCCGTAGTAGTCCCTACCTCTGGCATTCCCTCTCTCAGATGAATGTTTAGGCCCTTCCCTCCTAGTCATCAAAAAGTTTGTTAATGCTGCATAGATGTGCTTTTCATGCTGTCTGAACACCAGTATTTTGTTCCGTGTTGTTTGTTTAGATGATGTTGCTGATTTTAGTTTGTTGTTTTAAAATGTTCTATTATGTCTGTGAACAACAATGGGGCTGTGAAACTGTCTGGATGTGCATTTTTCTCAGAAAGGGGAGGTTTATTTGCACAGCTTGACATATCCCACTCCCTTCTATGGCTTTTAGTCACATTGGCTAGCTGTGCCCCTTTGATAATGAATGTATTAGCAACATCCCCAATTTCTACACATTTTCAGCTGATATGTGGAGGGGCCATATGCATTTATCTAGGGATAGATGGATCAGTCAGTTTTGTAAGTACATTTTAATGCAATTTTGGCATCTATTTATAGCTGAGAACTACAGTGCAAAATCTGGGGAATTGCAAAAGCCAAATGATAGCTGCATTCCAATCTTCGTATTAGACGAGCCACTTCACTCAACATACAGATCACATGAAATCATTGCATCAATATGAATGCAGAACCCCTTTACATGCTGGTTGCACACACAGGGGAAGGAGCCCACACAGCCCCACAACACTCTTCACTTTGTCTTTCAATGTGGGACCAAGTTTGTCTGAACCTTCCTCGGGGATGTTTGTGAACATTGGGCTGAAACTGGCATCTTTCCTTCAGGTGCCTCCACTTTTCCACTGAGAGGTAGGGCTGAAAGCACCTAGTGCTCAGACAGATTTAGGGTCCTAAACGTCTTCCTCAAACTCCCTTTGTACCCCGTAAAGGTATAGGTAAAGAACCCCTGACAGTTAAGTCCAGTCGCAAACGGACTCTGGGGTTGTGGCGCTCATCTTGTTTTACTGACCAAGGGAGCCGACGTTTGTCCACAGACAGTTTTTCCATGTCATGTGGCCAGCATGGCTAAGCTGCTTCTGGCGAAACCAGAACAGCTCACGGAAACGCCATTACCTTCCCGCCAGAGCGGTACCTATTTATCTACTTGCACTTTGACATGCTTTCAAACTGCTAGGTTGGCAGGAGCTGGGACCAAGCAACGGGAGCTCACCCCGTCGCGGGGATTTGAACCACCGACCTTCCAGTCGGCAAGCCCTAGGCTCAGTGGTTTAGACCACAACGCCACCCGCGTCCCTATTTTGTACCCTGTAGGGAAATCCAAATCCTCTGTGGTAAGTGGTTGCCTACATTAGAAAACCTAGAACTGAGTAGCTCAACAGACTGTTTCTGAAAAAGACTCTGGGTAGAAGAAGGAGACCAGTTCTACTTCTTTGGTTCCTGTTGCTTTGCTCCATAAATAAAAGTTTGGAAAGAGAACACTAGCTGGGTTGGAAATAAAATCAAAGTATATCTTACTGAATAGGAACCAAAATAATAGAAGTTTGAAGTCTTGTAGCACCTCACATAAAGGGAGGCAGCTAGCCAGCAAGCAATCCAGGATAGACAAGGTCCAGCACAATTGTTATACCCCATCCTGGGACCCCAGTGAAGGGTGGGTAAGAAATCAAAATAATAATCATAGTAATTTCTGTCTTAGTTTATGACACTCATTCAAATTGACCCAGGCCACTGAAATAGCAGTCATGAAAGTCAGTGGGGATATCCTCCAGAAAATGGTAAAATCCAGTAAACTTTTCTCTCCCCAAATTCTTGGTCATAAACTAGTATGATTTAAATACGTTTGTTACAGGAAAAAAACCAGGTTTTGTAATTATTATTTTTAAAATCTCTATCATTCACAGACCAGGGAAAGGGGCCACCATTAAAACACAGTACAGCTATAACTCCTAATGCAAGATATCAAGCACCTACAGTAAGTTTCTTGAAATTATTTGTCACTCCAATTATTCCCAGGTTTTGATTTATTTCCCAGATTGGAAATTGTGGGTGAAAAGAATGTCCCAAATGTTTAATGGCATTTGCTTAGTGTTTGTTTCGGCTGATTATGTCTTGCCTTTCACGTATGTAAGGGCTTTGTTTTGTTGCTTTCACCAGTGCATGCCCCTGTCTTCTGTTCTCTGACATCTGTCCTTGAAGACCAAAACACATGCTATATGCAGTTACATGTACCTTCCCACATTTTTTCCCATGCAAAGCATCTAAAGGGGGCTGCAATTGTGAGTGAAACATCACAAGGTGATGAGAATACTTATCCCTGTCACCTTGAACTGTTTCCCCACTCAAATCATCCCTGGCTGCTCTTCCCCACAGAGAGCTGGAAAATAACTACGAAAGAAAGGGTTAAAGCAACTCTCCTCCCACGCACCCCAACCAGTGCTCTGCTCAAAGTCACAGTCTCCACAGATTTTCATGGGGGCAAAGAGAGATGTTGCTGGGTGAAAGTTACATGCAACTATATATAATAAAATGGAGTTTGGTCCAAAGACAGACATAAACTCTACAGTTCAAAATGAGCATGTTGCTTTTTTTGTATGTAGATGTAATTCTTTTTTCTCTTCTCTTTTTGTTTGTGGTTTACTGAAAATGCTTGTACTATGTTTAATCACAACTCTGTGCACAAAATAATTGTTATTTATCAACAGTTTATTGCATCCGTTTTGTAGTATTATGTAAAAGTAAGTAGCCCTTTAACTTTCCTTCTAATACAGGGAGAGGGAAGAACTCTAGGAAAGTCTAATTCTATTAAAATAAAAGGAGAAAGTGGAAAAAGCTCTAGGGATGTCCATCTAGCAAACAGAGAAGAATGTATTGCACAGACGGGGAATAAAAAAAGTCAGAAAATTAATTTGGACGAAGCAGAGGGTATGTCACTTTTTTAGTATATGCAGTAGTATTAGTTTTTAAACCAAACATTTGTAAACAGTGGTATTAGTTCATTTTATAATTGAAGAAAACAGGTTGTATTATAAATTTCAGCAGTGTGGTGATGTTACTAATAAATTAATCTAACCTACTCTAGAATTACCTTTAATTGTAGGCAAAGGCTTCTGGAATGCATGTGAAGGAATGCGCTCTCAGCAGCCAAATTGAAAACAGCAGTACTAACTAAAGGAGAACATAGAAATAGTGCCACCCACTCGCCCAGTAGTATCTATGGCAACATTACCAGCGCTCACAAATCACAGAACAGCATGGCCACAATGCCCCCACATTAGCAGTGCAGGGGGCGGAGCAAAGGGATGTGGGAACTTTCCATGAGATTACCCCACCCCAGCCTACACTCTTGTGAGAAGGGGTCTGAATAATAAACATCCAGAGTTCCTGAGGGAAAGGAGCCACTTGCTGATGGAGCAAAGCTGTATTTAAAAAACCCACCATCCTTTTGCCAGTGCTGCAGATGGAGGAACCAGGACAAGCAACAAGCCATGGTTGCATAGAGCTCTGAGATGGGAAAAGGTTTGGGGAGGTTTGAGTCCTGCTATGTTTCACCATTTGCATGTCTTGTCAGCAGCCCGCATATCAGAGAGAAAAGAGGCAGCACACAGAACTGGCACAGCACAGAGCAGCTCTCTGGCCATTTAGCCACGACAGGCAGAAGGACACATCATGAGGCATTTGCCTTTCCACAGCCAGCAGTCCATAGTCCCAGCCATGCACACCAGGGGGCAGGTCTAGCCCAAGCGAACAGCACAGTAGATGCCCAATTCGGATCCTAAATGTGATCTCCCACCGGAAGAGTGTAGATCACCCCACACAGAGGCACAATGAGAATCAGTACATAGGCTCTGAGAATCAGAGGAGCGCTGCACCAGCCTGTTGTCATTTGCCTGATAGGCAGTGCTTGCAGGATAGTGCCCTAACAATAATGGACAGGTTTTGAAAGGTAGACACATAGTGGGGGTTGCCAACTTTCTTGCCCTGGCAGGAGTCACATGCCTTTGAAAGTTCAATGACAGACAGCAGTTTAACAGGCATCATTCACTCCATGGCTTGTTCACCCTCCTTCACTGATGCAACAGCATCCTTGAAATAGCTTGCAAAGATGCAGGATCCCAACTGGAACATAAAGCTTAGCAACCACACAGAGGAACAGTATTATTTTTAATTTTGTAAAATTTGAGAGCTGGGATAGTCTACAAATATTTTTTAAATAAATAAACAGCTAGAACCACAGTGGGAACCACACGTAGCATTAGGAATAAGAACCATCCTTACTTCTGCAACTGTTGAACATCTACCTGTTCAGAGCCAAGAGCAACACAGGAACAGTGATGAGCAATGGTCAGCAGCAGTATCCACATAGTCCCTGGACCGAGATGCCCATCTCTCAGCCTCCCGCACCCCTTAGGGGAGAGACTGTAGTAAATGAGCCAATATTTATCCCTTCCCATAAGGAGTTGCAATGAAACTCATTACAGTGACTGCTTGTTCTGTTCTGTGTGGTTTATTTGTGCTCCCGAAAATGTTTGATCAGCATTCCACCAACAGAGCACTTACCTGCTTGTAGAATGGCTGCCAGCTCTTCCTACCCTTTCTGCACAGTGCATGCTTTACCCAGTGTGAAAGGCAGTGTTGAAGGAGGAAGGAATGGCTAGTCAATACAATTTAGCCAGTACCCAGTGGACAGTACCAAAGGCAGAGGGAAGGACATGGAAGGAATTTGAAGCCTTCATACTTGGAAGTACGGTATCGTTTGCTTACCTGGGTGCCCTGCACTGCCCATTCTGAAAAGAGAAATGTTAGCAATCTGTTCTTCCCATATATATTCTGCGGTGAAACCGTGCAAAGTGTTCCTTTTTGCGCAAAATTTCTTTTCTGTATAATTGCCATGTCACTAACTGATCAAGAGCACTAAGCACCCACAAAAGACCTAAAGCCCCATGCCATGCCGTTTGAGTTACGGCACATTGTCAGGGGTTTAAATGCTGCTGTGAGTGTTCTGTAATTGGGTTCACATTTGTAATCCACCAAGAATGAGATTGAACATTAAAAGAACTGCACATAATTGTTTTTTGACTGACTAGTATAAAAGTTGTAAAGCCCAACCTGATCTAAACTAGCTTTTTTTCATCCCCAGTTGTTTTTGGAAATGGCTGGAAAGTAATAGCCCCTTGACTCTGTAATATCTCTTGTGTGAACCTGGCCTGTTAACATTATCACAGTGTGGGTGCGTGTGGCTCTACTATACCCACTTTGCTCCTCTCCTAGCATGAACAGGCGCAACAAACCAAGGTTTCCTGTGTCATCCAAACCAGAACTGTAGTTTGCTTTCCCTTAAATGTACAAAATAATTAGCAAACCAAGAACAAACCTTGGAGTTAGGTTTCAATCTAAGCCTATTCCTCACTGAGAAAATGTGATGGTCGCATAGACATAGAGCATTACATTATGCCAGTGTGTCCAACATAACCCAGATACCAGTGTGATGTTACTGGCAAAGCAGACGTTTCAAATCCTAAGGTCTCCTAGATGATGAAAACTGAGCATAGAATTCTGTGCTAAAATATAGTGACATTTCATCATCTGCAACTAGGAATATTTCAGTTCCGTAAGGGCCCTCATTAGTTGCCAGGCAGGACCCTACTTGTAGCCGGCTCAAGCAGACTATGAACAAAGCTGTTTATGCCCCAGTGTGCCTGGCAGGAAAGCCTGTTCCTGGTGGAAATGGACATAATTAGCATAGCATTTCTGCTAGGTGTGTTGGCATATGTGGGCCCTGTTCCCTCCTTGGCAATAACTACCCTCTGCTGAGGAGCTGGATTCCTCACCTCTCATTTCCCCTGCCCTAGGCAATTGGGGCGAAGGCAGAGGAAGGTGGAGAATGTGTCAGCAAAGATGGCAGCACATCCTTCATGCCTCCGCAAGTGTTTTTAGCACATGAGCTTGATGTGCACACTGAATGTTTCTCTCTCTTTTTTGCATGCACTCACTTAAAGGATCACACCTGCTTCATGGTGACCCAAGGGGTGCTCACGCATACCATCTCCTACATGCAATAAAGATGCCTGGTCCTGGCTTAAAAGTGCCTGGTTCTTTTTTGCAGCAGCAGTGGCAGCAGCAGCATGCCTGGTGGGGCTATGGGCGATGCCTTATGTACATGCAACTGCTAGTCTGTGAATGCCAGTTGCATGAGGCAACAATGGGCAGATTCAGAGTTCTGCTTTTGGCATGTGGAAGTGGTTTCTGGATTCCAGAGAGTGCTGCTCATTTGTGAAACGTGCCTGGGTCCTGGACAGATGAGGCTATAACTTTCTATCCATCTCCTACTGCAGTTAGAATTGGTATTCACATGAAATGCCTATGTGTCACACTGTGCATTTTTTTCCTTCACATTTTTTCCCCTATTTGTGTTCAGATTCAGCAGGTGGATATGTTTTTCCCCCCTGTAACCAGTGGAGAAAAGCAATCCTCATTCTTTCTCAATGTATTTAATACAAGCAGGGTGAAATGGCATCTTTCATATGAAATATTACAAGTGGCAGGTATAATATGAAAAACTGGTACCAGAAAAAAAAATGTGCTACTACATGCACCTATTAAAATCATCAGAGATTTAGGATTACTATTGTCTTTTAATGTTACTTGTAAACTTTAGTTTTATTTATAATGTTATAGGAGTTTCAGCTCAGAAAGTGGGCAGATGTTTTAGATTTTGTTGTTTTTTCAGTGTTGTTGGTAAATGGTGGGTGAATCAAATGTGTCTAGTTAAGAAAAAAAATGATTGTGTGGTGTCATGAAATTTTGCGGTATTGACTAATGGGTCTATTCTGGGTTTCTTGCAATAGAGTTTTTTGAACTTATATCAAAAGTGCAAAGTAACAGAGCAGATGACCAGCGAGGGCTGCTGAGAAAAGAAGACTTGGTTCTGCCCGATTTTCTTCACTTGCCTTCCTGTGGGACTAGGCCTTCTTCATCTACACCCGAAGGGTCTAAAGGCTGCAACAAGAGAATTGCACATCCTGATGTCAAGGACAAATGCATACAGTTAAGTGGCAAAGTGGACGTCATGAAAAACAGTAGTGAAAGCTCCGCAGTCAAAATGGCTTATTCTGGAAGCAAGCAAAAACCAGCTGTGCTGGCAACTTGCAGCAGCCAGAAGACTTGCAGTGTTCCTTTTGGTGCCCCACTGTCTCCGATTCCGCTTTCGCAGGATGCCACCATATGGAAAAGGCAATCAAAAGAACTGCAGGCTGAAAGCATACAAACTGTTGAGGATGAGAACGTAGCAGACTTGACTCTGGTGGCTGAGGGAGACATTAACAGCCCTAACAGTACATTGCTGCCATCTCCACCCTCTTCTTCAGACAAAAACACTCTTGCAGGAGCCAAGTATCCACCTCCCGTGTCACTAACAGATAATCAGGAAAAAACTACCCATGAGAAATCCAAATCAGGTATTTCCAGATTTTAAATGTCTTTAATAAGAAATGATTCCCCATTACATTTGTTTCAGCACTTGTTGCATCTGTTTACAACATGCAGAAAAGTGCAACTGAAGCCTGTCTTTAGGGCATGTACAGACCGTAGTTCTGAGGGGTAGCACACAATTTGGCCTCTGTGATCCTTGTCTACATCCCACTCTGGCCCCTCCTGCCTGTCCACACTGCGGACAGCTGCAAGTTCCAGACCAGCCAGCCTGAGCTACAGGCTGCTTTAAGTACACAAACTCCAAATTGAGAACAGATGTGGTATCACTTGTTTGGCTGTGCACTCATAAAAAGCCTCAACGACCATTTTGCCTGTTGGAAATAAATACATTTTTGTTTGGAAGAGCCTTGCAAAATATAGTTTTTCCATTTAAACCTCCCAAGACACACTTTTCACGCATATGCATGCATTATTTGCTGTCGTTTCCTCTTTGTGCTGTATACCATTATAAAGACTTGAAGAGGAAAGGGAAAGCCCAGCCTGGTTCCCACATTTCTGCTGGAAGTCCTGGGCACGTCCTCGCGAAGCACATGCAGACAACTTTTTATAGATACTCATCTCTAAAGACACATGCAAATACCAGATGAGGATCACATGTAACATGTTCCTCCTGGACCACCCTTGAGGTTGCTCATGCCAGTGGTGGGCAGGGCCAGAGGCAAAGTGGGCAGAGCAGCTAGTGTAAATTCTACCAATAGGCTGATTTTACACATACACACATCTCCACCCTCCATCTAGGCAGCCAAGAAGCATTATCAGAATTCAAGGACACAAGGCAGCCAGACAAGAACACTCAAAGAAGGTGCAAAGTGTAGGGCTGGGGAAGGGTGCGGAGGAGGGGGAGACTGGGGGTGGCCAGAAAGGGAGGCCTGGATGGATATGTCTCCCCATCCCAGATATATAACACCTACCTCTGGGAGAAGATCCATCCCCCCCCCTCTCCAAAGAGTCCTCCCCAAAGAGTCCACCCCTCTGCACACTCTGAGCAGCAGGCAGATATCAGTATGGGCTGCTGGAAGGCACAGAAAATCAGTAATTGCCATATGCCTGGTAAGAATGTGGTGCTGGGCGGGGGAGACAGTAATCTGCCTACACTGCTTCCTGCTGTCTCCATTGCACATGGGCCCAAGGGCTGGATCACCACCTCTGATGCAACTGACTGTATTTATCTTCATAAATCCAATACCAAGTAGAATCATGACTTGTAGAATGCAAACACATTCGGTTTGACTGCTTATTTCTTGTTTCTTACCTGTACTTATTTAGTGATTTTCACATGCCTAATTGTCACGTGCTAACAAATGACAGCCAAACTCTTCTGTCCTGCTACTCTGAAAAATCAGAAAAGGTTTATGTCTTTCACAGTGTTTTTATATATGCTACCATAAAAATGATTGAAATTAAACATCAAATGACCTTGTAATTGGCTATGTCCAAATGATAATACATGAAGTGTATTTTGTGGCCTGGTTGTGTACATTTGTGTATATCTATAGTTAGAGCGTGTGTGTTTTAAAAGGGGAGTTTACAAGTTAGACTGTCTTATTTTTAAACTGGAGTTCATATGTGAATATTTTCAAATCTTCAAACTGACCTGTATTTAGTGCATGCCATACCTTCCCGTGAGCTGCAGCTTTTGTTGTTTCTATCTTCTTTTATTCTGTAGCTGCCTTAATGTAGTTTCTGCATATATTTTGTATCTGAGTTCCCACCACTACAAAGAGTAATAAACTCTGTTCTTCGTTAATTCATTTTTTTCTTATTCAAAAGTATTTAATGTGCAGAAGCAGATCTAAATGCAATTGGGAGACATACCGAAAATCAGTGGGGAACTACCCTCTTCAAAGTAGCTTCTCAATTTATTTCCATGGAGGCAATGCAATCTGAGCTCTCACAGATAGCTTGACCAGGGCCCATGTATATTGCATTCTATAGCAAGTCATGAAAACCTCATTATCCGTTTAGTGCTTGCAAATTTCTTTCCCCTTTTTATCTCTTCTGTGAGACTCCTTTAAGTCTCTTGTACCATTGACTCGTATTAAACTCTTTTATAAAACATGCAAAATTGTATACTTGCAAAATGTTGAAAGAATTTGTTCTGTTATATTTGCATTTATAAATGGTGTTGTCCATGTCTCCCAACATCCCTATTTATTTGCTTATTTAAGCCTTTATTTATTTTGCCTTTCACATACGGCAAGGCAGTATACAAAACATCTATACTTTAAAGCACAAATTAAACAATAAATTGTGATTCAGGGCAAATTAAAACATAATGTTATGATCCCAGCAAAAGCCTTGAGCATAAGCATATTTTCAAGAGGTGCTAAAACACTTAGCTAAAGGGGGAGTTGGTGCTGCCACAGAGAAGGGCCTCCTAGAATCATAGAGTTGGAAGGGACCCCAAGGGTCATCTATTCCAACCCCCTGCAGTGCAGGCATCTCAACTAGATCATGCATAACAGTTGGACATCCAACCTCTGCTTAAAAACCCCCAAGGAACGTCCTTCCACTGTCTAACGGCTCTGTTACTCTTTCTGGTTACTGCCAAATATACTTCTCCAAAGTACAGCACAACCAAGAGAATCTCCCCAGCTGTTCACAATGAAGGATTGGGGTGGTATGAGAGAAAGCACTTATTAAAGCTCCTTACTAACAGGCAGACTGCCTTGGCATACACGTTAGGTAAAGGTACTCCTGACCGTTAGGTCCAGTCGTGGATGACTCTGGGGTTGCGGCTCTCATCTCGCTATCTTGGCCGAGGGAGCCGGTGTACAGCTTCCGGGTCATGTGGCCAGCATGACTAAGCCGCTTCTGGGGAACCAGAGCAGCGCACGGAAACGCCGTTTACCTTCCTACCAGAGCGGTACCTATTTATCTACTTGCACTTTGACGTGCTTTCGAACTGCTAGGTGGGCAGGAGTAGGGACCGAACAACGGGAGCTCACCCCGTTGCAGGGATTCGAACCGCCAACCTGATTGGCAAGCCCTAGGCTCTGTGGTTTACTTTACTTTATAACAGGGGCAGGGGAGTCTGTGGCCCCCCAGGTATTGGACTCCAGCTCAAATTGTCCTGAAACTGCTCTTGAAAAGATTTCTACTGCGGGCACTTTCACACTAGTACCTCTGATATCTCTGTTAGATGACTGTATAGATGACTTGCAGTTGTTGTTGCTTTATCATGTGCCAGTAGTTCCCATTCTTGAAGTATAATGCCACACGGCTTCATTGTTGCTCTCAGATTGCCCTTTTATTTCTTTGTTCTGGAAACCTTTTTTTTATCAAGCCTCTATAAAAGAGATGCTTGTGGAGGTGGTCGTGAAACATTTGGGTAGTATGACCTGACTAACAGCAGAGGCTTCATAACTATGCCATCTGCACTTGACAGCTTGGCTGTTCTATATTCAGTTTCAACTTTTGATTCACAAGGCAAAAGTGTGAATTTGTTCACCACCTGGTAGAAGTAGCTTCAAATAATTTCTGCTGGGACATATATCTATCTGGAAGGTGGCTGAGATAAAACTGGGGCAGAATTATATAATGCCCCCACCTTGGCTGGTTCTACCAAAGTGAAAGAATTGAGGACATTGGTTTATCTGAAAATAAGAACCCCATTAAGAGATCCTATATTTCAATCTGTTATAAATGAGGAAGATCAAAGGCCCCGTTTTGGGGGGGGGGGTTGCTGAGAGATTTCTCCAGTCCCTATAAAAAAGGTAAAGGACCCCTGACAGTTAAGTCCAGTTGCAAACGACTCTGGGGTTGCGGCGCTCATCCCGCTTTACAGGCCGAGGGAACTGGCGTTTGTCCACTCTGCAGACAGTTTTTCCAGGTCATGTGGCCAGCAGGACTAAGCCGCTTCTGGCAAAACCAGAGCAGTGCACAGAAATGCCATTTACTTTCCCACCGGAGCAGTACCTATTTATCTACTTGCACGTTGACGTGCTTTTGAACTGCTAGGTTGGCAGGAGCTGGGACTGAGCAACGGGAGCTCACCCCGTCGCAGGGATTCGAACCACCGACCTTCTGATCGGCAAGCCCTAGGCTCTGTGGTTTAGACCACAGCGCCCCCTGTGGGTCTGGGGAATTAGAGGAAACAAGTTGTCCTGATCCATTCCAGATCTAATCACTCTGGTAAACAGGCTACAACAGGAGACAAACAAGGGGAATGTGATCCTTTTAGCTTTTCTGGATCTCTCTAAAAACCAGAAACCTTTGAAGCAATACTCACACTCTGGGCCTGGGGAAAATGGGTGTAACAATGGCCTCCAGGAGCAGGTCGTGTCCATCTCTGAATCTGCCACAATTGTGGCAGTATTTCTTGATCTAGATTTAATAACTGACGCAAAAGGTTTAGCTGACCTAATTTTTTATTCACTTGTCCTTGAAGTGGGTGGATGAAGTACAGGATGACCCTCAGTCCTCTTTGAACAGGAACAGCTGAGTATGGGACTGGCCCAGAGCAGCAAAATTCAGTCTGAGAAGCTGCAGCAGCATCTGTCTGCAGGATGAAGAGTCAGATGGTACAGGACAGATGCCCACCTGACAGCCAGATCTGAATTTGTTCAGGCAGATACTCAGAGCAGATACTATAGTGAGCATGAATAAAAAACAAAGCAGAAAACAATGGAAAGGCAAATCCTACTAGTCGCCCCCCTCCCCCCCTCCTGAACTTTAGCCAATGCATCTTCATCTTCTTTGCAGTCTCCAGTGGGCTGATGCTGCCAAGAAACATGCAAATTCTTCTCCCCTTTTTCCTTCCCAATGATAGTCCCTCAAAGCAAGCTAGGAGGGGAGAGAGTGAGAGATTGAAAAGGGTTCAGGATTACAAGAGTTAGGCTTGATTCACTTGGGAGGGGGGTGTTGTGTTTTACCGGTACGATAATCTTTATTGTCATTATCCTATATAGAACAACAAAATTGAAAAAAATCTACAGCAGACATTAAAAAACCAACAAGCCTGCTATCCCAGCCTGGTTAGCCCCTTAAAAACTCTGATACCCCACAATTGAATACAATATACTCCCATAGAGACTACCTTACACTGCGTTTAAAACCAAAATCGCATTTGGATAGAAACTGTTTCTCAGGCGGCTAGTCCTAGTCTTTATAACCCTGTACCTTCTTCCAGAAGGCAGAAGCTGAAAGAGATCATTTCCGGGGTGCGCACTATCCTGTGCTATCTCTGCAGTTTTCTTATGGCACTTGGAAGCATAGATTTGATCCAAGGTGGGAAGGGTGCACCCAATTATTCTCTCTGCAGTCTTTACAACCCTGGACAGCATTGTTTTTTCCCTGGCCGTGCAGCTCCCAAACCACACACAGAGACCATAAGTTAATACACTCTCCACGGTACAATGGTAAACTGCCATCAGAAGGTCCTTTGAGAGATTATTTTTCCAGAGGATTCTCAGAAAATATAACCTCTGCTGTGCTCTCTTCATCAGGTCTTTGCTGTTTTCTCCCCAGGTTAGGTCATCTCTCAACTCCATTCCCAGAAATCAAAACACCGAGACCTGTTCCACACACTTTCTTGCTTTCTCATGATGCACATGATGTTCATCCCACTTGTGTTGATACTGCTAGTTCTGGCCCTTTATTCCAGGCTTTCTCAGGGCAGATTTGTGCCAAGTTTTAAAGTTACTGTGTTTTCCTCCTGCCTATCATCTCATGAGCACCAGCTGCACAGTCTTGATATCAGCAAGAGTGGCTTCCTTCCTGCAAAACCTATTTGGCACTTTTTTCTAAACCTTCCTCCTCTGCCTCATCCTTGGCCTTACAGTGAATCTGTGGGAAGAACGTTTTAGCCTCCATTTCACTGATATGTGGTCATAGTAATCCTTATTTTTAGATGCTGCTTCTCAGTGTTCACCTGCACATCTGCACAGCTCTAAGTATGTTTTCCAATAAATAATGCTTCTATCTGTGTGTTCCCTGAACAGCTACAGGGACAGGCTGAGATTCTCCTGCCTGGGATGACAAAGGAAATAATAATGAAGCATAAGCATGCAGGGAGAGAAGCAGGAAGAGGGGCAACTGGCAGTAGAACACACAATGGGAGGTGGAAGATCATCAATGGCAGGGGTATTTTAATTTCTTTTATTTCTATCTCTGCACCTCCTTTGCTCCCCAAAGAGCTCTGGTTGACAAACAGAAAAGGGGTAAAAGAATACATGTTTAAAAAATGAAAAAGTATTTAAAATATATACAAAACAATTACAAACATCTAAAAACATTAAACGCATTTAAAGAAACATTTCAAAACAGTCACATACTCTCACAGCCTAATAATTCCAAGGTTGCTGGGTTCTGTATCTTTCAGCCATCAGACTCCTGGCCTGGGTGAACAGGGACTTTTTAAAATGCCTCTTGAATATTGATAATGAGAAAGATAGAAACAACTCCCCAGGAAGGGCAATTCCACAAATGGGGAGCCACCACTGAGAATATCCTGTCACAAGTTAGCACCCAGCAATTGCAGCCACAACGAGGGATTTCTGAAGTTCGGCACATCAGTGAGTTATTTTCTGATTTAAATCAACCTGTGTAATGTGTCTGAGGAAAAGGCAATGAGGCTGAAATGGCCTCAGGGTCTCACTGCCACAGAAGCCTGCCTTGCACTTCATCCACAGAAATAGGAAGTCTTCACACAGAGGGGCTTAGCTTGGAATGCCTATTCCAGCAATGGCAGATGCCCACTGCGTCAGGTAGGGCTACTAGGAGAGGAGGTCACAGGGATGCATGGCGAAGTTATTCTGGTTTCCTCCCGATCCTCCTCTCTTGCAAAGATAATGTGGACACTTAAGAGTTGCAGTTTTACAAATACCTAGCACCCAACTGAACTGATAAAGTATCTTACCTTGGTTCTGAAGGAGTCTCTTTTGTCACAGTGGCTTCTCTGATGGGAAAAACTGTATGCCTCCTCCATTATGCCTCCTCCACCTGTTCTTGTTTTCTCCCTGTCCTCCTTTGCAAAAAATCAGTGGGCACTTCTAACTCTGCAGTTGTGCAAATACTTAACAACTTAACTAAATAAATGAGTGTCGTACCTTGGATAATAAGCTGCAATAAAGGCTACCCGTGTGGCCTCCACCTCTCCTTAGAGCCACCCTGATCCTCTCCCCCTGGTCTCTCTTTATCTTCTTCCCTTGCAAAGAAACCAAGCACCTGTGAACACTGCAGCAGTACAAGTATCTAAGAAAACAAGAAAATTATACTGTGGTTCAGAAGAGGTTGATGTAGATGGTTGTATTTATTTGCTGAGAGAAGATTACCTGTGTCACCTCCACCTCCTCTTGCAGCCACCCCAGTCCTCTGCTCCTGCTTCTTATTTCTCTCTTCACCATCTTCTCCTGCAAAGACCAGGGTGCTATGTGATTAAATAGGGTATTACTTTGGTTCTGTAGAGAACTGCGCAGTCAGCTCAGGGCTGTTGAAGCAGCAAGGCATGGGGTCCAAGCTGTGGGAGTTGGGAGTTGTGTTCCATCTTTGCATCTGTAAATGCACGGGTGATTCCTCCACATCCCAAGAAAATCAGACCTACACAGTCCTTTCAAGCCGCATGACACTGAGAGGTGGATGTTAAGAAGCTTTTCCCCACAAGGTGTCTCCGGGTCTTCTTTTCATATCTTCTTGTGCAGAAAGTTCATCCAATTATCTTTCACATTGGCAAAAAGTTTATTGAGCCTACTGTTGAAGTCTGGAATTCCTGGATCATCCATTTCTCAATGGACATGCATAAAGGAGGGAGGACTGACAGAGCAAGTCGGTAAAGAGCCCCTCTAGGAATGCTTCATTTGTGAGTGTTGCACCTGGAAAGTTCAGGGGCTTTCATGCCTGTTCAGGCTGAAGAATTGACATTTTGATTTTCTATTTATAGAAAATAATTAATTGAGGTTGCAATCCTGTACACACTTAAGTGGGAGTAAGTCTTGTTAAACTCAACGCAGCTTACTTCTAAGTAAATGTGCATTATTATTATTATTAATTATTATTATTATTATTTCTATACCACCCTCCATCTGAGAATCACAAGGTAGTTTACAATATATGGATTGTATAGGATTGCACTGTTAGGTCCTAACCAGCAAGGAAGACTGATGAAGCTGTTAGCAAGAGAGAAAATGAGGATGAATTTACAAATTTAGGGGGAGGGAATCATTTCAGAATACTGCAGGTAGGATTATCACATGTTTGAATGTAGAAAGCTCTCTCCAGAGAGGCTCACCTGGTGCCATCATTACATGCCTTTAAGCACTGGGAAAAATATTCCTCTTTACCCAGGTCTTTGGCCAATAAATATTCTATAGCTTGTTAAAGCTGTAGGTGGGGTAGGGGGGCAACTGTTACTAAGATTAATTTATTATTATGCTGTCTGTTATTATACTTTTTATTATTATTATTATTTTATTGATGCTGCATAAAATGTGGTCTTAATATTGTACACTGCCTTGGGATCTTTCGATAAAGGGTGATATTAAAAAATCAAATAAAGAACAACAACAATAACAAATGGCTGAAATAGCAGAGCAACTTTAAAAAGGCAGTGGTGTAAGAGGGGGAAAAAAATTCTGGCCAAAGCTAAGATTTTGGTGCTGGAAAAGTGTAAGATTCATTGGCAGGAAAGCCTCTGTAAAGCAGCAAAACAAAAAAGGCCCATTCCTTTTTAGCCATGCTGCTCACTTCTGAAAGTGGCAGTTCACATGCGGCATTCAGTGAATGTACAGTCTGTGTTGACAACAGGTGAGCTGCACAAATCAACACATAACGTTTGCACATCACCCAATTTATTGGAAATAGCATGGCTACAATTGTAAATTGCCTGGAAGTAATTGCCCCCACTTCTGACTGCATATATTCCAGCTTATACAAAAGGTCTTAGAATCATAGAATCCTAGAGTTGGAAGAGACCACAAGGGCCATCGAGTCCAACCCCCTGCCAAGCAGGAAACACCATCAGAGCACTCCTGACATATGGTTGTCAAGCCTCTGCTTAAAGACCTCCAAAGAAGGAGACTCCACCACACTCCTTGGCAGCAAATTCCACTGTCGAACAGCTCTTACTGTCAGGAAGTTCTTCCTAATGTTTAGGTGGAATCTTCTTTCTTGTAGTTTGGATCCATTGCTCCGTGTCCGCTTCTCTGGAGCAGCAGAAAACAACCTTTCTCCCTCCTCTATGTGACATCCTTTTATATATTTGAACATGGCTATCATATCACCCCTTAACCTCCTCTTCTCCAGGCTAAACATGCCCAGCTCTCTTAGCCGTTCCTCATAAGGCATCGTTTCCAGGCCTTTGACCATTTTGGTTGCCCTCCTCTTCAGTCAAGTGATACACAACCTTTAGCTAGGGAAGGCAGAGAAATTCAATTAGCCTCACATTCAAAGGCAAACCTACCTGATCAGCATTTTCCAGAACAATGCACAACACAAAACACTGCCGCCCTTCAAAATGGGCACTTCTCTGAATTTTGCAGTGCATTTCCCCAGCCAAGTAATGTGCACAAAAATTAAGAAATCAGGGTAAAGTTTGCATTTATTAGTGGAAATGGCATACAAAAATGCATTATATAAGGAAAAATTGATTTGAAAAATGTGTATATAGGCAAAACTGAATATATGAAGACAAATTTTCACTATAACACTGCTAGATTTTAATGATGATTATTTTTTTTTACAAAAACAGATAAATCACAAACTGATACGACAATGTAAAGTGGGAAAATTAGAAAGAAACTGAAAGTGACCTATTTGATTATGCCTTTCTTTAGCTCTTCATTAGAAAAGCAAATAATCTTGGAAAGAAGGGTTACCATTTAAGCTGCTCATGTAAACGACGAACCCCATCAAAGAAGAGGAAATCTAACCTCTGCTTGGTTATTTCCCTCATTCTCCAATTTATGCTAATCTGTCATAAACAAATTTGAAGGCTTCATCATCACCTCACTCATTTGCCGCAGCAAGGAGAATCCAATAATTTCTCTGGTGTACCAGCAGATGATAGCGTTGGTCCTGCTCAGAAACGTCCTAGAACTGTGCTCTTCCTCTGTTACACCACTGGATGACTTGGAAGAGGGGAAAATAATCAGCCATCAGCCTAGTAAAGGATGAGGGAATGTAAGCCTTGTGGTTGCTTGCGTGCCTATCTCATAATTGAAGACTAACTGGCTTAGGGGTGTATGATGGGCCTCCCCACAGCCTGCCTGGGTGTGGGGGCCATGGGGAGCCAGGAACAGAACTAGAGGTTGCTCTGTGGCTGAGGTTGTCTGACAGGGCATGAAGAAAGGAAGAACTGCCATGACTGGTGGATGGAGCTTTACATATTTAAATATTGTAATGTTTAAATATGAGGAGCTTGCTGCAGTTCCTTTGCTAACCAATAAATTTGTGGCCTGGTATTCATCCAACATCTTATCTTTTCCTGACTTTTGTGTGCAATAAACTTTCAAAATACAACTTCCCTTGCCCATGCTAAGTCAAAACTAGCTCTGAGATCTGTCAGTCATAGCCCCATCTCTTCTTTTTAACAAATTTGTATTTTACACATTGCAAACAAATGGAAATACAGTAACCATTATCCATTGCCTCCAGACATATACTTACACATTCAGCAATCAAACCTATTACTTAACGTAACCCCTCCACTGAGAATATTCAGCAGTTGGTATAAGAAGTTCTTGATTGTTGTCATTAGCATAGTTAAAGAAAGGGGTCCATGTTTGTGGAAGGGTGTCTCTATTCGTTATGCCTTTAATTGCCTCCTGTGTCTGGTAAGACTCTCAGGCATTGCTGTATCCCAGATATTATTTTCCCATATGCAAGGCCATAGCTACGGGGGGCTAGCCAGGCTCCCTCTCAGGTGAAACCTCCAGAGGGGCAACATTGAGGCTCCCTGCCTGTGTGTGTGTATATGCAAATATGTGGGGTGAAATCAAGGCTAGTTTCACCCCTGCCATGTGTTCAGGGGTATTTCAGTCTGGTTCTTCCATTGCTGAGCTATCGCTAATCGTGCTGCGGTCAGTAAGAAACCTACTAGTTTGCTGTGGCACAGCGTGGAGCCTAAGTCTGTGTTCAAAGACAGTAGGGCTAAGGCAGGACAGATCCTGAAGCTGAGGCTCCAATACTTTGGCCACCTCATGAGAAGAGAAGATTCCCTGGAAAAGACCCTGATGTTGGGAAAGATGGAGGGCACAAGGAGAAGGGGACGACAGAGGACGAGATGGTTGGACAGTGTTCTCGAAGCTGCCAGCATGAGTTTGACCAAACTGCGGGAGGCAGTGGAAGACAGGAGTGCCTGGCATGCTCTGGTCCAGGGGGTCACAAAGAGTCGGACATGACTAAACAACGAAAAAGGCAGGATTTGGAGAAAGGGGTTGGCCTGTAATTGGGGTATAATGGAGAATAAAAAGGTAAAGGTAAAGGGACGCCTGACCATTAGGTCCAGTCGTGGCCGACTCTGGGGTTGCGGCGCTCATCTCGCTTTATTGGCCGAGGGAGCTGGCGAACAGCTTCTGGGTCATGTGCCCAGCATGACTAAGCCGCTTCTGGCGAACCAGAGCAGCGCACGGAAACACTGTTTACCTTCCCACCGGAGCGGTACCTATTTATCTACTTGCACTTTGACATGCTTTCAAACTGCTAGGTTGGCAGGAGCAGGGACTGAGCAACGGGAGCTCACCCCGTGGCGGGGATTTGAACCGCCGACCTTCTGATTGGCAAGCCCTAGGCTCTGTGGTTTAACCCACAGCGCCACCAGCGTCCCTCATAATGGAGAATACTCTATTCCAAAAGTTTTTAACTTGGAGGCATTCCCACGCAGCTTTTCCCACCCCCTTCCAACATAAAGAGAAAAGGGAAGGGGTTATTTCCCCCCAGCCTGATTGTACCTGTGCCATCCTGTAAGCAAGCGGAGGAGTAGCCTCATCTCTTATGTGCTTATTTTGCATTATATGGGGAAAGCACTCCCAGACAAAAATGGAGGGCTTGGGACATGAGTCCCCAAGGCTAACACTGTGCATATCCTGCAAAAGAACAATTCCTTACCAGCTGTAGATGCAGAAGTAATTTAAAAGTCAAGTCATAAGAGGCATAAAAACATTAAGTAACTGCAAGTCATACAGTGTTCAGTGGGATCTACTCCCATGTAAGCATGCAAATGGTTCCATATGTTACTTACGGAAGGAATTGTGGGCCCTTTCTGGCTTAAATTTATCCTGAAACTAAGCTGCTAATACTGAGCAGCCTTCTTGACAGGGTGACTTGGCTTTTAAAAGTCCGTATGTGTCGGTTAATGTTGTATTTGGTAGAAAGGAAAAATGTAGATATGATAAAATAAAAAAGGAGAATTCCCTGGATGACTAGATCCAGGTTTGGGGCAAGTATTCTTTGGTGAGAGAGCCCCAGCAGAGATTTAAAATCAGAAAACACTATGGTCTTAACCCCTCCATGCAATAATTAGAGTTAAGCATGTTGGTTATATGAGGCTGGATATATCCCACATTTTGTTAATTGCCTTCACTCTCAGAAATCTTCAATGATACGTAAGGAACTGGAATGGTGATTTGATTACCAAAGATCTTATACTGTATTATTTGCTTTTATGGCTATGTTTGATTATTCTAATCACATGTTTTCGAACGAAATCCTGGCCTACTGTGATTCTATTATTTGAAAGTTTGTAAATAATGCATTTATATTTTTATCAATTTTTGTACATATTCATTACTTTTTCTGCTGTGACAGATGTGCAAAGCAATGTACAAATTTACAATTAAAATCACAAAGTTAGTTCTACAGACTCAGCTCAAGATATATAAAATTTTAGTATTTTGCACCACAAAAATAGGATAGCAAAATATCCAAGCTGTTGAAACGTGATAGACTGTAAAATTTGACTTGTGTAAAGCAAAGCATAATAAATATTATCCCCTTTTTTGTCTCTTTCTTTCCCTTTTTTTTCTAGGTGTGAGCCACAGAAAGAAAAATGATGTGCAAGTAGCTGGAGGAAACCTTTATGAACAAAGTTCTAAAAAAACTAGTCATGACTTTATCGCTGCTGAATTTAGTGGGGAAATGTTCAGAAATGAACTCCCTGTAAGTTGTGTAATAGATGTGGATAGAGTTGCTCCAGAAGATGGTCTGGCCTGGTCTTGTAGTGAATCCGAAGGGAACCTCAGTTTTGAAGGCTGCATTGCAGAGTTAAAATCTTGCCGAGGGAGGATGCGAACAGGTGTCTACAGGACATCAGATCTTCCATCTTTTATTGCTGCTAAGAGCGAGAAAAATAAGGACGAGGAGTGTAAAGCAACATTTGTATGACATTGCAATATGCATGGCTCCAGAATTGCAATATGCATGGCTCCAGAAACTTAATTCTCAAGGTCGTTGCAAGCACTAGTACATTTATTGCCTTTGGAACATAAACACAAGCTGCACAATTCCCTTTTACTAGGAGACAACGAAACTTGTTGACAGCATCTGAGAAAATCCACCAAAAAAACAACAGTCTTGTTATAAAATTTACTGGAAAAACATACACAAATTAGTACATAAATATGTTTTAAAATACATATTTCTGAATGTATCTTCTCATAAAACAGGCGTGCCAACTCAGAGGGACCGAGGCAGTTCTCTCCCCCCCCCCGGTATTTTTGAGGGGGCTGAGCTGAGCCAATACTCAGGGGGCGTTTGGCTCTGCTCCCTGACATCATGTGAGCTGTCACGCGGCATCACATTGGGCCTCCCCATCCCCTTAAGAAGATGGCACCTCCGTCACAAAATATGCATTTATAAATATGTATTCTCTAAACGTAAGCATATATAAGTGTATTTTATCATAAAATATGCATTTTAGTAATTTCTTGGGGTGAGAGTTGCATTGCAAAATTCGAAGAAGTTCAATATCTGAAGGTTGTTCTGCATAATAGTCTGGGCAGTGTGTATAAAGTCAGTTTCCATTCTCATTCACAAAGATCACACTTCTTGAAGGTCCCTTACCTGAACTTCTCTAGCTATTCCCTTTCCGATATAAACCTTTAAAATTCTTAAGGCTAACAAGACGTGAAGTTAAATACAGTATGTTGTTGTTGTTGTTGTTGTTGTTGTTAAATGTGAATAGAATCAGCAGGAGGGAGATGTCTGCTGTGAGCCTAATAATTATTACCCACCCACTCAGCTGATTCTATTTACATTTTGTTAAAACCTGCATGTTAAATCCACAGATCCATTTAACCAGTCTCTAGTCTTTCATGGGCTGAATATCAACTTCCATGCTGGGAAATAAGTATAGTAAATGAAAAGTACATAGGATCACCAGCATGGAAGTTGAATATAATAGTCCAGGATATCTATTCCTGCCCTAGTTCAATATCTTATCTTACGAAAGCTTTTTTGCGCTACATAACAAACAAACATGGAAAAATGCATATATATTGTCTCCACTGTCAATCCACAGAGTATTTTTCATTACAAGTTGAGTCTGGCAAAGGAGACAATTTTAATACAAACTAGGCAGTCCAAGATGGGCATGGGGATCACGTGTCTCTCAGTGTTGTTGAGCTACAACCATCCCTGACCATTGGCCATGCTGACTCTGGCTGATGAGCTACAGAGTCCAGCAACATCTGTGAGGCCAAAGCCCCCATCCCAGGATTTATAGTTCTGAAATTACTCTGTGCTGTATAAGGACATAGAAGGCCATCAGAAACTAGTATGGAGAAATTCTGTACCTCCGGACTAGAAATTTTATCAGTAGAAGAGAAGGCCTTAGGAGTTGCTCCCAAAGTGAAGTGGAAAGAGAAGATTGGTGAAATCCTGACCCATTTTCCTGGCTACAATCACTTAAGTAGGACAAACAATGACAACATTGTGGTTCCATAGAATGGGCAGAAAGTAATGCAGACTGTGGAGATGCGTTCTTCTAGCTGAGATAGGTACAGCCAACTTCCAATTTACACACGGGTCACGTTCCCAGGCACCACACGTTCAAAGTGAAATTGCATATATTTGAGACACCATTGAAAAAGCCTGCAAACACCCCGTTTTGGCCAAGCCCTGTTTCGCCCCTTTATGTGATTTTTTGGGGTCATTTCCAGGTTTGGCACAATACGCACATGCGCAGTCATGCACATATTGGAGGTGTCTAAAATGGTTGCTGCCTGTACACTCATTGTGGTGGTGTGGTAGGATGTAGGAGCCCCTGTTTGAGGTGAAATCACCAGTTGTCGTCTCCTTATACTTGGTAGGTGTGTATATGTAGCATGAGAATCATATGTAAATATGGAAACACTTTCATTATATAATTCATCTGAAAATTTTACTGGAAAATGTTATAGGAAACTGTCAGAACAGACCCATGGTGGTGGGAATCCAGCTGTGTGGGTTGCATAGCCAGTGTTGATCTTGCCACATCAGTGTATTCTTCTGGACATTGGATAAAGGAAAACATTGGTGTCAGTATGATCACTTTGGGCCTCTCTGTGCAGCTGTAATAAGCCAATAGGAAGCAGTCTCTCAGTTTTTCAACAGAAGCAGGTGATGCTAAACATAAGAGTGAACTTGACACACTTGCAAAGCACATTCCATAACAAAAAACATACAGACTAACAGTCCTATATTGCTGAATCTGGAGAGTCACGCAATTAAGTGGAAGAAAAAGAAATAAACTATTTTGGTGTGTTAGCTGCTTTTTCATCTCAATTAATTAATGATCTATTGAACTGCAAATATTTTGCCCTCTGGAACCAATCTTAAATTTTCATCTGGAATTTGAGTAGTAAAAATCTGTCATTGGGAAATATATATAATTTAAATATCAGATTGTCCATCACTTTCCAAAAATTATGGTCCATTTTTTTCTTTACAATGATATATTATTACAACTTACATAAATCAGTTATTTTCAAATACTAATTTTGTTTTGTTTGAAGTAAGAAATAAGAAATGCAATTTGAGCTTCAGAATTAATCCAGTTGTGTGTTTAAAACAAGAATTCAGTTTAGCTTAATTAAGAGCACAACATCTTGTTATAATGATGCTAAGGAATCAGTCTACAGTGTAATATACGAATGATCTTGTAATCTGCTTGTATGATATTAAAGTAATATTAAATATTTCAGTCTTTCCTGTTCTTTCCATGTGAAAAGAACTATGAGGAGTGATTCATTACATTGGTTTTTAAAATCTACAATAGGAAGGAAATTAAGTCTGAAATTCTAATCTCACTTACTCAAGAGTAAACCTCACAAAGTGCAGTGGGATTTATTTCTCATTGGCCGTGGGTAGGAATGCAGTCTTGGTGCACAGAGGCTGCCTTTGGGAACAAACACTTCAGAAAGAAGAAAAACAAATAGGCACCTGTGTACATCAATGGATATTTAAATAATGTACATTACAAAGCAGTTTCTGGATTCATAATGTGTTCATGCTTTTTCTTTTTTTAAAAAAAAATTGTATAAAACTGAGGCAAATAGTTTTCACAGGCAGAGTAGATGTCGCAATGGGGGTTGAATGGACGGACTGAAAGAAATTTACTTGCTAGTTTTCAGTGGATTTGTTAAGTTGTGGGTGAACATATCAGACGACACAGCGGTTCTCCAAACAGCTCTTGTTTATTCACAGGCCAGAACAGAACTGAATTGAAGGGTTCAGCCAGCCTGCTTATATAGAGCTCCACTAGAACGCAACAGTAACCATTTTCCGTAACTATCCAATCACTGAACGTCACTTTCAATCCCTTATTTGCATATGTGGACCTGAACTATCTACAGTATCCCCCTGCTGGCCCAGGGTGAGAACTTCAGTACATAACAGGATTCCTCTCATCCCTAAATTCATTTGGAAAGAGACATTCCTTTAAGTATTGAGCTCCCATGCTATGCTGTATTTACGAGCGGGACAAAATGAAAACAACTTGCTTACATTATAGGTCAGGAAAAGCTAGTGAGCTCTTCAAATCCTGATTTTCCTGGATTAGAAAGTATATTGCCCATTAGACAAGTCCTGCACATCGACGCAGGACAGCAGGAAGGAAGCAGACCCACCTTAGGGGGCTGCAGCAGCCTGTAGTGCTGGGGGAGAACAGTCCGAAATTTGGCTTAGAATGTCATAAGCCAACTTTTGGTTTAGCATGGCCAAGTTGTAGAAGGGGGTGGGTGGTAGCCAGGTAATAATAATAATAATGATAATTTATTTATTTATACCCCGCCAATCTGGCTGTGTTTCCCCAGTCACTCTGGGTATTTTTGGCCCTGGGTGAAGCCTCCAGAGGGGCGCCATTGAGGCTCCCAGTCTGTGTCTGTGTTTAGGCAAATGCATGTGGAGGGTGCCAAACAGGGTCTTTGACCTGGGTGAAATAAAGCCTAGCTTTGCCCCTGGGCATGGTCAAGTTCTCTCCTTGCTAACCACAAGCTGTAAAGGTAAAGAGACCACTGACCATTAGGTCCAGTCGTGACCGACTCTGGGGTTGCAGCCCTCATCTCGCTTTATTGGCCGAGGGAGCCGGCGTACAGCTTCTGGGTCATGTGGCCAGCATGACTAAGCTGCTTCTGGTGAACCAGAGCAGCGCACAGAAACGTTTACCTTCCCGCCAGAGCGGTACCTATTTATCTACTTGCACTTTGATGTGCTTTTGAACTACTAGTTTGGCAGGAGCAGGGACCGAGCAACAGGAGCTCACCCCACTGTGGGGATTTGAACCACCAACCTTCTGATCGGCAAGCCCTAGGCTCAGTGGTTTAACCCACAGAGCCACCCGCGTCCCACCACAAGCTGTAGTCAAGAACAAACATTGGCTACAGGGAAAAGACTTTAACAGCTGCTTCCTTGAGGTTTGGCTCTCTTTTCTTCCGTCTGCAGTAGTGACAGCAGCGGTCTGGTCCTATAGACCTTCTGCTTGAGACCCTGGCCCCCCTGCTGCTCACCTCCTTTTTTCTTGGGACCATCTATGAGCTTTCCCTCTTGATTTCATTCATCAAGCGACACTGAGGCAAATGCTACATGTGGGTCTGATAGTGGGGCAGTTCAAACTAACAATTCTTGGGATACTCTAAAAGGCGCTATTCCCCTCCTTTGAAGAGCCAGGTGTCCATTACCTTCACCAGCACTGCTTCTGATTTTCTCAAGGGGTTATGAGGATGTTTCCACATGGCCAGTTGTTCTGCTCTGCTAGGGATTTCTTTCTTTGTTTTGCAAGTCACTTTCCATTGGAAATTTTGTAAATAGGTTACAAAACCCCATTTATAAAAAATGTGGTGAATATGCATTTGAGTCTTTTCATGTACCAACAGGGATAAAACAATTACATTTGTATTGCAGAGGGCAGCAGGATCTGTGTTGAACCAGGCCAGGATCTCTAGTGTGTGGTGCCTGCAAAAAATAATCATCACTAGTATATGAAGCTATTCTAAATCCTTGATGTGGATCAAGGCAGGAATATAGCCTGCCTCTTGTATGTCCTTCAGGCTTCACCTCCTACAGATTGTCAAGTTATGTGTTCAGCTGATGGCTCCTTCGTAAAAGGGGAATTTCCCTACGCAACAGTCACAGACTCCTTTCACTTGACTTACCGTTTGATCTTGCTGAAAACAACCTATTGGGGTCAACAGCTCTGTAGAAAGGGAGGTATTTAATTTACGACTAAAATGTGAACTCCCTCAGGGTGGCAGAGGAGGCTGCAGCCTACTCAAATCTATCGTCAGAGCTTTCTTCCTTTGCTTTTAAAGCTATAAACCTATTGGAAACATGTCGTGGGGGTGTCTAATATGCTAATGAACAACGTGGGTGGAAAAGCAGAAACTCTAGTACATCTAAAAATGTAACCCAGAATAAAGTGCAAATGAGTTTATTATAAACTCCTTCAACTTGGTTGGCAGAATTTCAAAAGTGGGTGCATTTACAATATATATTTTTTTCAAAAAAAAAACCACACACACACACACACCAAAAATTCCACTCAGAAATCTAGCTGTGTATAGATAATTATTTGAGAAAACTCAGGTTTGATCCACAACCCTGCAGACATTACCCTCCCTACGCCAGTGCTTTTGCAGATAGCTAAGTCCTAGCAAACTAAGGCACAGGTGCAAGAGGGACTGTAGGGGAAGATGTCCAATTCTAGTATCTTCATGCAGAATCTTCAGGAACCTGCTGTGGAGCTACAAGTCTAGAATGGCCTCTTGTTCCTTTCTTACCGGGACATGGAAAAGATGAAGCACCTTACTGAAACTTTCTCTATTGCCCATATGCCTTTGCCATCCTGGGATGGAGTCACCTCACTGCCTAAACTTATTATTATGAGGTTAAAAAAAATAATAATTCAACAATTCATGGTGGGGATTGTGATTGTGAGGCCATTCACCCACAAACTGCATGGCTCAAATACCTTCAGAGTGCTTTCTAGTTAAATAATAATGTTATGAGTTGTGGGGGGCAAGGGAGTAAGTTGTATGTCGAGACCCTTCTAATTCCTGGATCCAGCAAGTGTTAAAATCTAAGCAAGGCTTATTGAACTAGCCAGACAAGTAATGGTAATGGCCCTCTGAGAATGGGGCAATACGGTTACAAAAGAAGTGCTCCATGCCAGAAAGCAGATGGGTGGGCCTGGGTGGGCCACCCCTCCCTCAACTCGCTGGTAGTGAGTTAGGAAAAGACAAAGGCCAGGGCTGAGGGGTGGGTGGGTGTAAGCTAGAAGTTGGAGGAAGAAGCAGGCTGTCTGCTGTGAAGGAGAGCAATGTCTGGTTTCTGCTCAAATACAAGGCTGTGGCTATGGTGAAGCAAAAGTCTTTTCTGGCTGCCTTTCCTGGGGGAAGAGACATGCACATGGGCATCAGCTTGAGCAAAGTCCAGAAAACCAAAACCCCGAGGCGCTACCACTGCATGGACTCCAGCACCATAAGTTCCTTCCTTGACACCACCAAAAAACTCAGTGGAGTCACCAATCTCCACAAGGGAAAGGGCATCCCAATCGCATAATGTCCCACTGGGACCAAGCTTGGTCTGATGCCCTAATAAAAGTGATGCGTTCGAGTTCTGATTACCACCCAAACCCAATAAAGAGAAAAGACCAAACCTGAATCTTTGCTACGTAAACTGTAACTGTGACATTGAAACCATCTATGAATGTCATCTGTCTGCCTTCCAAACAGGAGTTCACCTCCACCATTAAATCCATTTACATTGTAAAGCAGGCTTCCTCAACCTCGGCCCTCCAGATGTTTTTGGCCTACAACTCCCATGATCCCTAGCTAGCAGGACCAATAGTCAGGGATGATGGGAATTGTAGTCTCAAAGCATCTGGAGGGCCGAGGTGGAGGAAGCCTGTTGTAAAGGGGGGGAAACAAAGTAAAATAGATTTCACAACACATTGGAATGTCAGTACTTGGACCCAATTGTTTCTCTCCTGAATTATCTATTATGTATTTTGTGTTTTTCTCAGCTGAACTGCCCTGAGATCTAGGGATGAGGTGCTAAATAAATAAATAAGGATAGACTCTCATAGATTTGGCATGAACTCTATTCAAAAACCTGGGGATCTAAATACCAGTCCAGATTTCCTGTTCACTGCTGGTTATTCTGGTTATTTGGGAGTATGACAAATAAATGGAAAGGCATGGAAACTTTGGGGAAATATTAATCAGCCCAAATGGGAACTAACCCAAATTCTTAACTGTTCAGGATGCAGCATATTTAGTCCATCCTTGGGCCTACTTTTTGTGTGTGCTTTCCCCGAAATGTTTCTGAAACCAATATTTACCTCTGTACACAAACACATTACTTATTAACATTGCTGAACGAGTGATTGCTTAAAAAGTCAAACATACTCTCTAACGCAGGGGGTTTCCATAAGCCCCAATGTTGATTAGACTTCCCACTCTGGATTTTCAGACACTGGAAGGCCCACTCCTCCAGGAAAATTACAGGGAGTTGCAAAAGAGGAAAAGAAAAGAGAAATAAAAAGGTGAAATATGAAAGTCTACATTTGCTCCATGGTTGTTACCCTCTCTTTGGCGTTAAGCAGGGCTCCTGAGCGAATGGTAAGTGTGCCTCTTCATTTTCTTCCCACAACATTATCATAAACCTGCTTGTTTAGAAGTAGGCCCCACCAATATTTAAAGAACATACTCCTTAGTAAATGTGCTGTAAATGTCCCGAAACCGAAACGTGTTTTGGCACTGGTGTACACTGCATTTAAAATGTGCAACAAAGAACCTTAAGCAGGCTGCCCTGAAACTGGAGGCCAGAGCATAGACTCAAGGAGGACTTTCATAGAATTGTAGAGTTGGGAGGTACCTGAGGGTCATCTAGTCCAACCCCCTGCAGTGCAGGAATGTCATCTAAATTATCCTTTGCACACCTTCCAGTTTGTCACTATCCTTCTTAAATTGTGGTGCCCAGAACTGGACACATTAATCCAGGGGGGGCCTGACCAAGGCAGAAGAGAGCAGGACTATGACTTCCCTTGATGCTATTCTTCATGCAACCTAGAATAATATTAGCTATTTTTTGCCACTGTATCCCCCTGTCGACTCATGTTAAGATTGTGGCCTACGAAGACCCTTATCACTTGTACTACTGGCAAGCAAGGTGCCCCTCATCTTATATCTGTGCAGCTGTTTGTTTGTGCCTAAGTGTATAACATTTGCCCCTATTGAAATTCATTTTGTTAGTTTGGGCTCAGTTCCCCAATCTGTAAATGTCATCTTGAATCCTCGTTCTGTCTTCTCTGGCATTTGCCATCCCTTCTTGTTTGGTGTCATGTGCAAATTATAGGATTATCCCCTCAAATCCTTCATCCACGTCTTTATATGGATGTTGAACAGGGCTCCCAACTGCAAGGCATCCCCAAATGTATTATTAATAAGCCTATTGCAAGGTTTATGTCTGTGAGAAAAAGGCAGAAACTAAAAGCTGCCATAGGTTGCTGCCTCGGTGCCTCAGGTGATTGAGTTGTTTTTAAAAGGCAATCCCTGGCTGCTCTTCTGCCAATAGGGACTTTGTATTGAGAAAATCCTCTATAAAAGCAAACTTATTCTTCATTGTTTTATTTGTAGGGAGGAAGGAACAGTTCTGGTACTGAGCCAGGAGTATCCAAACATGAAGTTCATCACTCCAGAGGTACCTAAGATGCTTTAATGTGCCTCCCCAACAAACTAAGCCTTCCTTCCTTCCTTCCTTCCTTCCTTCCTTCCTTCCTTCCTTCCTTCCTTCCTTCCTTTCTAGCTTGCTTTCACAGCATGTAAAATTGCTCACTGGACGGCATCCAAGATGGATTCGAAGATGTGATTCCAAAGGTTATTTCCATGATCCAGCTGAATTGATATGGCAAACTGGTTGCACCTGAGGCTGGATTCTCAGAGAGAGCCATCCTGCTTAGTTCTCACAATATGAGAAGGGGGTCAGCAACCTTCCCTTCCTCGCCACAAGGTGGCACCCCAAGACCTCGCAGGGCTGGGAGGTGACGTCCACACTCTTCTCCTCTGCAGCACCTCTGGCTGGGCTGAGGAGGTCTTCAATTCACTTGAAGGGCTTGCATCCCTCAGTTCTGCTCCCAGCTCTGGTTCGCCCACATTATTCATGGCTATGGAAATGGATAGTCTCTCTGCTACTAGGAACCTCATGGTGGTGGGCGACATATGCCCAATATACTGCAGTCCCTCCAATATAATGAACTTCCTGCTGTAATTTACTCACTGGAAAAATATTAGGGTTCATAATTTATGCTCTTGGAGGTCGGAGGCAGCATACTTCCGAACACGCATTGCTGGGAACCAAGCCTGTGCAGAGGGGAGGGGGCACCTAGAGGGCTAAGCTGGGGGTGGGAGGTGGAGTGCCAGGGCCCGGCTGCTTTTTTGTTTGAGTTTATACTTTATTCTAACAAGACTCCTTCCCAGGGGCGTAGGAAGGGGAGTGCGGGGGTGCGGTCTGCCCCGGATGTCATCCTTGAGGGGGGTGACAGAATGGCACACTGCAGGGGTCGGCACTTACCGCGGGGCCTGGCCTCCAGCGTGCTCAAGCCACACATCTCTCTTGGGAGTGACCCAATGGCTCGGGGTCCTGCACTGCCCAAAACGGCAGCGTGGGGCTTGCGTCCGACAGGCAGACTCCGTGGGCAGCTCACCGAGCCACCCCCCCCCCATGGCGGATCGCCACACCGTCCCCCAGACGGATCGCCATGCTGACCCTGTGCGGCGCCCACATGCGCGGATTGCCGCAGTGCCCCTGTGGGCAGCTCGCCCTGCCCCTCTGGGTGCCAGAGCAGCTAGCTATGCCCCTGCTCCTTCCCCGGGCCTCAGACAAGCTCCACATGGGCCTGCTGGGAACAGCAGAAGGGGAGAAGGTCCTGTTTGCAGGTTTCCCACAGGCAGCTGGTTGGTCATGGTGATGGACCAGATGGGTCGGAGCCAGGAACATCTTCATATGCACTCCAGCAATGTTTCTTTTATAGCATGCAGGCAGAAAGAAAGAAAGAAAGAAAGAAAGAAAGAAAGAAAGAAAGAAAGAAAGAATAAGGCTTAATGTGCTCTTTTGCATTTTTTTAAAACTGCAGAAAAATGCTTTGATGAAACTCTGCATGAATATTTTGCAACTGGAGAAAGCTGGCCAAGAATCTACCAAGGGATAGTGCAGAAATGCACATGCGTTAACAACCTAATTAACTGCCAATATGCACAGCACACAGGTATTTCTATACAGCTTCTATACTGCATGCTTTATTTTAGTATGTTTGCTAATCCGTTTATATGTAGTCCAGTGAAATGATAAAAAAAATAAAATGATTGAGACACAGAAGTTGAATTGCATTAAATAATGCAAAGAGTAGTGAAGAAGTCATACTCTCAGCCTTAAATCACTTACAGCAATTAAAAGGTATGCATCTTAAAATGTAATCTGTGAAGTGGCTGCACAGATCATGGGCACCACTTCTGAATAGTTGATAGTCCTGCCTTCACAAATGAATTTCTCAAGGCACAATCATTTTTTGCACCCCCTGCCTCTGCCCTGCTCCATACACGGGAATCCCATGGTGCTGCCTCCATTAGCAGCCTCCCTATGTTTGAAGAGCTGCCCACTTGGGAAGGTGGCATCCACCCAATGGGCAGGAGGAGGTGCTGGGTGGGGCCCTTTGCTTCTTTGCCCTCTCCTGGGTTTATATTTCCTCACCCGGCTCCCCAACCAAGCCACAGTCACTTTAAAAAGGCTGCAGGGGGAAGTGGTCCTTTCTCCCTCTTGGCAAAGTGGGGAAGGATCATTAGTGCTATGGAGAGGGGGAAGAAGGAGGAGAGGCTTTAAAGCCGTTCTGAACTGCAGCACCAGCTTCCTTGCCTGCAAGAAGGGATCGACAACCAGAAATGCTGTGCACTTTCTCCTCTCTTTTCAAAAAAATTAGGAAATAGCATGTCCTGCTGATTGCCTCTGTGAAGTGGCTGTTTCAGTCACTTTAGGACAGACACTCTGCAATGTGCGTGTGTTGGGGGGGGCAATGGCGCTGCAGGGAAGGCGGGGGGCGGTGCGCCCTGGGTGCCATGTCTGGAGGGGTGACAAGAAGGCACCCCGTGTGGTGCTCGCCCCACCACCCCTGGGCGTGGCGGCGTGAGTAGCCATCGTGGCACCGCAGATGCATGTGGAGGATCCTCCGTTCACAGCTGCAGCTGCAAGCAGAGGATCTCGCCACAGTCCGTACAGTGTTTGAGCGGCGCCAGCAGCAAACCGCTACGTACAACGCATGCACGGTGTCTCACACATGCGCTGTACGTAGCAACGCCGCACATGCGCTGTACATAGCAGTTTGCCACCGGCGCCGCCCAAGCGCCCTGCGGATGGCGGTGGGAGCCCTCCGTCGCCGTTACAGCCACAATTGGAGGATTGGCCCACTAACACTGCAGCCGTGAGCAGAGGATCCCGCCACTGTCCGTACGATGTTCAGGTGGCGCCGGCAGCAAACCGCTATGTACAACACATGTGCGGTGTCGCACGCATGCATTGTACGTAGCGACGCCGCACATGCGCCCTACGTAGCAACGCCATGCATGCATCGTATGTGGTGACACCACACATGCATCATACGCAGTGGCGCAACGCGTGTGCAGCCAGCGGTTTTCCCCGCCCCGGGTGTTGGTTAGCCTTCATTCACCCCTAGGGGGGAGAGGAGACTAAATAGTGCAGCGGAATTGTGTGTCTGAAATAGGGGTTGTGGGTTGCTGCCGCTGCTGCTGCTGCTGCTGCCTATAAGCAGTGTGTGCATGTGTATGCATATGCGTACAGAGCTTTGTGTGTGCCCACATGGAGGCCACTGCTGCTTTCTGGCTGGTGGTGTGGAAAATAGGGTGAGGGGTGGGAAAGGCCTACGTGAATCACACTGAGCTCCTTGGGAGGAAAAGCAAGCTTATAAACGTGAATATTAAATTAAAATGGGGTGAGCGGAGTAGGAGAGGGGAAAAAATATTTTGTTAAAGTCATCCTGTGTATACACACACACACACACAGAGAGAGAGAGAGAGAGAGAGAGAGAGAGAGAGAGTGGTACCTCGGTTTACGGACTTAATCCGTTCTGGAAGTCTGTTCTTAAATCAAAGCCATTCTTAAACCAAGGCGCACTTTCCCTAATGAGGCCTCCCGTCGCCGGTGCCCTTCCATCATTCAGCTTCTGTTTGTAGACCAAGGTAAAGTTTGCAAACCGGGACACTACTTCCGGTTTTGCTGAATTCGTATACCAAATAATTCATAAACAGGGCTGCTCTTCAACCGAGGTACCACTGTATTGTTTTGGTGTGTTCATGGTCAATCATGGTACAGTCACTGAAAGTACCAGAGTTTCCTCCTCCCTCAGACTCTTATACTGTACCTGAGTCTTTTGGATTTTTAAAGTATTTTCCAGGAAGGACATTATTCTATTCCAGTTAGAATTCAACTGACATTATATATCTCAATCTCTATATGTATTCTATGAGACTCTGGGGATAATATGGGGTTGGTCCAGTTTTAATTCACCTTTGGATTTTCCTACTAGTAATGTGCACCTCAGCATTTACCACAAAAACACTTTAGGCCGTTTCTGTGGGTATTGTGTGCATGTTAAGGCTTACCTTCCAGGCAGAGGTTCACATGTTAATGCACTGTGTTGTTACGGAAATTACGGGGGGGGGGGCACATCTTTAAAGTTAAATATTACAAATATTATGCCTGAATATATCCTTCCAACTTGACAGCTCAGGGAAGTCACCTAACTTTAAAAATAATATAAAATCATCTCCTTTCCCAGTTCCCCCCATTCCAAAGCTATTTTCCCCTTGAAAAAGGACTCCAGGAAGTTCTCAGAGGTGAAAATTGCTGGGCTCATTGTTGGCCAAAGGAAGCCAAATCTCATCACCTGACTCGCCTCAGGCTCCAGACATGCAAAGGAACTTCTATTGTACTTTTGGGTGGTGGGAACTTAAGACATATTTGTCTATGCTAATCTTATACCTGAGTCTTGCTCTCCCATGTCTGCTTATGCTAATCTTGTACCAAGGACTTGTCTGGACATGTTTGCCAAGGTTAACCCCTCCCCTTCGAACTGTATTTTGGGATGTGGTGGGAAAGTTTTAAAAGTCTTTGTCACCCCATCCTCGGGGTTCAAAATTTGCTCTTTGAACCTATTGCGCAATAAACTTTGGTCTACAGCTATTTGCTCCGGTTGGCTGGACTCCTTCCTTTATTCCGCAGGGACCCGCGGGCTCTGCCCGACGAGCTGGGTGACTGAGCAGCCTCACACCCAGATTTTTCCTTAACAGCGTCCTAGCATCCCTTTTCTTGCTCTGGAGCTTTAAAACCCGCTCTTTAAAGGTTAAATGTCAGTTCAGGTTTTCCATGGATTGACATTTGCCCCAACTGAACTTTAAAGAGCGAAAAGAGAGAGTCCGCTCAGACACAGAACTTTAAATTGCATCCACGCTCAGAAAGCGCAGAGGAAAGGTAAGTGTGGACAAACCTTCAACTGGAGCAAACATCAATGTGCGGAAAACCTGAATTGACATTTACTCCGATTCAGCTTTAAAGAGCGAGTTTTTGTGGGGGAAACTGGGGTGGGGGGTAGGAAATGCTTGGACACGGAGCGTTAAAGTGCAGGCTTCTGCCCGGACAGAGCAGGGCAAAAGGTCAGTGTGGATAAGTCCTCTGCTTCACCTTGCAGGCTGCACCGTCAATCCATGCCCCCATGGCAGTACTTGCAAGAAGATTGTCTTCACTAACGAAACAGTCTGTGACTGCAAAACACCCTGGGCAGGAAAACACTGCAATGTTGGTGAGTTGTATTCAACTTTCACTCAGTTTGGATCTTTGACTTATTTCCTTCCACAGAATTTAGGCCTCATTCACCGAGGCTTATGCTATATCCAGGACCCTTCTATGAGGTATTCATAAATTTTGTTTTGGAATTTGATAAACAGCTCCCTGCTCCTTAATGCTTGATTCCCAGAGTTGAATGGACTAGATTTAAAATTATTGGAACTCTGGACTCTTGCTGCCCTTTCTTGTGGCACAGCTTGTCTGTCAATATGGACATTTTATTTACTCATGTTTATTTTTAGGCTGCTTTACAGGAGCCTTTATCTGCTCTGACTTCTCAACAATATAGTATTTAAAACCTACCAAGCAGGGCCACTGATGCCAATCTTAAGGCATAGTCAAGTCCATATAGAAGTAATCAGCCCTTTAACTAACCTGACTCTAAACCATTTAGGGTTTTAGAAGCCAAAACCAGGACTTTGAATTGGGCCCAGGAGCATCCTGACAACCTGTGCAACTGGTATAGAGTTTATGTCATATGCTTTGACTAACCTGGCAAGCACCTTGAGCAGCTGGATTCTGTACCAGTTAAAGTTCCCAAGTTGTGTTCAAAGGCAGCCCTATGTAGTCTGTCCCAATGCATGCATGCCTACGGCAAGGTCTACCTTTTCTAGTGTTAGGAGAGCTTGCAGCTCAAGTGAATGAGATTGAAATTATCACTTATGTTTTTGGAGTTCAAAGGCTTTATTCATGCAGGAACAGATTTATCTTGAAAGGAACTACTTACAAAATCAGAGTTGAAAGAGAGAGAGATAGCAGACTTTTTGTCTCAAGCTGGGAGAGAAAAAACAAAATGGTTAAGCTTTTTTTTTTTATAAGATATTTATTAAGATTTTTTAAAATATTACAATAAAAATGAAAAAAAATGACAAAAATACAAAATAAAAATAGTTAAAAACACACAGATTTTCCATTACTTATTTTCCTTTGACTTATTTCCCGGACCTCCTCATACCTCCCTTTTTGTATTCCACTTCAATCTATTGGTTCAGCAAATCCTTTAACAGTAATAATATTAAATTTTACCTATTTATAACCCATTTTTTCATATTCTCTTAAAGCATTACAGCTGGAAACCACTTAATTACTATCCAACATCATTCTAACAGTCATTACTTTTACAATATTTCTGTAGATAATCTTTGAATTTCTTCCAATCTTCTTTCACCGACTCTTCTCCCTGGTCTCGGATTCTGCCAGTCATTTCTGCCAGTTCCATATAGTCCATCACCTTCATCTGCCATTCTTCCAGAGTGGGTAGATCTTGTGTCTTCCAATACTTTGCAATGAGTATTCTTGCTGCTGTTGTGGCATACAGAAAAAAAGTTCTGTCCTTCTTTGGCATCAATTGGCCGACTATGCCTAGGAGAAAGGCCTCTGGTTTCTTCAAGAAGGTATGTTTAAATACCTTTTTCAGTTCATTATATATCATTTCCCAGAAGGCCTTAATCCTTGGGCACGTCCACCAAAGGTGAAAGAATGTACCTTCAGTTTCTTTACATTTCCAGCATTTATTGTCGGGCAAATGATAGATTTTTGCAAGCTTGACTGGGGTCATGTACCACCTGTATATCATTTTCATAATATTCTCTCTTAGGACATTACATGCCGTAAACTTCATACCTGTGGTCCATAACTGTTCCCAGTCAGCAAACATAATATTATGTCCAACATCTTTTTTTTTTTTTTAAATAATTTTTATTAAGGTTTTAGACAATAAAAAAGAGGGGGGGAAAACATACACAATACATATAACAACAACACACACAAAAAGCAACACAAAATTCAACCATAAAGAAAACAAAAAAACCATAACAATTAAAAACAATATCTCTTTTCCATTTCCATTTTTAAATTACTTACTTTCTGGACTTCCTCATACCTCCCTCTTTTGTATTCCAATCCAAATTATTTGTCCAGCAGTTTCTTTTCCACTTTTTTAATCCCAAACTTTAATTTAATAAAATATTAAAATATATGACTTCAATTTCTTTAAACCTAATCCTTGGTCTTAGTATCATATAACATTAAAATTTTCCCTCTTAATATCAAATTTCCATTTCTTTAAACATCTTTAATCTTAATCTTTAATCTTAGTCTATCATTAACTTTAACCTGTACAGCTGGAAACCACTTATTTTCAATCCAACATCACTCTAACATTCTTTAATTTTGCAGTGTTTCTGAAGATAGTCTTTGAATTTCTTCCAATCTTCCTCCATCGACTCTTCTCCCTGGTCACGGATTCTGCCAGTCATTTCCGCCAATTCCATATAGTCCATAAGTTTCATCTGCCATTCCTCCAGCGTGGGAAGTTCTTGTGTCTTCCAATACTTTGCGATGAGTATTCTTGCTGCTGTTGTTGCATACATAAAGAAAGTTCTATCCTTTTTTATCACCATTTGGCCGACCATGCCCAGGAGAAAGGCCTCTGGTTTCTTAGGAAAGGTATACTTAAATACCTTTTTAGTTCATTATATATCATTTCCCAGAAAGCCTTAATCTTTGGGCACGTCCACCAAAGGTGGAAAAATGTACCTTCAGTTTCTTTACATTTCCAACATTTGTTATCGGGCAAATGATAGATTTTCGCAAGCTTGACTGGGGTTATGTACCACCTGTATATCATTTTCATAATATTCTCTCTTAAGGCATTACATGCCGTAAATTTCATACCTGTGGTCCATAACTGTTCCCAGTCAGCAAACATAATATTATGTCCAACGTCCTGTGCCCATTTAATCATAGCCGATTTTACCGTTTCATCCTGAGTATTCCATTTCAGCAGCAAGTTATACATTCTTGACAAATTCTTAGTTTTGGGTTCTAACAATTCTGTTTCCAATTTGGATCTTTCCACCTGGAAGCCAATTTTCCTGTCCAATTTAAATGCCTCCATTATCTGATAATAATGAAGCCAGTCTCGCACTTTGTCTTTTAGTTATTATGTCCAACATCTTGTGCCCATTTAATCATAGCAGATTTCACCGTTTCATCCTGAGTATTCCATTTCAACAGCAAGTTATACATTCTTGACAAATTCTTAGTTTTGGGTTCTAACAGTTCTGTTTCTAATTTTGATTTTTCCACCTGGAAGCCAATTTTCTTGTCCAAATTATATGCCTCCATTATCTGATAATAATGAAACCAGTCTCGCACTTTATTTTTTAGTTTCTCAAAACTCTGCAGTTTCAGTCTATCTCCATCTTGTTCCAAATTTCCCAATATTTCGGCCAATTGGCCTCCATATTGAGCCTTTTCAGAGCTTTCGCTTCCATCGGTGACAGCCACCTTGGGGTTTTGTTTTCCAACAAATCCTTGTATCTTATCCAAACATTAAACAGTGCTTTCCTGACAATATGGTTTTTAAATGCTTTATGCGCTTTGACCTTGTCATACCACAGATATGCATGCCATCCAAATACATTGTTAAAACCTTCTAAGTCCAAAATGTCTGTGTTTTCAAGAAGTAGCCATTCTTTCAACCAGCAAAAAGCTGCTGATTCATAGTAAAGTTTAAAGTCTGGCAGGGCAACTCCACCCCTTTCCTTTGCATCAGTTAATATCTTAAATTTTATTCTGGGCTTCTTGCCCTGCCAGACAAATCTAGAAATATCTCTCTGCCACTTCTTGAAACAGTCCATCTTGTTCACAATTTGCAATGTTTGAAACAAAAACAGCATTCTAGGCAATACATTCATTTTTATCACAGCAATACAACCCAACAGTGAAAGCTTCAAATTTGACCAGATTTCTAAATCTTTTTTCACTTCTGTCCAACATTTTTCATAATTATCTTTAAATAAGTTCCCATTTTTGGCTGTCATGTTAATCCCCAGGTGTTTCACTTTCTTAACCACAGTCAGGCCTGTCTCATTCTGAAACCTCTCTCTTTCAATCAGTGTTAAATTTTTCTCTAAAACCTTAGTTTTTAACTTGTTCAGTTTAAATCCTGCCAGTTGACCAAATTCTTGAATTAGTTCTAAAACCCTTTTAGTACTAGATTCTGGCTCCTGTAACGTCAGTACTAAGTCATCTGCAAATGCTCTCAGTTTGTACTGTTTGGCTCCGACCTGTATACCTTTAACCAACCGGTCCCTTCTGATCATATTCAGCAGAACCTCCAGGACCGATATAAAAAGCAGTGGGGAGATTGGGCCAAAATGGTTAAGCTTTTAGGGGGCAGACTTAACTTGGACAGATAGGCTACAAGGAAAGGCTGGCTAGATTACTAGACAAACACTCTAGCGGATGGCAGGAGGTGGGGTGGGGACAGGGTGTGGGGTGGCGTGGGTAGCAGCCATGCCTTCCCCACTCCTCATAGGGTTGACTTCCAGAACTATCCCATATGTCCAACCTAGTCAGATGGTCTAGAAACTGGATTAGGTTGGATTCAAATCACCCCTCTTTGCCACCAAGCCAACAACTTCATGCTTTTTCTACAGTCTGGTGGACAAAATAGCAACTGATTAGGCTGGGCAAGGAGTCTAGCTAGATAACCAGATATTTGCTTCTTACAATGACCACTTTACTCTTCATTCACTGTGTTGGGCCATCACATTTAACTTGCTTTTTCAGCACCTTCGCTGACACAGTTGCTCTCCCTTTGGCTATCATCTAAACCCCTGCTGTAAAGAGGGCCAAAAAAACAGAGGAAAACCCACTACCACCACGGCCCAAGCTGCCCTGAAGTCCTTGTAGTTTCATTGTCATATTCCCTGTTCATCCACAAAAGACAAAAGATCATTAAAAAAAATTAAATATTGTGCAGATGATGTGAAACTTTACAGATAAGAAACTGCAGCTCTTATTGTTTACCACTAGGTGGCAAAATCCAGCAGAATTTAATGCTTTAAAAGGGAGAAAAGTAGTAAGACAGCTGCAAGAACAGAGATACATTTTTAGGCAAACATGGTGAAATAAAACTGCTGAATTCTCAGAGTTTGCTAAATACTCAACAAAGCAACAGAACTACACCATGCTTGCCATTCATAGTTCTTCAGACATATTGCCAAAGAAGAGAGTAGGTCATAGGTTTCAGCTGGGGCTGATAACATCGGCATCACCTTTCCTTGGGCAGTCAGGTGTGCTTATAGTGAGAACAGGATCCATTCTATCCAAGCTGTGTACTGTACACAAGTGGCCCTGCCCTGGGAAATGTAGCTTCACCAAGGGCTGCTGCAATGTGAAGGCAATGATGTTCTCTCCCAGTGGCCTACAGCCAGGTCCACCATCAACAGTGGTTGGCCCAGAAAATAGAGTTGAAAGGAGAAGATGGCTGGAGAAATCAGGGTGTGGTGAAGAGGGGGTGGGTGGAACTAGGGTCACATTGAGATGGGGGGGTAGGACAAATTTGGATCACCTCAATATTCTGAAATGTTTCCCAGTTTTTCTGGAAGCAGCTTGGGTCATTTCCAACACAAGCTTGCCTTATCACTCAGTGGTGCAGCATGGGAGGTCAGAGGAGCTGTTGCCCTGGGCACAAAGTGGGGGGGGGGATTCCAAAAGAAAAACAAACCACTCTGAGGGTTTGGTTTTTTTAAAAAAACCAATCAAGTGATGTAAAAATGTTAAAATATAACAACAACAACAACAACAACAACAATAATAATGGCTGCAGCCACTGTCTCCTCCCCTCCTCCTCCTTTCCAGTGTGGTGTAGTGGTTAAGAGCGGTAGTCTCGTAATCTGGTGAACCGGGTTCGCGTCTCCGCTCCTCCACTTGCAGCTGCTGGGTGACCTTGGGCCAGTCACACTTCTTTGAAGTCTCTCAGCCCCACTCACCTCACAGAGTGTTTGTTGTGGGGGAGGAAAGGAAAGGAGAAGGTTAGCTGCTTTGAGACTCCTTCGGGTAGTGATAAAGCGGGATATCAAATCCAAACTCCTCCTCCTCCTCCTCCTCCTCCTCCTCTTCTTCTTCTTCTTCTTTCCTTGCTGGGAAGATACTTCTCCACCACCACCACTGCCTCCATCCAGCCCTGACAGGAACCACAGGTTAGAGGGCGCAATAATTGCCTTTCCTTGGGTACTGGCAAACCGCGCTATGCCACTGTTATCACTAACAGAATAATGTGTAGACCAACTGCCCATATGGACCAAGAGAGAACCAGTGGCTGGAGTGTTGGGCTAGGAAGTGGGAGACCAAGGTTAAAATAGCCCTAAAGCGCACTGCCGACCTTGAGCCAGTCACTACCTCCCAGCCTGACTTACCTTACAGGACTGTTGTCATGACAAAATGCAGAGAGAGAGCTCACTGCACGCCACCTGGAGCTCCTTGGAAGAATGGCAGGATATAAAAGTAGTACACAAACACGTGTGTGTGTAAATAATAAGTGGATAGGTAAAAGGTAAATAGGCAATGCTTTTTTTCTTAAAAAAATGTTTAGGGGTACTCTCATTTTCCTACTCATATTGAAATACTGCCCCTCAATGAGTTCAAACATAGATTCACAAAATGTTTAGGGGTATGCGTACCCCTGCGTCCTCCCAGAAAAAAAGCACTGTAAATAGGTAAAGGACCCCTAGATATAGTCAATGGCGACTATGGGGTGTGGCACACATCTTGTTTTTCAGGCCAAGGAAGCCAGCATTTTTCCACAGACATGTGGCTGTGGAAAGGGTCATGTGGCCAGCATGACTAAACTGCTTCTGGCGCAACGGAACACCGTGACAGAAACCAGAGCGCACAGAAACACGGTTTACCTTCTCGCCACAGCGGTACCTATTTATCTACTTGCACTGGTGTGCTTTCGAACTGCTAGGTTGGCAGAAGCTGGGACTGAGCAACGGGAGCTCACCCCATTGTGGGGATTGGAATTGCCGACCTCCCGATCGGCAAGCCCAAGAGGCTCAGTGGTTTAGACCACAGCGCCACCCTCTCCCTCACAGAAATAAGTGGATAATGTTATGCTAGCAGATGTTTACTTAAGACTTCTGTATGTTTATCCAGGTCCTAGCCAACGTTGCTATTCTGGTAATGGGACAGACTACAGGGGCATTGAGAAAAAGACAATTTCTGGAGATAATTGTCTGCCATGGAATTCAGATCTCCTTTACCAAGAGCTTCATGCTGACATAGTTGAAAACCCCGTGCAACTGGGACTGGGACCACATTCATACTGCCGGTAAGAAAATTAGCTGGTAGATAGAGGAAAATACAAGTAAAAATAGAGACATTTGTGGGTTACACCCTGGTTCTCACCCCAGTGACTCTCTGATTGCACACATATATGCACATGCACACATGTTCTTCTCTACTTTGATAGATGTGCGGTATTGTGTGTTAGCAAAGCCACTGGAATGATGCAGACAGAAACCAGAGAGAAAATTGGGTTTAGAACTGAAGGTATATGAAGAAAACCCAAACTTGCATAAGAGGAAAAAATGGTGGGGTTAGTGACAAAAGCAATGTTCACCAAACATTAAGGGGCAAATGTTTTTCCTTCCCCACTGCGTTAGAAACCCAGATGAAGACAAGGAGCCATGGTGCTACACAGTCAAAGAAAACTCAGTATCTTGGGAATACTGCAATGTTACTTTATGTCGTAAGTAACATTTCGCATCCATGGGGCTTTTTGAAGTTAGCATAAGCAAAGGAAGAAGTGAAATTAGTAAATGTAAGGGAGGAACAAGTCTCTTTCCCCTTCCATATACAGGTCACGTGCCATTTCTTATGTTTAAGGTCAGAATGTTCTGGAGCAGATAACAGCCGGTACAACAGCTCCCTAGATAGTCCTGTCTGTCTCCCCCAGCCCAGCCCAGTATATGCCTCCCCTTCCTCTCCAGACCAAGTTCTGCTGCTGTGCTGTAAAGATGAATCCTTAAAGACTTCTGTGCTCACCGTGTCAGTTCTCATGCAAGGCTGACTTGGGGCATTCAGCCTGCCCAAGTTCTGCTCCAGGGGAAGGACTGAGAGACGAAGAGATGGATTTGTATGAGGTTGTGTGCGCATGATATGGCTCTGAAGGACTGGGGTGCATCTGGCTGATAAGTGCTTGAGTTTGAGACCCTACTCACTAGTATGAATAAAATGGCCCAATCCAACCCAAGTCCAGCAACAAAGGAACATAGCACTACAGGGAAGGGAAGCACAATGCTAACATCAAAGGCTGAACTAGGAATGACATAAGCAGGGTGATTCTACCCCTCCTATGCAGTTTCGGACTCTGATGTTAGTGGGATGGCAGCAGGTTGAGCAGCAAGCAGGAAACGCCCAGAATGAGAAGATGCAGCCTAAACTAAGCTGCTCCACTTCTGCTACGCCACTCTGAAGACGCCATAATCAGAAAAGAGCCCTTTGCCCTGTAATCATATTCCGTAGCTATTTAAAGTAAATAGTAAAGATTCAGTAGTAAAAATGGGTAAAAGATTAAATATGTCTGTTCTTCACTCAGCGACCAGAAGAAGGCGGCCGCCACCCCCACCCCCACCCCCGGAAACTTTTGATGACTTTGCCGTGGTCCAGAGTTTATGTGGGAGAAGACATAAGAAGCGAAACTTCTTAAGACCCAGAATTATAGGAGGATCTTCTTCCTTGCCAGGATCACATCCCTGGCTGGCCAGCATATATATTGGGAGAAATTTCTGTGCTGGAAGCCTTCTTCGTTCTTGTTGGGTGGTGACAGCTGCACATTGTTTTGCTGATAGGTAGAGCCTATGCTTTGATTTCATCTGAAATTCACTGCACGTGCCTCAAACTGCTTTTAAATCAAACAAAATGTTTCATGTGAGACCCCTGAGCGAAGATGGAATGAAGTTTGAGGCAAGAATCCCTAATGCTCAGAACCTCTAGAAGCAAGCAGGCCCTGGGCCCTGGGAAGCAATAAGACAAAGATAAGGCTTCTTAGCATGTGCTCTAGCCTGCAGGTATCACAAAGACTGTAAAGGAATTGTGTTTTATATAATGGGACTCTCAGAACTTTTTATATTTTGAAACAGTATTTAGCAGTTTGGAACAGCAAGCATAAATAAAAAGCAATTCCCAGAAGGTGCAGCTGATGTTGTATTAAAGAAGCAATGCCAGGAATATAGTGAAACCCAACTCCCATCTATCAGAGCGGGGGGAACTGAAACTGGCTGGCAGCTGGATCCTTATTTTCCCCACCCTCTGTGGCAAGGTTTGACCACAAGTATGGTGTGCATCACTTTGGAGTCCCAACAAACTGCTGATTGCCAGGACTTTAAAGCTCCTTTCACAGCTCTCTGCTGATCATCAGGGGACCAGCTGATTGCCAGTACTTGCAGAGATGTGTGTGCATTGCTTTGAAACTCTGATGCTTCAAAGTGCCACACGCAACTCTCTGTAAGCACCAATGATCTCCTGAACAATGGGGTTTCCAAACAGCAATGTTGGGCACTATGCACAGGGCTTTACGGATGCAACCCCACTTTTGACCCAGTCATGTCTTTATCTGCTGCATACCTGACATTACATATTCTACAGTTTAAATCTAGAATCATAGAATTGTAAAGTTGGAAGGGAGCCCAAAGGTCATGTAGTCCAACACCCTACAATGCAGGAACCTCCGCTAAAGCATTCATGGCAGATGGTCATCCAACCTCTGCTTAAAGGAGAGTCCACCACCATCTGACGAAGTCTGTTCCACTGTCGAACAGCTCTTACCATCAGAAAGTTTTTTCTGATGTTTAATCGGCATCTCCTTTCTTGTAACGTGAAGCCATTGGCTTGGATCTTACCATTTGGAGCAGAAGAAAACAAGCTTGCTCCATCTTTCATGTGACAGCCCTTGAGACATTTGAAGATGGCTCAGATATCTCCTCTTAGTCTCATCTTTCCCAGACTAAACGTACCCAACTCAACCACTCCTCATAAGCCTTGGTTTCCAGACCCTTTATCTTCATGGTCACCCTACTCTGCATACAATCCTGCTTGTCAATATCCTTCTTAAATTGTGGTGCCTAGAACTGGACACAGTACTCCAGGTGTGGTCTGACCAAGGCAGAATAGAGCTGGACTATTACTTCCGTGGATTCTATACTTCTGTTGATGCAGCCTAGTATAGAATTAGCTTTTTTGCTGCTGCATCACATTGTTGACTCATGTTAAGCTTGCAGCCTGCTAAGATCCCTAGACACTTTTCACATGTACTACTGGCAAGCCAGGTGTCCCCCACCTTATATTTGTGCAGCTGGTTTTTCATGCCTCGTTCTCCAATCTGTCAAGGTCATATTGAATCCCCATTGTGTCTTCTGCAGCATTAGCTGTCTCTCCCAGTTTGGTGTCATAGAATTGTAGAGTTGGAAGGGACCCTGAGGATCATCAGCAAACTGGATGAGCACCACCTCAAGTCCTTCACCCAAGTCTTTACGAAGACGCTGAACAACAATGGGCCCAGGACAAAACCCTGCAGCACCCCCACTTGTCACTTTTCCTCAATATGTTGAGGAAACATTTGTAAACACTCTTTGGGTTTGGCCAGTCAACCAGCTACAAATCTATCTAACAATTGCCTCATCCGGCCCACATTTCACCAGCTTCTCCACCAGAATATTATGGGGGACTTGAAATCAAAAAATGCTATGTCTACACCATTGCCCTGATCCACCAATCCTGCAACTCTATCAAAAAAAGAAATGAGATTGTTTCTTAGTAATCACAGCATCCTTTTCTAAGTGCCCTCAGACTGACCATTTATCCAGGACCTTTTCTGGTATCAGTGTCAAGCTTTTTTAAAAAAAAAATATATATATATATATTTATTGCTTTTAAACCTTACAAAAGGAAGAAAAGAAAAGAAGAAGAAAAGCAAAAGAGAAAACAATACAATACAATATATAAACAATACAGAACACAACATTAACATTAACACATTAAACAAAACAAAAGCAAAAACAATTCAAAAAACACACATCATACCATCTCAATATCCTCTCTTTCATTCCCTTGTTTCATCGACCTCCTCTCACCTCCCTTTTTGTATTCCATTTCTATTAATTGTTTCAGCAAATCCTTTCCATCTTTCTCTATTTTCTGTCATGTAATTATCTTAACATATTTTAACCTTATTTTCCATTAATACTATAATACTTATTTATGCTTAATTCCTTAAAACATTTCTACTAAAGCCGTATAATTCCCTTCCAACATTTTTCTAACACTCATTAATTTTACATTATTTCCATATATAGATTTTAATCTTTTTCCAATATTCTTCCACCGTCTCTTCTCCCTGGTCTCGGGTTCTGCCAGTCATTTCCATCAATTCCATATAGCCCATCAACCTGGTGATCTTCTGTCCGAGGCTCTTAACTCTTTTCCAGGTCCCTTCTGCACTCCTGATCTTGTTCTTATTTTCCTTCCTTTGATGCTGAAAAGTAGATCTCTGGGAAATTCCCATCTAGCAATGTTTTTATTCCTTCTCGACAAGTCTTTTCTGGTATCAGTGTCAAGCTGACTAGTTGGTATTTATTCACCTTTGCCTGCTGCCACTCGGCAGGAACCTAATCTGTTCTCCAATATTTCTTAAAGATTATAGACAGAAATTCTTAGATTACATCTGCAAGCTCCTTTAGTACCCCTGAGTGTAGTGCACCATGCCCTGGAGAGTTCTACATTTCAAGTAGTTAGGTGTTCTTTTCCTATCTGGGCTGCATCTCCCTCCTTGCAACATGTATTCTGTTGAGCACTGCTTTCTTTTGGGTTAAGACAGAGGCAAAGAAGGTGCTGAGCAGTTCCACATTCTCTTTGTCATCCTATAGCATGTCTCTGTCTTCTCCATGCAGAGGAAGTACTACTTGCTTGTTCTTCCTGTTGATTCAGACATAGCCAAAGCACCTTTCTTGCAACGGTTGGCTTCCACGGTGAGGTGCAACCCATCTCTTGCCAGAAGTCCTTCCTCAAGGAAGCGGAGACCATGGTCCAAGAAGCGAAATCCTTATTGACAACACCAACTGCACAGTCAGTGGTTTACTTCTAGGATTTTCCTCTCTCTTCCTGGGTCACATCCTTCAACAGGAAGCGGTGGTGAAAAAGGCACCTTTGCCCCAAGGCCCTTCAGCTTCCTGCCCAGAGTCTTACTATAAGTTAAAGACTGTGGCTGGCAATCTCATTTGCATCCACATGAATCAGAAGGAATCAGTGTGGCACATCCTCACTAGTTCAGCAGCCCAATGGCAGAACTAAATCCACAGGATGGAAGCAAAGGTTATGTCAAACCAAGGTCACTTCCAGGTAACCCATTTACTGAGCATTCCTCCCAGTTTGTTTGTGGAGAGGTGATACAACATTGTCTTAAGCAGTTGCTATTCTGAATTTCCCCCTTCATTTTCCTTACAACAAAATGTTTTTTGGAAGCAAGTTTCTTGTGTTACCAAATGTTACTCTTCATTTGGCGAGAATGGCTGTCGTGCCCATATCTGCTATTCCTTCTGCTGCTGCTGGGCTACTGCCTAAGTTTCAGTTGGCTTATAGCATCACGACTGCAACTCACAACGTTGCATTGGCACCCTGACACCCCAATCAAAATGTTATTTGCTGGGTCAGCCAATTTAAATATTATAATACAATAATATTCTGTTCCTTACCTATAGGAAGGAAGGACGTGTATTTGTTAAGGTCATAACAAAATCATTCAAATATACAGATAAATAAGAATAAAATATTTAAAATGCATCATGTAGCTTAATACCCTCATTCTCTTCATCATTTTCTTTCCTCTTTTCTTCAGTCCGCTGAAGTCAACAATTCGAATTGTTTTGGGACAACATTTTTTTAATATGACAACAGCTGTTACTCAAGAATTTGATGTGGAGAAGTACTTCATGCACCCTGACTTCACAGTATACAACCCAACTGAAAATGATATAGGTGAGCCTTTTTCTTCTTTCTGGTTTAGTTTTAAGTGTGTGGACTGAGGTGCAGCCAAGTGGGCAGTGATATTGCCATCCCTTCCACCCATCAGACACCGGAAGTGTAGCTCTGGCTCCCTGTGCCTGGCCAGACTGAACTGCAGACGTCGTCCTCAATAGGGCAATCCACTCTAAAGTTTGGGAAGATCAAAATAGATCTGCTCTCCTTGCTGCAGAAAGCTTTTGATAAAAACCAGAACTTTATGATTCCACCCATTCCTAGTGGCAAAGTGCTTTTTTGAACAAAGGTGAGAGGCCAAAAAAAAGTAGTACCTGAAATCTCAGCTCTTCACTTGCAGGGCTGGGTCATCCATGTGTGGTCATTGCTTGATGATTTCAAAATCAAGTGAACCAGTCCACAGTCACTTTCTGTGATTTTTTAAAAAAAGTTATTTTCTCTTGCAGTTTTGGTTAAGTTGAAGAAGGTGAATCAACGCTGTGCAGTGAAGTCCCAGTTTGTTCGACCAATCTGCCTGCCGGAAAAGGGAATGCCCTTTCCAGATAACCAGAAATGCCAAATTGCAGGATGGGGACACTTACATGAAAGTAAGTTAGAATATTGCTTTTATGTGTGCTACTGATACTGACCAGAGACATAACCAGATGTTCTAAGTAGGCAAGACTTAGAACTATGATCACTTTAGTCTTCATGCAGATGATTTGTCAATTGAATCACTTCTTTGGCCAATCCAAGAACACATATTAATTATTTTATTGACAGCATGATTTAGCTGTTTTGCTGAAATGTCCTTTGACTTTTGCCGCAGAATTCTAGCACAGTGCAGCATAAAGTATGGCACGTGCTTGCTAGACATTGCATCCAGTTTTAAAATGTAGTTTCTCTTTTGTAATAGCCACTAAATCCTCAGAGGCTGAAATGCGCAGGGACTTTTCTTTCCTACACCTGGTCCTGCACAGCGGCCCTTTGCCTTTCTGCCTACTACATGATCCAGGGGATATGGAGAGAAAAGAGAATTGGAGCCCTCGGAATAACTATAGGAAAGAAATAAGTGCTGGAGAGGAAAATTAGGGGCCAGAAAGAAATGGTTATGTGATCAAAGGCAATGCCAGTCAACCATGACTGTGAATGGGATTATACAGGAATAATAATAATAATAATAATAATAATAATAATTTATATGCCACCCTTCTGACTGTCACTTCAGGAGTACAGTACAGTGGTACCTCGGGTTATAGATGCTTCGGGTTACAGACACTTCAGGTTACAGACTCCGCTAACCCAGAAATAGTACCTCGGGTTAAGAACTTTGCTTCAGGATGAGAACAGAAATCGCTCGGTGGCGGCGCCGTGGCAGCGGGAGGCCCCATTAGCTAAAGTGGTGTCTCAGGTTAAGAATAGTTTCAGGTTAAGAACGGACCTCCGGAACAAATTAAGTTCTTAACCCGAGGTACCACTGTAGTAGGCTAGGAAGGGTATCCTACAATAGTAGGGTTCCTTTCCGATTCTCTGAGTTGGCTCAGTGAAATGCTCAGAAGTAAATGGAATATTTGTCAAGTTAAATGCTTAAGCACACTGCTGAAGCCCCGTCTTGCATAAGGCTTGGCCTGCCGGCCCCACCTGTGAGGAGCAAGAGTTAGAACTTGGCCACAGCTGTTTCCAGGTGAAGCCTATTTGGCAGGTTTTTTGGGCAGTGGGTGACTGAGCAGGCCAGCCCTGGTGGGATGGCAATGATAGGGACAGCCCCCCTCCGAGGATTTCTCCTTTGGGGTGTGATGAGGGTGAGGGCACTCCCCCGGGTGACTGCTTGTGGGTGGGCTTGCTCCTAGGTGCGAAACTGAAGCAGCTGGACTAGGATGGGCAATGGGGATGCGAGTTAACCTGGCTTCCAAGTGAGAATAGTATTTATTTGTCTGGTTGGTTGGTTGGTTTGCACTGATATCCTGCCTTTTTCTCCAAGTTGCTGAAGGTGGTGCACATGGTTCTCCCCCTCCTCATTCAATCCCACAATGACCCTGGCAGGTAGATGAGGCTGAGAGACGCTGGACTGGCCCAAGGTCACCCAGTGAGTTTCACGACTGAGTAGGAATTTGAACCCTGGTCTCCCTGATCTTAGTCTGGCAGTCTAACCACTACACCACCCTGGGGAAAATGTGTCTGAGAATGAATCCAGCTCGCAAATACATAACTAGTGTGATTGCATTTTATTTTGCTATTTTATATTATTTTAATTTACTGCACTGATTGTACTCTTATTATTGTTATTTTTGCACAAATATTCCGTTCACCACATTGGGGGCATCTGAGCCAAAACGTAGCATATAAACCATAACATAAATATGTAAACTATTCCGGGTTGTAGCCAACTAAATTTTACTCAGAGGAGACCCTTTTAAATGGATCTGTTAGTCATATTCATTCATTTCGATTGGTCTCCTCTGAGTAGTACTACTGTTGAGTCCAACCCTTGGGAGAGTGCTTGGCAAAGCACTTTAAACACTTCATGTTAATCTACTCTGCTCTAGTTAGAATTAATTGTTTTCTATACAATTTATTTCCACAGATTCATCCAGCTACTCTAAAGTATTGCAAGAAACATCAGTTCCGATCATCCCCGATTACAAATGTCAGAACTATGATGTTTATGGAGCTGACATTAGTGAAAATATGTTCTGTGCTGGTTACCTTGATGGTAAATCAGACGCCTGCCAGGTAATATTATTGAGTATCTGCCTGAATTAAATTTGTACAAGAGAGTGAATGTGAATGTGAGAGTCCAATGAATCCCTCTTGGCATTTGTGTTTTGCTCACACTTTGTTTTTGGATTTTTTTGGGGGGGGCTGTGTAGGACATCTTTCCTCCCCCTTCCTTAGGGAATGCAAAAAAATACTGGGTTTGGTGTAAGTTCTCTTCTTAAAGGGGTGGTGGAGCGGCCTAGTGGAGCAGCCACCTCTGCTTAATGGGAGATAAATCTCTTTTGAAATGTAGACTGTGGAGATGAGATTGAGATCTCCATTTCAAAAATCTGAACTCACCACTCCTAACCAGGTACATGCTCTTGCACTAACCCAGAATGATCGTGTGTGTGATGTGTGTGTGTGTGTGTGTGTGTGTGTGTGTGTGTGTGGAAATCAAAGTGGAAACATTGGGGTTTTGGTAGAGGACCAAGGACAGCTAAGGTGTTTAGATATAGACTTGACTCCTCTGGAGACTGGAGAATTCCACATTTTAAGTGCTATTATGAGTCCTATCAATTCCACCATTTACCGTATTTTTCGCTCTATAAGACGCACAAGACGCACCTAGTTTTGGGAGGAAGAGAACAAGAAAAAAAATATTCTGAATCTCAGAAGCCAGAACAGCAAGAGGGATTGCTGCACAGTGAAAGCAGCGATCCCTCTTGCTGTTCTGGCTTCTGGGATAGCTGCGCAGCCTGCATTCGCTCCATAAGACGCACACACATTTCCTCTTACTTTTTAGGAGGGAAAAAGTGAGTCTTATAGAGCAAAAAATACGGTACTTTTTTTTAAATGCATGGGCAGGGCCATCAATGGGTGCAAATCGTAAAAACGTCCAATTCCCAGAGGATATTCCTTTTGTGAAGAAGGAACTGAAGTGAAATATGTCAGTTCTACATGTAGGGCCGCACCTCAGGTTTGGAGCTGAAGAGCTGGAGGGAGGCGTTCTTTGCTGCCTGGGGCTTTGCCTCTCATTCCACTTCATTGCCTCCTGGAGTTTTTAGTTAGAGCTGAACAATTTATTGTCCTGCAGTTTTCTCAGGCTGACCCCACAACTGAAAGTATTAAGGATCCACTCCAGATCTTGCATAGAAGTTGGGGGTTTTGTAGTATAAAAAAGGGAGGGTTTGTTAGTACATTATTCTTGACTACTAGCTGAAGGATGCCAATGTTGTGTGGCAAGATGCCAACTGCCCCTGCCTCCAGCAACTATTCCACCATAAATGGTGAGCACTGAAAGGCCCTGCCCAAATATTCGAGGAAATACTCCAACCATATGAGCATTAATTATTTGGCCCAAACTATCTGGCAATTGTTTTGAAAGGCCTCTCAGTGTCCTGCACTGTTGGCAATTTATGACACTGGTAAGGAATATGAGCATGCTTGGTCCCCATTTTCTTATTTACATTTTCCCAATTTATTACACAGCTTGTGTTCCAGGTAGAATCTAGACACATATAAAAACCGCTTTGAAACTGCTTTTAAAAAAAAGAAAGAGCATGTTTAAAAATACATTGAATTTTCCATAAGGCTCACCATTGCCATCTAGTGTCACATTGTATATTGCGCTTAAAACACACTTAAAACGTTTTATTTGCAGCTGTATAGCTAGTCTCCTTTTGCAAAATTATTGAGCTTACAACAAGCAAAATTATTTCGTTAGACACAGAGATTGTCATTTGCAAAACCTATGATAAATAAAATGAGCCAATCTTTCCAAATAATGGAAACCATAGCGAAATACTTTTGTCCTTAAATTTATCTTTGAAACAGGGAGATTCTGGCGGCCCCCTGGCCTGTGAAAAGGATGGCGTATCTTACCTGTATGGCATTATCAGCTGGGGTGATGGATGTGGCAAAGCGAGGAAGCCTGGTGTTTATACAAGAGTGACCAAATATGTGGACTGGATAAATGAGAAGATAAACCGGCTCCAAAAGAGCAGCCGTAGTTCCTTACCCAGATGAAACATTTCACATTCTGCTGAAATTATGGATTGCCACTGTCATTGTTTATAATGCTAACTGCTGTCATTAAAAGGCACCCTGTTTCACCTGTTTCTGCCAAGTCTTTCTATCTACCGTACTTCACAATAATGGACTTGTTTCAGGGCTGGATGAAAGGATGATGAAGCCCTAAGCTGTCAGTTTAAAAGGTCCCAAAGCATTACCCCACAAAAAATGTGCATTATTCTAAAAAAAATAAAAAAAAAGGACAATAGAAATAGAAATTAGAAACTTTTATATGAATGTATATACAGGATATACACACATATTTTCACATAGGTGAGAATTCAACTAAAAACTAACAATCTAATTGAAACGTACACCTTGCAGCCAATTGTGTAAAACCTGAAATTTGGGGATTTGCTTGTTTGTTTTGTAATCAGAGTGTGGGAGTGGTCAGGATCAGGCACTGCACCACAGGGGTAGGTACATAGTCATTATGGTCACCAGTAACTATGCCAGGGGTCCCCAAACTTTTTCAAAGAGGGCCAGATTTGATGAAGTGAACATCCGTGAGGGCCGACCAAAGTTGTTGAGGAGCGGGCTGGATTAGGCTCCCAAAACGGGCTTTGGACGTGCCTGAACTATGCTGTGGTTAGCACTAGAGCTGAACTGAACTCTCCATTTTACTGCCCTATTTGGAAGCAGAGAAACAGGATAGGTATCAATAGAGCAAAACATTTGCAGAGTACTTACCTTGCTTTAACACTACCCCCTGTTTTAAAAGGACTCCCCCTCTCTTTTATGGAGAGAGAGTTCCTTCCGTGCAGGAAGTATGCCTCACTTGGCATTCTGGAAAACACTTGCAAGAGAGAACTATTTGCTGTAGTGCAATTGTGGAGTCAACAAACTGAACAGGGAAGCATGAAGTCTACTCCTTTGAGCATGTGATCTAACATTTAACTAGTTCAGAAGCCTAGCACTGCCCACACTCTAAGGCTTAGCTGCAGGCAAGTGCTTGCGCAGGTCATGAACAAGGAATATATCATAAATATTGATAGCAGGAATATCGATAGCAGCCAAAACTATGGAGATAAGGAATATTAGAGTAACACACACACCCATTGTCTAGAGAGGGAATTTCATGGTTTTCGTCATGTACAAAAACTACTCTTCACTGCTACTGGTGGGTTTTATTTGGGGGGGTGGTACTGCTGCCCAACCACAGGTAAGCTAAAATTTGGATTTCAGTTGGGCAGACTGTATGAGACCAGCAGTTAAGTCTGTGGTTGCCAGCAGATGAGGCACAGAATGAAGAGATTGGAAGAGATTGGAAGATTAACATTTAATATTACCGTAAGTATTTTGAAGCAGAGGGTACCTGTCATGAGGTTAAAAAAAAGAGGCCCCACTTTTTTCCATACAGCAATTAAAACACTCATGTTCGGGATTGGCAGCCATAGCACAGTAGAGGACAGTTCAAGGGTGACGGGAAAGAAAAATGGTTTCTTTACCCTTCCTGAAGGGTCCTGAATCTAGTCCATTATGGGAGACAGAACAAGAAAAAATCTCTCTCCACTTCCTACACGCTAGGCATAACTTATATACCTCTATCACACCTCCTCTTACTGGCCTTTTGAGTAAAATATGCCATGTGCCACCCCTCTGTTCATTTTGGCTGCCCTTTTTGAACCCGTTCCAACGCTACAATATCCTTTTCTTAACGTGAGGCAACCAAAACTCTACACCATAGATTTGCATAACAGCATCATATTGTTGGCAGTTTTGCTTTTAATCCCACTCCTAATGATCCCTAGCATCTTCAGCGAACGATCCACTGTGCCCCCAAGGTCACATTCCTGGTCAGTTACTGCGAGTTCAGACCCCATGAACATATACGATGTGAAAACAACCACTGCCAGGATCGCTCCACCACCTGGAGTGTTTTCACTGGCGCATGAGGATAACTGCTTATCTCCCTCTTCCTCAGTGATGCCCTCCTTCCCCAAGTCCCCCCCCCCCGCATGACACAGGGGCGATCTCCTCCTTGCAATGAGACACAGCTATCACAGCTACCACATCCCTGAAGGCCTTGACCACCAACCCCTCTGCTTCTCTCAGCCTCTCCAGATCAGCCAAATGTTACCCCTTGACCTTTTTTATCTAGCAGGGGACAAAATGGAGGCTCTTGTATCTGAAATCGCAGATAAATGCAAGGGGAGAAATGGAGCTACAAATCTTTCAAGCTCTCCCGGTCTATCAGGACAGCAGTCGGAGGAGAACCTAAACAGATCAAGCCACCAGCATTTTATTAAATTTAAAACTGCATACAGCCAGGGTTTAATTATTTCCCCCCCATATTGTGCATGGCTGGCTCTTCTGCATCTCTTGACAGCCTATGTAACCTAAAGGTCTGGAGTTTTTACACACCGTGAATGTGGGAAAAGTGTGCAGGATCAAGCCAAAGGCCCATCTAGTCAAGCTTCCTGTTCTCACAAGAGCCAACTAGATGCCTCTAGGAAGCCTGCAAGCAACAGGGATTCAAGGGCATACTGGCTATCCTCTTTTGGTTTAAATCCCAAACCTCCTTGCAGCTGACCACACAACTGGTACTGTTTGGTGACCAGAGGCGTACTGAGGGGTCCCTTTCGCAAAGAGCTGTATTGGCAGCGGGGGGGTGGGGCATTACCGTATTTTTCATTCTATAAGATGCACCAGACCATAGTTTTTGGAGGAGGAAAACAAGAAAAAAAATAATTCTGAATCTCAGAAGCCAGAACAGCAAGAGGGATCGCTGCGCAGTGAAAGCAGCGATCCCTCTTGCTGTTCTGGCTTCTGGGATAGCTGCGCAGCCTGCATTCGCTCCATAAGACGCACACACATTTCCCCTTACTTTTTAGGAGGGAAAAAGTGAGTCTTATAGAGCAAAAAATACGATACTTTACTGCAATAGTGACGCAAGTACTTGGTGTGTCTGGAAAGAGGGAAAGCTGGCGAGGAAGGGTGAAAAAATTCACACAGCGATGTGCTGCGGTGTGAGAAGGATGGGAAGCTTCTCCCGTGTTTGATTCTGTTGCGATAGCAGCGTCGCGCCGTCATACACTCCAGCGTCATACTGTCTCCAGCTGCCTTGCCACTTCTCCTACTGCTCAGCTCCAGCTGTTGTTGAAGCTCATGACCGTGCACAGATAATGGGAGGCAGATTTCAGGGGCGATTTTTTGCGCCAACCCCTCTTCCTTTCTCCTTTGTTAGGGGCAGATGAACTGTTCACTCATAAATCCATTCTATCCTGTTTCTGCATTATTCTCAGGGTTTTTTAAAAATAGACATGAAAAGCTACATTTAAATACGCTTCCTCTCAAAATATGTATCATGAAATTGCATTTTGATTAGTCTCCCAACAATCTAAGTACAACTGTTTCCACACCTGGTGATTTCTCCTCTCCGCCACCGCAGAGAGTGAGGCAAAGAAAATCAAATGACTTTTGAGTCTTTCCTTCCTTGCACTTTAGACAAAGTGGTCTCAGGATCTTTGCTCCCTCATTTTTTCAAAGCTGCCGTGTGCTTTGAGAAGAGGACTGGGAGTGAAGCAACATAATGGTGTGCTATCATTTCCAGGGTCCCTGAACAGAAAATAGTTGGCTGCCCCAAACTGAGCATCCCAATTCGAATAAACTGTCTAGAATCTAGAAAAAAAATTCACAAAGCAGGACCACATTTTATTTCATTAAGAAACACCCAGTTGTCTAGATGGCTCACCTCCTACACTGATTAAACTCTTTATAATTACATTACAATTTTTTATTTACCTGGAAGGAAGAGGCAATCCTAGGATATGTAATTTCTGTAAAATAGATAAATATTGTATTTTCAGGAGCACTGCAAAAGAAACTAAACATTGGCTTTCGATATCATTTTCTCCAATAAATTCATCATTCTCTCTTGCAGCTGCAGGCTCTGAACTTGGATGATGTTCTGCTGGTCCAGAATCCTTCTTACTTCCCTGCAAGTTTCTTCCATTGCCCTACTCAGTTTCTTTTGTTCCTCTAGCATTGCTTCCATTAACTTTAGTTTCTTCTTTTGAAAGCTACAACTCTGCATTTTCCTTTTCTTTATGGGCCTCTCTTCAGCTCTGAAAAGCAAACATTTCGGCATTAAATCTGCTTTTGTGATCTGATATATCACATGGTTGGGTAATATCTAATGTTCACCTGGACTGGGCAAAAGCAGGGCTGCCCTGTACCTGCATCCACTTGAACTCAAGAAAAGCCTTCCATGCTGTGGGGGACCCTGGCAAAGCAAGGGAACACTCCCGTAGTTTCTCAAATTTCTCTCAAACTCATTGGGTATTCCATGCTCCCCTACAACCCAGCTGGAAGCATTATTTGATATACTCACCCAGCACTTGGCATTGTTTTCACAGGGAATATTGTTTGACAGCACATCCCACCAACCCAAGGTCCCAAGCCACCTCCTCCTATCTGAAAATAATGCTTTATATAACATAGCCAGAGGGTTAATAATGCTTTATATAACATAGCCAGAGGGCTGGCTATGTTAGGCAGTATAAACAACATGGAGTCTTTGGCACCTTAAAGACTAGCAAGTATATTATGCCATATGTTTTAATAGACTACAGCCCACTTCGCTGTTATCTTCTGTTGTTAGTTGTATATGTACCTAGTGTGGAGTAAACAACACAAGGAGTGATGAGAGAAAAGAAATGCAAAAAACCAAAAACGGTCTAACTGTATTGTTTAGAGTTTGGGGTGGGGTCAGTCTGGATGAAACCCTGGTTTGCCTTCCAGGCCTGCAATCCTAAGGCAGTGGCATAGCGTGGGGGGTGCAGGGGGGGCCGGCCGCACTGGGCGCAACATCTGGGGGGGCACACTAATCTAGTGGAAGAGACTCGAGTGCTAAAATCCACGGGTTAGGGGGCGCAAATTACTTGCCTTGCCCCGGGTGCTGACAACCCACGCTACGCCACTGTCCTAAGGGGATGTAAGGGGAAGCTTGGCAAACTAGTTCCTTTGGTGAGATGGGCTTTTCTCCTCTGCCCCACCCAAACTGGCTGCTACATAGGTGAACAACAGCCAGAGTTGTGTGTGAGAGTTGGAAGCTGGAGAGACTGAGATGTGCATGATCTGTGCCGGATCTTAAGTTGTGACTAGTGGAGGAACAAGATCTGTTGGGGTGTTAACACTGCTAACCCATCTTATGCTCAGGTTGTATATATTTGTAAATGAAACCACATATCCTAAACACACCACCACTGACCTTCATTCTCAGGAAACTGAACCCTGGAAAAAGCACTTGGAACACCTGAAGTCTGTCACTGCATAGAGATTGTGGTGGAACATAGAAGTATCTTCTAATGAAAAACTTTGCATATTTAAAATAATTTATAATAGAAGAGTACTAGGGGTCTAAAAGGATCTAGGTGTCTTAGTAGACCACATGCTTAACATGAGTCAACAGTGCAATGCAACAGCAAAAAAGCTAATAATTCTCTAAGCTGCATCAACAGAAGTCTAGCGTCCAGGTCAAGGGAAGTAATAGTACCACTCTGTTCTGCCTTGGTCAGACACCACTTGGAATACTGTGTCCAGTTCTGGGCATCACAATTTAAGAAGGATATGTTGACCTGCTAGAACATGGGTAGGCAAACTAAGGCCCGGGGGCCGGATCCGGCCCAATCACCTTCTAAATCTGGCCCATATACGGTCCGGGAATAAGTGTGTTTTTACATGAGTAGAATGTGTCCTTTTATTTAAAATGCATCTCTGGGTTATTTGTGGGGCATAGGAATTCGTTCTCTCCCCGCCCAAAAAAATATAGTCCGGCCCCCCACAAGGTCTGAGGGACAGTGGACCGGTCCCCTGCTGAAAAAGTTTGCTGACCCCTGTGCTAGAATATGTGCAGAGGAGGATAACCAAGATGATGCAGGGTCTGGAAACCAAGCCTTATGAGGAACAGTTGAGGGAGCTGGGTATGTTTAGCCTGGGTAAGAGGAGACTGAGAGGAGAGATGGTAGCCATCTTCAAATATCTCAAGGGCTGCCACATGGAAGATGGAGCAAGCTTGTTTTCTTCTGCTCTGGCGGGCAGGATCCGAATCAATGGCTACAAGTTGCAAGAAATGAGATTCTGAGTAAACATTAGGAAGAACTTTCTGACAGTAAGAACTGTTCAACAGTGGAATAGACTGCCTTGGGAAGGTGGTGAGATTCCTGCATTGCAGGGGGCTGGACTAGATAACCCTTGGGGTCTCTTCCAACTCTATAATTCTATGGTTCTATGATTCTTAGGGTAGATGTAGATCAGCATGTCAATCATGTTTTTATTGACAAGCTGTTCATTTGAAACCTTCATCACATGATGACTGAAAAAATTCCTCTGACCTTCTGTCATTCCTTTCATTTCCAGTTTAAATAGACTGAAATGCTCTCAGAAATCCTAGAATGGAATTAGATAGCAAGTGCCCCCTTCAAAAAACAAAAGATAATTGCCCCCTCCCAGCCCCAATCTAGTTAGTGCTCAAATGCATACAGAAGCTTGATGCTCCATTGACTTGCACACCAAAAGGTTTTTTTTTCAATGAGCAATTGAAGGGTTAAAGTAAAATCATTACACACATGCATATTGCGAACAGATATTACTCATTTCCTTTGGAAACTAAAGGGTGGCAACAATAATTATCTGAGCATGCACAAAGGTGAAGGAATTTGGTTGCTTAGTCAGGCGAACCATGACTAAGGTGCAAGTTAATATCAAGTAACTCATAATTAATCTTGGTTTGAATTATGAATTTTTTTTAAAGGATCAAAGTCATGGTTTGTTATAAGTTTGAGAATTACGATTTCTGTCCAGTGAATTCTATCTAGTGAAAGATAGAACTCAAAATAAGTCACTTTACGAGTTTTGTCAGGGTCACTAGTCTTGACATTCATGGTCAAAATATACCCCTTGAGTCTTGGTAGCTGGACTACCTTTTTAATTACTTACTACATTTACAGTATGTGTTGTCTTTGTGTCAATGCACTCAAGGCAACTCACAGTTTAAAACAACGGCTTACAAGTAACTCAATGCAATACAAAAAGGAACAGACAGTGAGGGAAGAGAAAAATAAGCCTGTGGGGGTTTTAGGAGGTTGGGTCCAATTGATGGGGGAGACCTCACTGTATCACTTCTCCCCTGATACAGCAAGAGTTGCTGATGGAGATGGTCTGGAATTCCACAAAACAGAGCCTATAATTTTTCACATTAAAAGACAGCAACCCTTTGCATACATCTGACTTAAACTATAACTACTACTAGACCCTTCTCGAAGCTACCAGCATGAGTTTGACCAAACTGCGGGAGGCAGTGGAAGACAGGAGTTCCTGGCGTGCTCTGGTCCATGGGGTCACGAAGAGTCGGACACGACTAAACGACTAAACAACAACAAGACCCTTCACAGCTGAAGAAAACAGAGAGCCCCTGAAGCCCCCAAATTAAGTGGTCCTTAAAGAAATAGATTTTTGCAGCTTTATCCTATATCCCACATAGGGCCCAATATGTAAAATGTCAAAGTAATATATAACTGTTACCTTAACTTATAAGAAAGTAAGCTGGAAGAGCTCTCAGAATGCTCATCTTCAAAAAATTCTTCTCTCCCTTCATATGTGAACTGGTTATAAGGCAAATAGAGTGGAGTAGACTTGGCAGATGGAGACTGTGATGCCTCAGTCTGGGATGTTGAAGGACCTGGCAGCTGACTGTCATGCATTTTCACATCATTGTGCTCTGACACTTTAGAGAGTATTCTATCAATGGTTTTAAAGTAAGGCCAATCAGGTGCAAGCGTTTCACTATCAGTCATACATTTTAATTTCCTGCAATGAAAGAAATAATCATGAAAACTCAGATAGTAATTTCATGCAGGTTTCAAAAATTCTACTATAAAAATATGTGTGTGTGTTCGGAGGGATGTAAGTTGAGCTGTTAATATGTGCACATGATAATCTGTTCATTAATTGTGCTCATTTCTTGGTCAGTATACATAATCTCCAAAAGGTCCTAAGGAATGTGCATATCTCAAATGCATTTGGCACATCATCCAACTGGCCTTGGAGAATGTGCATATCTCAACTGATTGACTTCCACCTGAACTCCCATTCAAGCAACGCAAATACTTGTTTCCATTTCTGACTCCAAACTTTTGCAAGAGGCAAGATTTCTAGAAATTCTCAGTTCTGCTGAAGAGGCCAGAAAAGAACACTTTGACAGAAAATGCTATTCAAGCACACAAGTGTTTGAAGAAGGGTCACTCCCATCATTTTCCAACCTGGGCCTTAAGGTCCATGGGAGATACACTGCTGTAATTCTATCAACAACTATGGTTAATAGCATGACAACATGGAGCAGGACCTCCTTGCTTTCCGGTTGTTAAATGAAAAAATACAATTGTCCTCCACATTAGAAGCTTTTTGGTATTATGAAACACCTTCAGATGTTTGGGGCCAGTTGAACTAATGAATTCTCTTTTTACTGTTATGCTGGTTTTTTTTTATGAGACGTACTGGTTTTATATTATGTTTCATAGTCTTTTAATATAATACTGCGAACCTTCTGGTTGAAAGGTGTATTCTAAAAACAATAAATAAACAATTTAGCAGAAATTTTCTAAGGCAGCATGGTGGACGAGCACAGAAGTCCCCTGTCTTGATCAGTGGGCTGAAGTGTATTCATACATGGTGGGCATTATTCCTCTTTAGTTAATTGAGGAATTTAGAGCACACCCTTATTTTAAAAATAAATCTCAAAGCAGGTTACACTAAAAACATCATAAACAATAAGACCAAACAGATCAACTTCTGTATAACACATTAACAAGATTAGCACATCTATAAGGAAAGGCCACCTCTACCTAAGCAAAAGCCTGAGTGAATAGATGATCTCTATGTGCACCATAAAATGCAATAAAATAAAATGTACTGAAGATGGAGGTTAAAACTGAACTATACAAAATACATTTTGGAGGTTTCCATCAATAATCAAGTAATCAAGTAATAGATCTTATTCTAATTGCCCCTCCTAATTTTTTTGCAGTTTTTGCTGTCACCTAATCATCTTGATGACATAGAGGACATAGTAGCAAAAGTTGAGCGACCAGGCATGGACAATAGTAGAGGGGTAATAACCTCACTCCTCAAATCTTTAGAAAGAGTGCAAGCCAGAAGCACATGAGCCACGGACTCAATACTGCCAACTCCACATTGGACACAACTGTTTCTCCAGCGGAATTTTTTGAAATCAACCCTCAAGTACAGCCAAAGGCAGTATATTCAATCTTGCAAAAGTGAAAGCGCATCTGTATTTTGGAATTATAAAATTTTGCAAATAGGGTGCCCAGGTGTCAAAATGACTAGGTGGAAAATAATTATACCATGGACAAAATTTCCTTATTGTGGCTAAATTATTCTGTCGCTCGGTATCATATAGGCGCTGTCTAATTAAATTATTTGCTTTACAGAAGTCCAGTGTTAATAACCGTTGTGGCGATAAACCAGAAAAGTAAAGCTTTTGGTTGACAATTTTAGTCCAAGCGCTCTCATGGCAATCTTGCGATACTAAGGGTTGTAGACCAGTGGGGTTTAAATTTAGATGAAGCCAATAATTAAATCCTACAGCAAATCTGTAATTCAACAGAGGGGAGATTAGCCTCCAAGTGCAATGAAGCATTTGGAACACAGGATGAAACAGAAAAGAATTGCCTTAGGAGCTTAGATTGGACAGCTTCTGTAGATCCAAGCTAAGCACCTGTCCAAATCTGAGTCCCAAAAAATAACTGTGCTAGGGGTTTAGCTTTAAACACTTCAAGTGCTGATTGTATGTGATTGCCACCTTTTGAATGGAAAAAGCATGTCAGAATTTTGGCGCTTTGAAACGCTTTTTCCTTTGCATATTTCTGATGTGCTCCCCATGACCCTGTTGACTGAAAAATAAGGCCGAGGTATTTAACGACTAGATGTATGTTTACCAAGCATAAAAATGAACCAGTCTAATGTGAAAGCAATTCTTCCCCTACTTCATAACAGATCCACATTTCATGGCCCCAAATTAGTTTTTCTGGAGACACCCCATACTCATAATTAACTGCATTGTTCTCTGACCAAGTGCCCAGTTATCTGCTTTTTCCATTGAGGAGGCTTTCAAGATTGCGTGTGAGATGAAGACATCCTGCATTTAGCAAGAAATACACAGATCCAAACAAAACCAGAGAGACGATACTGAAGAACAACAGAATTAAGTGCTTGAAATAATAGTGAGGAAATATCCTTCATAGCGTATATCATTTATGATAGGAACAGCATAATTTAGTCTTCAGAGAAGTCTTCATGAAGAAGTAAATCACTAATGACCAGGAAAAAAATGGCAATGGGATAAAGGCTGAAACTATGGTTTGTTTGGGTGATATTCAATTAAGTTTCACTCAAGAGAAGAGCCACTGAAATTAATGGACCTAACTTAGCCAAGGTCATTGGAATTTCAGTGGATCTACTCTGAGTAAAACTTAGTGAATCCCACTTTTTAAAACCACTATGGAAATAAATTTTAACATTTACAGCTTGATTTTGTGTATCCACCACTCATGCCAGTCAACATTGCACCAAATCTGCAATGGTCATCAAATTATCAACAGCAAAATAGTTAAGGATTTTAACTACAAAATATTACATGATATGTTTCAGAGGATATGTGCCAAATTAGGGTGTAGAATCTGCACGGAAATCTATTGTATTGACTGTAGATGTATTTATCTAAACGCTGGATTAAATATTTTGGTTATTAAACAGGCAATTTAGATAAATGAGGCTGGCCCACAGAACTTCACATCCTCATTTAGTAACACTGTAACATTCACACAGTCATCATTTGATGACTGCAGCATCAACAGATAACTTATCAAGTAGTAAAGGTAAAGGAACCCCTGACCGTTAGGTCCAGTCACAGATGACTCTGAGATTGCAGCGCTCATCTCGCTTTATTGGCCAAGGAAGCCGGCGTACAGCTTCTGGGTCATGTGGCCAGCATGACTAAGCCGCTTCTGGTACTATCAAGTAGTAGTACTCCTCTATTCTCCCTGAGTCAGATCACACCTAGAGTTGCGTGCCTAGTTATGTGTGCCACAATTCAAGAAGGGTATTGACAAGCTGGAACATACGCAGAGGAGGGCGACCAAGATAATCAAAGGTCTGGAAACCAAGCCTTATGAAGAACGGTTGATAAGAAGAGACTGAAAGGAGATATGTTAGCCAGCTTCAAATATCTAAAGGGCTGTCACATGGAGGATGCAGCAAGCTTGTTTTTTCCTGCTCTGAAGCATAGGACCCATACCAATGGATTCAAGTTACAAGAAAGGAGATTCCAAGCAAACATCAGGAAGAACTTTCAGATAGTTTGACAGTGTTCCACTGTTTGACGGTGGAACACACACCTTTGAGAGGTGGCGGACTCTCCTTCCTTGGAGGTGTTTAAGCAGAGGTTGCATGGTTTTTTTAGTTGCAATTCCTACATTGCATAGGATTGGACTGCATGACCCTGGAGTCCCCTACAATTCTCTGATTCTAGGATATGTGACGAAGCCATCAAAAAAACTAAAAAGACAGTACTCTAAGCAATGGGGACCATTTTGCCTAGCAGATTGCTTCCCCCAGTACAAACCAAGCCCTTCTGATGAAATCCTAGTTGTCGTCTAAGGACCAGTGGATTGTCCCTTGGTGACAGCAGACGAGCAGACCTCTTTGGTGGCAGCACTGGTCCTTAGGAATGACCTCCCTCAGGTGGGTTGAGAGGTAGACACAGCAACCAGCTTTAAGCACCTCTTAAAGTCATATATTTTTGCACAAGTTTTCCTAGACACTGATTCTCAGTTTTTATTTTTTTGTTTATGTACTGCTCCATTTTACCTACATTATACGGCTCTGCTCTTTTTATTTAGCTTTTAAGAAGTCTTATTTGAATGCTGTTATTGTATTTTATTTAGCTTTTAAGCTGAATAAGTCCTATTTGAATTCTGTTATTGTATTCTTATATGAATTTTATTATTTTTCTGGTTACACTTTATGTAAACTGCTCAGAAATTTCTTTTTATACTGAGCAGTATATGAAATGTATGATTAAATAACCTTTCAATAACTACAAGTAACTTGAGTTCCCACACTCAGTTTTGAGTACTGTATTCAAGTCTTGAGTAACGAAGCAATGCTACAGGCATGTGTGAACTGTAAGAATCCTATGTGAATCCTAGGGTCCTAGGCTTTACATCTGCCATTTCATATATAGTTGATGCTTTTCAAAGTACCAAGTGCAATAAATAAATAAATAAAATAAAGTATATACACATTCCAGTTTCTTTCCATTCAAAATATAGCATTCCTGTCTCTTGGATTCTCTTTTTATTATTATGGTATTTTGTTTGCTAATACTCTACTTGACCTGCTGAATGAAAACAAGATTAATCTCTCGAGGCTTGTAAAAAAGCTTTCAAAATAAATTATAAATAACATTGCTCATGTGCCAATTGGTGGCTAAAGGGGAGAGAGGAGCAAAAGTGCAGTACTTAAGTTGTGTCTCTGCTATGAATGAATTATTCAAATAGAACAGAAAACTGGTAAAATATTCAAATGCAACTTTCTGAAGCAATTTGAGTGAGTTCTCTCTCTCCAATTACGACATCAAAGAATCCACACTGAAAAGCATAGCAAGGATCTAGATAGTGAACTCCTGCACCCAGTGATGTTTTTGATGTTTAAAAAAATATAAATCACATTTTATGAAGTTTGGAAATTAGATATATAAGGATGCTTTATACAGAGCTTTTGAAGGGGTGAAAAATGAGGTGCCAGTGCAAAATGGCTGCCATGGGCAGCAACAAAAGAGGTGACGATACTCCATTCCAGTGAGTTCCATCCCTAAAACAAGGACCTCTTGAGAGGGATGACACCTCTTTTCCTTTCCCACCTCCTGTGCTGTACAACCTATCGCTAGAGGGCTCAGATTTGGGGCTGGTTGTCAGTCTTGAACCTGAGCATTTTATTGCTCCATAGCAGGCTAAAGGATTCTCAGAAGGTGGCGAAAGGGAAATAAAGATGTCCTTTCTTCTTTCCTTCCTTCTCAATATCCTTGTAAATAGAGCAGAGAGTAGAAATGTGAAGAGTGGGGGACAACAAATAAGATTGGGGTCAAATGGTTCCTGGTCTTCTTTTTCCCTCTGATGGTTTTATTTCTTTTTCCCAGTGGAAAAAGTTGGAAAGTTGGAAATCTGGAGGGATTTGTAATCTTATTTTATCTTTTAGAATAATAGATGAAAGGGGTTTTAAAAAAACAAAACAGAACAAAATTGTTTTAGATACCTTTTACTTCTAAAAAACGGGTTCTAATAACAAGGGTTTCTAGTAACATTGTAAAATAATATATAGTACTAGGTAATTTAAATACCCATATACTATAGACTGCTCCTCCATAAACAACAACGTATATGTCAGTTTCACATGTGATCATTCTATCCATTTTCTCAATTAACGTGTAATTTCTTCCCCCAAAGTTCCAAACAAAATTCTTACTGAAAAAAGCACTGATGGGGTATTTAATAAGATATTATCCTTTTTTTTAACAATCCAAGTCATCACTCCAAGCAGCTAGAGAGCTGCTGCCTCTGTTTGCACTACACACATTCAAAATAGGGCCGCAAATTCCTCTGGAACAAAGAGATGCAAGGATGGTGCTGTCCCTCCCAAGGATAAAGTAAGGAAAAAACATAGCTGCCTCCATTTGCAGCCTCTAACAACTTACTTGTAAATATATACATTTGTAAAATTTAATTAAAAGGAACCTCCAGACCACCTTGTCAAATCTGTTCAAGGGCGGATTCTGGAAGATAAATATGTTCCTAAAAAGGTAAAGGTAAAGGTACCCCTGCCCGTATGGGCCAGTTGTGTCCGACTCTAGGGTTGTGCGCTCATCTCACTTAAGAGGCTGGGGGCCAGCGCTGTCCGGAGACACTTCCGGGTCATGTGGCCAGCGTGACGAAGCTGCTCTGGCGAGCCAGCGCAGCACACGGAAACGCCGTTTACCTTCCCGCTAGTAAGCGGTCCCTATTTATCTACTTGCACCCAGGGGTGCTTTCGAACTGCTAGGTGGGCAGGCGCTGGGACCGAGCAACGGGAGCGCATCCCGCCGCGGGGATTCGAACCGCCGACCTTTCGATCGGCAAGTCCTAGGCACTGAGGCTTTTACCCACAGCGCCACCCGCGCCCCCTCAATATGTTCCTATATACACGTTAATCCAGAAGGTGTGGATCAGGTGGGCTGCGTTGGAATGTGTACTGAGAAAATTCCTCAAGCTTCCTTAATGCGCTTGCTACTCCATCTCTAACTCTGGATATACCATATTTTTCCGTGTATAAGACCAGGTTTTCTCCCTTAAAAAGAATGTAAAAAATAAGGGGGCGTCTTATACATGGATACATCTCTCCCCCCATTTTCTTAAATCTAAGTCCCGCAAAATAGGGGGCATCTTATACATGGGGGCATCTTATAGATGGAAAAATACGGTATTTGCTGTTGTGCTATACTAGGGCTTATATATCACTCCCTATTTACGCAGGGGTTGCGTTACTAGGCACCACATGTGTCAGTTGGACGTGCATAAGTCCGCCCCGCCCCCTTGCCGTGCCAAAATGGTGTGCGCATCAGTGGTGGCACATGCGCCCATCACATGCAAATGGGGATTTGCCTGTACAGTATACCACTTTTTGACCAAAAGGGCTCCAAAGCAGTGGAAAACATATCAACATGAAAGAAAAATGCCATAGATAAATCAAAATAATACAAAATACCCATAAATCACACTGGATGTGTGTTAGGAACTCCAGCAACCCCTGCAGCAAGAAACAAAAAAGCACCAATCCAGCCACCCCTCTCTCTAGCACACCTCGGGTGCTTCTTCTGCCTCTCGCACAGGTTCCACTAACAGAAACCACTTCTGTTTCGTACTGCAGCCAACCAGCCAACACAATACTCATTAACTCCACATTACAATAACCAGAGCCTAGAGAGAAAAGAAACACAAGCCCAGCATGGAAGGTTGGGTGATGGGCAGGATCCACAAGAACAGGCTCACATCCTGGAGTGTGGAGCAACTCTTCTCCCTCTCCTAACATCTCCACCAGCTGATAATTAACATTCCATACAACTCAACACTTTTACACAAGGGCCTAGGTTTTATTTTATTTTTTAAGTTGGCAAAATAAAACTCAAAAAGGGCATGGCACCCTCTGGGGTCATGCTGTCAAGGTTGCTCCACCGCATCATGTCAGCTGGCTGCTTTACAGCAGCCTTCCTCAACCTTGGTCCTCCAGATGTTTTGAGACTACAATTCCCACCATCCTAGCTAGGGATCATGGGAGTTGTAGGCCAAAAACATCTGGAGGGCCGAGGTTGAGGAAGACCGCTTTACAGCTGAGTAGGTCCAATCCTGAAGAGCGTCACAGCTGCCCAGAACACCCTCACTGCCTTGCCAAGAAGCTGGTCTTTGCCGCAGGTGCTTCTCAACTAGGCAAGCAAGGTTACTGGGTGGTGGAAGGTAATTTTTAATTATTTTGCTTGAATAAACTGAGGGACTTATATGTTTAAATTTAATAAGTAGAGCAAAACAATGCCCTTTTCAATTATGGGGTCAGAGTGACCACAATTGAAAACCTGATGATGATTCTTCCCCCCTCTCTCACAGTCCTCCTAAAACAAAACTTGAAATAACAGTGGATCCTCATTATTATTATTATTATTATTAATTATTAGAATTATATACCAAATCCTTCCCAGCCGCTCCGCAATTCATGCTACCTGTTCAAGAAGAGAGTCTGAGGGCGGGAGGTGGCCGCTCTGATGTGGAACTCTACTCTCACTTTCTCTATCCACAATGAGCCACAACAGAAAACCAAAGTGCACAGAATTCTTACACATTTATATGTTGCACGTGGGCTTATTGCAGGATCTACAGCATATTTCTAATACCTAGTTTTCTCTGGTTTACCTATAAAAAAGTTGAACTATGTAAATCTTAAGCACTTAGCTCAAGTATTAATTGAGAGCGTGGGATGACTCCTCACCCAAGCAAGGACCTTTCCTCGTGTGACGCTGCCTAACCAGTAAGAGGGAAGATTTATTGCCTGATACTCACCACTTGACTCCTCTTGCATCACTGCTTGGTTCTTCAATTATATGCATGCATCTGGTTGTAAAATTAAACGTTACAAATGCTAACAAGTGTTACAAATGTCCTGTTTATCACTTTTAAAAATTCCATGCATACTTGATAGTGCTTTTTGGCGATATTTGTGAACATGGAAAAGAGGAAGCACTAAAAGTGGTATTTGCCATAAGTATCTCTCGGGAAGAGGCCCATCTAGATGACTCCATTTTGTAAACAGCATGATGAATAATAATTGATATTTCCACCTTCTCTTGTGAACTAGAACAGTCTCAGCCACAGCTGAATGCAATAAGGCGGTGGAGGAAGAAACTGCATTCCCCTAGTAATCTCTACTTTTGGACTATAGCAGGCTTTGTAGAATCTTAGCTATTGGACTGAAGCAGGGCTCTTCAGAACATTTCAGCTTTCTTGGAAATTAAGTATTGCTGTATGTGTCAAGATTATCATTCATATACACAGAGCCGTAATATTTAAACTTGAATGTTCAGTCTGCAAATATTTTAAATGAGTTTCTTTTTAGTATAGTTTAAGTTTATGAGCAAAATAAATAGAGTGATTTAAACACACTATGATGTTCTCAATTCCAGTTATATTCTGGGTCCCGTCCCAGTGGTTAAGGTACTGTGAGTATGTCATGGTCAGAGGGCAGTGTCAAAGCTCCCAGTATTTACTTTCAAAACATTTTAGTATATTTCTTTAAAATATGGATTATATGTGTGTGAGAGAGAGTGTTTGTTGATATATTTCTATGCATACACATTCATGTGTTGAGAGAAAGACATGGAGCATTTTCACCTCTTTTTCCTTTATGCTTTGGGGGCCATCTCAAATTATGAGCCAAGGGTGGGCCTTCAGACTAAAAACTTCAGCCCACGTTTTCTGGATTTCTCACTCTCTTGTCAGACTAAGGGCACAAACTATCTGTTTCAGAGTGTACCTCTGTAAATGATACTGGTGCCATCCTGCAAGGTGATATGTAAGTGAAAACATATCATTTTGAGAATATTCACCATTTCATGCAAAACACATATAATAACTTAAGAGGTCACCATCTTAAGATGATCTAGCCAAAAGTGAAAATGAAGACACAAATTTATAAATGCTAATAGGGAGTTGTAGATTGCACAGCATATGGTTTAAATATAAAAATGATGTTTTAACCTAACCCACCCAGGCCCAAAAAGCCCAAAACAAGCAGACTTAACATGGATGCCTGTGACTTTTTTTAAATCACTATTTTTCTGCACTGAAAAGAGCTTAAATAAAGGAATCATGTATTTCAGATTGATGAATTATAGCTAACCTCCAACAGATCCATATTAGAGATTACATGTTGTCGCAAATTAGAACATAGCTAAAAGCAGATTTGGTAGTTCATGTCACATAGAAACAGGAAAATGCTTTTCAACAGCATGCAAATATTTTTCTGTCCCTAGGCTGCAAATATTTCATTTTCCTAAGCCAACTTCCTCTCCTGATGGGCTCTAACTACTTCATTATCTCATTTCAGATACCTCAGTTTCCTCCCCCAGCTGGAACAGTGTTTACAGTGTGCACTGATTTCTGTCTGCAAATGTAATTGTTCCTTTGCTAATGCTAGCTACAATTATAGCAACGTGTGTCACTCAGTGGTGAGGCATGCAGTTATTTTAGTCCTCCGGAGGGTAACTTCCTCAGTCTGCGATGGCAAAATTTAGAGATTTTTTAACAATAATTATTTTATTTAAATTGTATTTAGTTTTTACATTTGAGAAGACCAGCTCAAAATTGATCTAAGCTGTGCCAGTTTAAAGTGCAAGTGAAAGCTAAAATAAAAACATAAACAACAATAATTCATACTATCTTTTGCATCCCCTTGTTTCATAAAAACAGTAATTAACAAAAACCACCACCAAAGTTATGCTACCATTTGAAAGCAGTAAGGAGAAAAATTAGGAATGTTAAGAGTGATTTTTAAGAGCCCTATGAACAACCTTTAATCTTTCATCTGTGGTTTCTCTTTACAAGATATTTTCAGAAAGGCAAAGAGCCTGATTAATATCTAGAAATCTCTCAAATAAAAGGAATTAACTGAAGCTTACCTGTACTGGAATGTCATGTTTGTAATTTTTATCTTTATTTCTTCTCCATGTCGAATTTCTCCAGTCATTTCAAAGAGTTTGTTAGCCATTTTCTCATAAACTTTGGCATTCCTTTTAGTTTGTTTCAATTCATCAAAAAATTCTTCCCAAACCAGCATTAAGCCTCTCATTTCTGCATCAGTCCAGTTCCTGGCCCTCCTGTGCTTCTCAGTCTGAGAAGAAACAATATAACTGGGAATTTCTGCAGCAGCCATTCCTGATTGACCTAAAAGGGTTTTAAAAGAGAACACTTAATATAGGTTTCAGTTTTTAGTTTAGGATTTTGCAGTGCAAGGCATGCATATGAAGCTACAGGATTTGAATGACAACAGAACACATGAAACCTCTTTGCAACAGCTTGAAGCTTGAGTGCACAAAATGGGGCCTACATCTGACAGGCAGGAATTTAGTTAAAAGCTTTTAAACAGAGAAACGTCATTTTGATGTCACGTTTCCATAGCAACAGAGCAACTGCATAAGCTACAACAACAAAAACCTTTTAACTGAAAGCCAAAGAATCAGGACAAAGTTGACAGGCCATCAATATTAAAGCTTTTAAACACTTTAGGTTTAACAAAAACAACAACAGCAAAAGATCTATGCAGCCTTTGAGAAGCTACTTTTAAGTTTTTACTTGTTTTTAGATTTTTTTCCCCTTACCTTTTAGGCAATCTGCTGCAAGCAGGGGGTCATGGCTGTCTGAATGAGCTTTTAAGTTGTGCCTTGACAGATTCACTAGGATGAGGGAAAGACATGTACACAAAAAAGACCCCTTTACAACAATTGTGTCTAAAAAGTCTCACACCTTTGTGGAAGCACAGTTAGCATCTGAAGTATATAACAGCAGCACTGAAAACAGTTAAGCAGCTAAAATGGTGCCAGATTCCTATTTCAGGAACATGCACACAGATTTGTGTTTACATATGTGTGTGCAAGGGAGAGAGAGCCAGAGGCCGATTTGGGCTCCAAGATGCTTGTCTGCTGCTAAGCAAACCCATCCAGCAGCCCTATCAGCATGAATTTGCCTTTTGTAGGTTCAAATTACCACATATGTATTTGCAATCCGAACAATTTCAATGCTGTTTGGAGTCTTTTATTCAGCCGTGTGCTGCAGCCTCAGGACTGCAGCAGAGGCATTTTAAATCTGCCTTATGGTGAACCCATAAAGATTATTTACTGTGCAAAAGCAACTGGGAATGGGGAGAACGGCATTAGGATTAAAACCTCTAAATAAATTGCTGTTTTTATGTCGTAGTTTTCTTCATATAGGAGGCTAGATCTTGCTCCCTGTTATATTACCAACGCAGCATCTCATTTCCCAAAGCACCATTCCAGAGTCTGCGCTGTGGCAAACATGATGGACTCAGCTCTGGCGTTAAGGTCCAGGCACTTTATCCAGTGAAGCAATGCTGACGGCTAATGCACAGCGCATTAATTCTCTGTATTAGAAAGGAAACTACTGTTCACATTTTAAAAGATAGCAGTGGGAAGAAAAAAATGTGTGCGTGTTCATTTTTAAGACCTCGGTGCTGGGCGTTTCCTAGAGATTAATGGCAAGCAGAAAATAATGTACTCCATAGGCTGTTGATCCCCAGGAAAGGTTCTCACGTGCTTTAGTCCACACTTAAGTATCCTATACACTAATTACACGCTCAATCTGAACAAGCTGAAAAGCACAGGATCCTGAAGGAAGGGGAGGTCGCAAAATGCCCTTTTCAAGGCACAGACCTCCTGTCCTGTTGTATTCCTTGTTAATGGCTTTCCCCCCTTCACTGCAGTGCTTTAATGTAAGGAAGTCAGAATTAGGATTCCCTAGAGAAAAAGGTTTAAATGCTGTTCGAATAAAGAACACAATGAACTTCATTGATGAGTCACAGGTTCCTATCTGGCACTCAAAAGGCACCTTTGGAGCAGCTACTGTCAGTGGTCCTGTGCAGAATAATCCTTTCAAGGCTGGCAAAGAGCACCGTATGCTGGCGGTGTGTGTGTGTGTGTGTGTGTGTGTGTGTGTGTGTGCATATCATGGATACCCAGTTGGGAGGCGTCATGTGACCAGGTGACAGATGGCAGCCAAGAGGAGGCTTAACTAGAAGCAGGGTCTCCTTTTCATTCTGTGTGTGCATTTCAGACTTTCCAAGCATTGCCTCGGGAAGCACCAATGTTAACACCCAAATTTAACTGTGGCTGGCTTGGAGAAAAGATTGGGAGGTTTTTTCCAGGCCACTGTTGTGTAGATCTATCCAAATAAGGCATGGGTTGGGAAGGATTTGTACCCGCATCTTCTTGCAATTTAGCCAAAGGTATGCGAATGCCAGCATGTTTCTGACCCACAAATGTAAATATGCATTCCTCCCAAGCTGCATGGGTTTGGATTCCTCCAGAATTGCAAAGTGGCTTACAGAAGAATATCTGTGTATAGGCAGGACTTCTCAAAGTGTGGGCTGCAGACCACCAGTGGCCCATGAGCTTCATTCTACGAGACCGCCTCTCCTGGTATGCCCCTTGGAGGGCCTTAAGGTCCACAAATGACAACACTTTGGAGGTCCCAGGTCTCAAGGTGGTTAGATTGGTCTCAACTAGGGCCAGGGACTTTTCAGTACTGGCCCCGACTTGGTGGAACGCTCTGTCACAAGAGACTAGGGCTCTGCGGGACTTGACATCTTTCCGCAAGGCCTGCAAGACAGAGCTATTCCGCCTGGCCTTTGGTTTGGACTCAGTCTGACCCTTATGTTTCCCTCCCCTTACGGTTTTGATTTATGGGCTACTTTTAAAACGAGGCTGCATTTTAAATTGCATTTTAACCTGTATTTTAAATTGGGTTTTTTTCCTATTATGCTTTTATTGCCATTTTACTGGTGTTTGCCACCCTGAGCCCAGCTCTGGCCGGGGAGGGCGGAGTATAAATTATTTATTATTATTATTATTATTATTATTATTATGGTCCATGATGGTGATTCTGCAGAGTGGTATAGCTACACATGAGAGAAGAGCAGTGTGTGTGTGTGTGTGTGTGTGTGTGTGTGTGTGTGTGTGTGTGTGTAGAGCAGCTGGCGCAATTGCCGTGTGGGGGGGAAGAATTGTGGTTACAGCAGCTGCTCCGTTCTTATCCTGTGGGCCACCCAGCAGGTGAGCAGAACAAACTGGAAGTGGAAGCTGGTGGCAAGATGGTGGAAGCTCCCAAGTGAGGGAAAGGAGCACTTGAAAGGAGCAGAGAGTCAAAACATGTGGAAGAAGGAAGCCGTGAGAAAGACAGGAAGGAACTAAGAGCAAGTGCATGCAAAAGAAATGCCTTGGAATATTTCCTCATTTATTTCAGATAAACCATATGACTTTTTGCTGATTGGAGGACATGCTGATTTTTGCACGGCTAAAATCCGGTTTTCTACTAACTGGCAATAACAAAGTAAAGTTACTGAACACTACATTCAAAGGCCTAGTTTGCACATTACATTAAATAGAGCTGAAAACAAACTGTAGCAAACCACAAGACCAGATTCAGACATCAAAACCCAGACTTGAGTCCTGGTGGTGTGGCAGGAGTGAGCTGTGTGGCACCACTGTGAACCGGTACAATGTGCATTCACGTGAAACCACCACTTGTTTTCAACTATGGTTTATATGACAGTGCTGGTCCACTTGTTTATAAGTTATTTAGAGGAGTAAGGAATATGATGGTTGAAATGGTTCCTTCTCAGTGAAATATCTACACAAACAAATCACAGATAAATCAGAATTGTGAAAAGTAGGAGAGGTTTGGAATAAATATTTAAAGAGACCAATTATTTTCTTGCTATGTTTATATACTGCCTTGTGCCAATGAATCCAAGCTACAATCCAAGCTTCCCTGATTACAACAGGGAAAAGAGGATATGAAAACTTTAAACTAAATCCTGACAGGGAGAGAGACCATAGTACTGACAACAGGGAAACACCTGGTAATGGGGATAATAGCTTCACTGATGCACCAGAAACTGAGATGGTACTCCAAAAACCTACTAAAGAGCAAGAAACTACAAGAAGGAAGCCACCGGAGGGAATGATTAATGGTTTCAGTTGTCTCTATACTAATATTCACATTAAAAATCACCGTTATAGTAAAGTCAAAAGAAAGAACAAATAAGGCAATTATACAATCAAAACAAATCACTTTAAAACAAAGCACACAATAGTTAATTAGGACAGAGAGCAAATAAGAAAGGTTTATCAGAGCCCACTGTGCAATGTAGAAGTCCACATATTTGAAAGATCCGGGAAAATAAAAAGTTATTTGCCTGACACTGAAAAAACAGGCGAGACCTTCTGGAGATAGCATTCCACAATCTGAAATGCCCCTTTCTCTCACAGCCACCTGCTGTATCTCAGTTGGCGGTGGGGGACATTTGGGGAAGAGCCTGGCACGGTGGTCTCAAGGCTATTTATCCACAGTTATAACCCAGCATTTTCTATTTTGCATTATTTTCAAATCTGCTCTATTTGTTAATGGCCCATGTGGGATCTGTACATGTACGAGAGAGTGAAAGATACAGTGTCAAATGAAATCCATGACTAAATGTAGGTTTTGAATCTTGGTCTGATTCCTTTAATCAGGCACTGCCACCTCACTCTCAGGCCCCCAGTGCAGCCATTTTGTGACTTGTGCCCTTGACATTTTCACGAAGTTCCCAGTGTGCCCTTGTGGGCCAAGGCAGTAGTCAAGCACCATGTGAAAACAAATGAAGCTGGCAGACAGACACACAGGACAGAGTTGCTGGAGAATGAGGAGGAAAGGGAACTTGAAATCATAAGGAGAGTATTACAGAGGATCCAGAAACCTATCATGGAAAACAGAAGTTGAGCTGAAAAGATCCATTGTCAATGAGCTAGGAGGGCTGGAGAGAAACTGCTTAACTCCTACGTCCTGGCTTAAGCAGGGAAAAGGATTGTTTTGTTTTACCGTGGTATTTTCATACCCTAGTTGCTCTTATGGGTAATTACAAAAATGGTTTTAAAATCTGGGTGGGCTGGGAGGGATTGTCTAGAAATACAACTATAATAACTGTTTGCTGGTCATAACCATTATTTTTTTAAAAAAGCACATTTCTTATTGGCTTAAACTTGGTCTGACGCCTTGATTTTCACCCCTCCTTATCAATTAAAATCAGCTGCCTGAGGCCCTAGTAAGTTGCAGAGGTCATAGGGCTGTTTAGTGGAGTTAGCCAGGAAACAAAGACTTATTCTTGATGATGAAATGAGGACCACCAGAGGGGTTAAGTTAGCTGGTTTGCTTGCCTCCTTTTCATGCTGCAGCCCATGCCCTCAAACCCTTGCTTCCTTCCACCTAACAACGTCATGTACGACATGATCAACCAGCAACATTTTAAAACAATTTTAAAAACAGTTTACAGTACATAAAGTGGCAGATGGGGATACATGAACGAATAAATAAGATTTTAAAATGCCTACCAAAACAACAAAGCTTAAGAGATTTTGAAAACCCATCAAAGGAGTCACTGGATGGATCTCCTGGGGTGGATCCACTCTTGAGCTTAAGGGATGGGCAGGTTCCTACCCCATAAGTGATGTAAGTTAAAAAGACCCATTAGACTGGAGAGCAAGAACACACTGCTGCCATCACCTCCCATGTCCTGCCTATGCTACCACATTTGGCACGTCTGGGACTCTGCCACCCACTCACCTGAGCATAACAGGCACCAGATTCTGATGAAGGGGTGTTCTCCAAGACTCTGTCTCCATTAGGGCTGCCATGCATCTGGACATTACCGGGATTTCAAAGGCAGAATTGACATCCAGGGGGAATTTCCCAAAGGCGGCGCTTTGTCCTGGATCTTAGGCAAGTCAATCGAAGAATCGTGTTGCTCCACACCTTAGGGGTTTGTCTTAAAAACTTTTAGGTTTTCCTTAAAAAGAACTCAACAATTTTAGGGTGTCCTGGTTTTTACTTTTTGAAATATGGCAACCCTAGACTCTCCATACTGAGTTTCTCTGCACCTATTGCAAAACAAATTGGCAAGGCCATGAAACTGGCAGCCCTCTAGTTAGTCATTTTGTCCGTCTGCATAGGACAGTCTGTACATTGCCAGTCCTGCCAGGTGTACCTGCTGCAGAACTGCCTGTGGATGAGAGAGGCACACAGAGAAGGCTGCAGCGTTGTTGTTTTTTTTGGGGGGGGAGAGAAACCCAGTACAAGCACACACCACAATTCCATCCTATGCAATCTCACACATTTCTATTTTAATTCTGAAATTACAATGTGACCCTTTCTTTGCATGTTTTGTTTAACACAACATCCAGTCTTAAACAGTTCGAAAAAGCTTGCTATTTTGAAACTATTTTGGTTGGTCCTTAAAAAGATCTTACCCTGTTTGATTTTTTAAAAAGGAAATTGTAATGGAGCAAGGCAGCTGCACATAAAAAGCCCAATTCACAAAGCCTTGTTTTTCTGGCCTTTTTCATTGCAAAGTCATAATTATCTGTTATGTTTTTTAGGGCACAGGCCTGGATCTTTGGTGGAAAAACAATCAGATAGTGTAGCAGCTTAAATCTTCTAGCTACAGTAGTGCTAAGAACAATATCACCAGAGTGGGGTCGCATGATATATCTGGCAGCCTTTTCCTTAACTTACCACCATCAGTCTTTACACTGAACCCATTTTCATTCTTCATGCTTTTTAAAATCTACTTTCCTATTTAGTGAATTACCTGAAAGGCCTCGCCTGTTTTGAAAAGGTGACGGATTTATTTGTGTCCTGCAGCTTCTTTCTGTTCCTTCGCTCTCTCCAGCTGCCCAGTCTGATTTGCGTTACAGCCAGACAGGGCCGTATGCTACGTATGTGTGTCTGCTAGACATTTACTTGCAAATATCTGGGGCCTCTGAATCCGACCAGCAGCCTTGGCTCCCACTGCCCTAGGGGGCAATTATGGTGCTTTGTCTCACCCACAAGCTGTCCCTTCCGCTTGCCTGTGCATCAGCCATAAAGCACTCTGGGACTGGTAGTTCTTCACAGAGTATGTCACATAGTCAATAAGGCCTGCACCAGCAGTTGGTGTTTCCAGGAGACTGGAGAAGAAACTGACCATCATAGCCCCCCTGCCCGCCACCCCAAATTTGCCTTTTGCTGCCATCAGCCTCCTCTGGAGTGAGCCTATGGCAGGGGTAGGCAACCTAAGGCCCGAGGGCCAATTGCCTTCTCAGCCTGGCCCGCGGACGGTCCGGAAATAAGCGCGTTTTTACATGAGTAAAATGTGTCCTTTTATTTAAAATGCACCTCTGGGTTATTTGCGGGGCATAGAAATTCATTCATCCCCCCCCCCCCCCGAAGTATAGTCCGGCCCACGACATGGTCTGAGGGACAGTGGACCGGCCCCTTGCTGAAAAAGGTTGCTGACCCCTGGCCTATGGGAACCAGCTGTATGCCACCCCCACCCCCCCAGAACTGTATGTAAGCCAGGCTCCTTAGCAATGCCAGAAACATGGTTGTTGATTAACTCTTGTTCTGCTACATATTTATGCCTAGATGTTTTGTTTCGTTTTGCTGAATTTATTCTGGTGTTTGCCAAACTGTTTATTTTCATCATTTTTGAATTTACTGGCATGGCCTGTATTTTGTATATTTGTATTTTCAGTGCTCTGTATTTGGATGTTTTTGAGTGTTTGCTGTAAGCTGCTTTGGGCAAAGCTCGTTGTGGAAAAGTGACATATATGTAAACTCAGTCAAACTCAATAAATCACATAGGAAAGCACAGATCTCTCTCTCTCCCTCTGTTCTGGTTTAACTACAGACCCAAGGGTGGGGCAGCAACTCACTGATCAAAATGTTGCTTGTTCTGCTGCAGATTGGCTCCAACGTATGTCATAATCTTTGGATACAGGTGTCTACTGTAGATATACAATATGGGCTCTGCAGTTTATTTATACTGCAATTTATCTCTTCCCCATGGCAATGAGGCTGCAGTCTCCTGGATCTTCTGGCCCCAGTAAGCATCAGACCCTGCCTGGCTCACATGTCTGGGCTCTGCATGGAAAGAGAGTAATGAGTCGGTGTTAGGGATGGGACCTCCCAATAATTCTTGTGTTGCCCTTGACTCCCCGCCCCTTTGTGAGGGAAGACGAGGCTGTAGTGACTGAACCGATACAGTACTTAATCCTTCACCCCATGTTATGTACTAACCTTGGGTCCTAGAACAATAGGCAAGTAGAATGATTGGCTTGCAGGAGAAGACCAATCAGGCTCCAGGAAGAAGTTAATCAGCCTATTATGCCGGTAGGATCTAGAATGCAACAACTGATTGGCCTGCAGGAAAAGACCAATCAGGCTCCAGGAAGGAAGCAGAATCAGCCAATCAGATGGGACTCATTGTGTAAATAATGTATATAAAAGCCTGAGGTTTGGGGGGGCAATTCAACCACTGTTTTACAAGCTGCAATAAACAGCATGAAATCACTACTGGACTCCGAGTATATTTCACCCCAACAGACCACTAACTATAGCAAATAATTGTTGTTTTACAGATTGCGTTTTTTTGGGAAGCACAATAAACCATGATCCCTGGCTTGGCTGTTAAGTCCGTGATTAGCGGGAAGGAGACAAACAGGAGAGATGAGTTCACATTTAACCATGGTTTACTGAGGCATGAACTGGGCGAGAGTGGCTTAATCTCAAAACAGAAATGTAGCAGAGTGTTATTACTGTATATTAATAAATCAAGTGACTCCATGGCAAAGATCTCAAAACACGTGATCATAAGAGGAAGTGACCCAAGCCACAAATAGCAACTGAAGACACGATACAAAAGGTGTAAATCATTCACAATTGCTTAGGGGAGGCATAGGCAAACTTGGCCCTCCAGCTGTTTCTGGACTACAACTCCCATCATCCCTAGCTAACAGGACCAGTGGTCAGGGATGATGGGAACTGTAGTCCCAAAACAGCTGGAGGGGCAAGTTTGGCCATCGCTGCAATAGAGAGTGGCACTATCAGAAGGCGGCCTTGCAAAGTGGAATGCAGAGCAGCTCAGGCACAAAATCATGTACCTCCCAAGTGCCAGCAAAGGAATCAAACTGACTGAGGTCCAGGCCATCTTGTTGAATTGTTTTTTGTGGTGAGATGGGCAGTAGCGCTCCCCAAGCCTTGTGGAGGGCTAAGGCATTTGGACAGGTTCCATAGCTTATGAAGCATAGCTGTCAACTTTTCCCCTTTTTTAAGGGAAATTCCCTTATTCCAAATAGGATTCCTTGCAAGAAAAGGGGAAAGTTGGCAGCTATGTAATATCAAGAGATGCCAAGAAGAGCCCAATGATTACCCTGGAAATCTGGCAAATGATGTCATCACTCCCACTCTCCTCTTTTTCCAGCAAGCAGGAAACCAGCAGTTCCCATGCCTTTAGTGGACCTATTCTGCAAGTGATAATTAGGTGGGAGGTTTTTAATCAAAATCTGGGTTGAAGAGAAATGGATCCAGAGTTTCTGCAGTAGTAGAGGTTATCAAGGTATGGTGAACTAGCTTGAGAGGGCTGCTAGGTTGCAATGCCAGCCCCCCGCCCAGGGGGAAGGGTGGCAATGTTTAAAAATGATCTTTTAACATTAACAAGTACTGAGTAATTTACAATTTTCAAAAACAAGATGAAGAATGAGAAGGGGATTTTACATCAAGTTTCATGGAATCTCAATTCTATGGGTCATCTGGAAATATCTCATGTGCATCCTGTGCTATTTTTCTATAAAAAAAAACAGAGGTGCTGAAACTCACCCCTTGTCTTCTTATAACAGCAATGGCGCCCACCTGAGAGGCACTGGTGAATTCTGTTGAATTCCGGCTGAAAAAAAGCCCTGTGTGTATCTCTCATTTTCTTGTTCTGGAAGCAAGAGGTGCAAAAGTATAGGCAAGAGGCTTGCTGATGCTGCTCCCACTGGTCTCTGAACTTTATGCTTTCTTATTATCCCCCAGGGTTCCTGCAGGCACAGCTGCAGTTCAAGACAGAATATATGTCAGCAAGGAGGGGGACTCCAGCATGCTTGCTACTGTCGATATTTCTGAGACCCTGGTTAGAATTAATTTGCAAGAAAGCTTCCGCAGCAAATCTCAATCTCATCTGGAGAATTTCATAAGTAGGGAGGAGGCAAAGTTATCATCACATGGTCTTTAAACAGACATTGTTTATGTATCCATCTAGAACAGGTGAATTAAATACTTCATAGCATCTTTGAGTGCATTCTTCTGTTCTTGAATGAAGAGTCTCACCATCACCACGCAAAACAAAGTTATGCATATTGTACTCCTATCATTGCTACTTACAAAATATATTGTGCCCACATCTTATCAACATATATTTTCAGACACACACACAGTAATATTTTACAGAATATGGGCCATTAAACTCTGTATTGGCATTTATAAATGTGTAGACTTTTTTCTAAAACAGTAGCCTAACAGAAGTACTCACTAGAATCAACTCTGCTGGGGAGAGAAGTCTTTCTATTGTTAATTGTTTTTGCCAAAATGAAAACAAGAAAAAACAACATGTGGATAAATTGCTTTTTAATCAAATTATGTTCAGATGCAATAATGCTTTAAGATGTTTAAGAACAGGAAACAGTTTAAATCCATCAGTTTAATAAATACAAATATACACATGTATACATCAAATGCAGTCACATGTATAATTTTACATATATTATATACACAAAAGCACAGTCCACATTCCTCCTGATAAAACTATTGTTTTGTTGGTGAAAATGTTGAGATGAATAAAAATACAGCATAATAGAAAATCAAAATATTGAACTTTCCCCACCCTGTATTTCCATATGTGAAGTCAATGTTCTTTCCCTAGAAATACAATTTAAGGGGATTTCAAGATGAATTACTATTTATGCTATACATCTGTACCGGCAAAGTGCTGAGCCATAGAATAATGCTTGCATATTTATCAAATATTTGAGCCAGCTCCAGAGAAATCATAATTAGACCTCGTTCTTAATCTGCATACAGAGTACATGGACTGCATTTTTTTTTTAAATCAAAAGACTTATCTAAAAACGTCTGATGATTTGCTGCTTACCAGGAAAAAAATTTGCTTTCCTAAAAATATTTTGCTCTAAAGAAGGAGTGGCTAATTTATTTCCCCCATTCACTGGTTCAAAGTAAACCAAAAGCATCTGCAGAAAATTAATGATATTTAAAACCAATTTAAACTAATATATATATATATATATTCCAGTTTTTCAAGTAGTGACATACAAGAGACGTAATATAGGGCTTTAAAGAGGACTTGTACATCCAAGTGATTTTCAAATATATATATGTCTGTGTTTGTTTGTAAGAACATCTAATAGGAAACTGAGGGATGGTGTCAAGATACTCAGCTAGAGTGGCTATTATTAATTTCAAACTGCAAGTGCTTTTCCCGTGCTGCACCATTTTACATCTTTACATCCTATACATGATACAGAAATATTTATAGAAGTTTTTTTTAACCAATATATCATTTGAACTTTTAAATCCTGAGGTAAAAAAGGAAGTATGGTTATGTATGTCTACTCTTCTCCCCTCCCCCCCCCCCAAGAACACGACAATAAGGTCAGAGAGCATCCAAACACAGTATTACATGCTGGGTATAAACTTTTTCTTTCTTTTTTTTCTTTTTACAAGACATATTAAGGAAAAAAAGCCTCTGGTCAGTATTATGCCACAAATGAATACATACAACTACAAAAAAAAACCCCTAAAGCATTTTGGTTTTAAAATGCCTGTAGCTTGCCTTGTGGGACAGGATGTTATTAATCAGGTTCACTATTAGCAACAATAAGGTGACTTATGTTGACGTTAACAAGTTGCTTGACGTTCAGTACTTGTCCGTTATCTTACACAGTAATGCTAAAGTTTATCCCAAACTTTGCAGCAAATGTGACCAGACATTCTTTTAGCACGACCCTGGTAAGTACCATGTCCAATTTAATGTCGTTTGTGTAGTTCAGCTTTATGCAAAGGAAGATGGAAAAATATAAACTTACAAAACCGAAACCCAAGACGGGACCTGAACATTTGTAAATGTTCAATTGTCCTCATATGTCAATCAACCCATCAGGTTTCAATATTCCATTTCTTCATATCACCACTGTCCCTGATTCAGCATGCTGCTATCTTGTGGACATTTTGCAAACAAGTTAGAAGGCGTTGATAGGGGTTACCTGGCGATGCCACCACCTCAAATACAGACTGAAAGGCTCTGCGATCCAATTCTTCATCTATCTGATGTCTGTAAAAGTCTATGGCCACTAAGCAAAAGAGGTTAATGTCCACTTGCTCTGATTTTCCCATTCTGCTGATAATATGCGGAAGACTTTCAAAACAGTCAAGGATATAACCAAAAGCATCATATAAAGCATTCTGAGTTTTAACCACATCACTCCCCATTGGAAAAAGGATTCAAAAGTAAACTTTACTCTACACATCAGCATAAAGAAACCTAATATGCAGATGATACCCAGCTCTACCTCTCTTTCAAATCAGAACCAGTGAAGGCGGTGAAGGTCCTGTGTGAGTGCCTGGAGGCGGTTGGAGGATGGAAGGCAGCTAATGGATTGAGGTTGAATCCTGACAAGACAGAGGTACTGTTCTTGGGGGACAGGGGGCGGGCTGGTGTGGAGGACTCCCTGGTCCTGAATGGGGTAACTGTGCCCCTGAAGGACCAGGTGCGCAGCCTGGGAGTCATTTTGGACTCACAGTTGTCCATGGAGGCACAGGTCAATTCTGTGTCCAGGGCAGCTATTTATCAGCTCCACCTGGTACGCAGGCTAAGACCCTACCTGCCCGCGGACTGTCTCGCCAGAGTGGTGCATGCTCTAGTTATCTCCCGCTTGGACTACTGCAATGCGCTCTACGTGGGGCTACCTTTGAAGGTGACCTGGAAACTACAACTAATCCAGAATGAGGCAGCTAGACTGGTGACTGGGAGCAGCCGCCGAGACCACATAACACCGGTCTTGAAAGATCTACATTGGCTCCCAGTACGTTTCCAAGCACAATTCAATGTGTTGGTGTTGACCTTTAAAGCCCTAAATGGCCTTGGCCCAGTATACCTGAAGGAGCGTCTCCACCCCCATCATTCTGCCCGGACGCTGAGGTCCAGTGCCAAGGGCCTTCTGGCAGTTCCCTCACTGCGAGAAGCAAAGCTACAGGGAACCAGGCAGAGGGCCTTCTCAGTAGTGGCGCCCGCCCTGTGGAATGCTCTCCCCTCAGATGTCAAAGAGATAAACAACTACCTGACATTTAGAAGACATCTGAAGGCAGCCCTGTTCAGGGAAGTTTTTAATGTGTGACATTTTAATGTATTTTTAATCTTTGTTGGAAGCTGCCCAGAGTGGCTGGGGAGACCCAGCCAGATGGGCGGGGTACAAATAATAAATTATTATTATTAATATAGTGGCTTTCAGGAAATCTCCTATTTTGGTTCATATCTCAACTGCTTCATACAGCAGCTTTCTTTTACAGAAACATGTATGGCCATAAATAAATAAATAAATTCACCCAGTAGACTGTGAGGATAAAGATATCCTGCCTAAGTATTCTGTATTAAAATTCAGCAGAACTGATGGAACAGAATTAAGCCTCAGTATGACAGTGTTAAATGTTATTCAACATGCTGATAAAACGTATCTGTTGGCTAAAATCAAGTTTGGTGAAGTACTGTGTGGTTTCTTGCTTTGAGGATACTGAGACCAGCACAAACCCTGACGGCTCTTCCCTTGGGAAGCTTTGAAAGCGTGTCAGCTAAGTCTGCACTTTCAAAAGCTTCTGTCCTTGGGCAAAAGGCCGGCCCAGGCACCCAGGAAAGATTTGACCGTGTGGGTAAGTCTGGCTGTAAGCTCCATGCTTTCAAAGGCATCCAACACTTACTCCCCTATCCACCATTTATTGCGGCAAAGGTCAAGTGGGGAGAGGGAGCATGTGCCACAGGCCAGATGAAAGCGAGCAGCAAGTTGTATCTGGTCTGGAAGCTGCTTCCCCCAGCCATGCCTTAAACTGTGGTGAACCACAGCTATGGCTTGGTTGAAGCAAGTCACCTTTATAAGACGCCATTTGAAGTTGGCTTGTTACAAAGAAACCATAGTGAACTTTAGCCATACTTTGCCACACCGTTCGTCATGTGTGAACCACACAAGCTGTGTGGAAGCAAAACCTTCTGCACTCTTCCTTGCAGCCATACCAGCGGAGAAGGCTGCATGAAACTGAGAGAAGCTTATAGGCTATGGTAAGTCCTGCCACAATAGACCATGACTTACTGAGACATTCAGTCATAGCCACCATTTTTTTTGGTATTGATTTTACCACTGCATCCTGCTGATAAACCCAAGAAAAACCTTTAAAAAAGGCAATGGGAGCGTTTGGCATTGAGTTTTTCACCCATCAGATTCCAAATGATCACTTGCTGCTCTTCTGACAGAATCTGTGGCTCCAGAGACAAAATATTGTGGATGAGACATCACTGAATCCCTGATGGAGACCAGGTGAACTGATGGGGGTTTCATCTAGATTTGGGGTGGGGTGGTAAATGACTTCGGTCACATCCACACTATACATCAAAAGCACATGGCTTTCCCCAAAGAATCCTGGGCACCGTAGTTTGCTAAGGGTCCTGAGAATTGTAAGTATTAAACTACAGCTCCCAGGATTCTTTGGGGGAAGCCATGTGCTTTAAATGAGCTTTAAAATTTACATATATAGTGTGGATGTGGGCTTTGTGAACACTGCAGAGCACCTAGAAGTCAAACGTCAGAGTCCTGCACTGAAAGCGGTGGTTGATTTAAGTTAAGTGCAACTTCTTATGAAAAGGACAGATCAGAACATGGAGATAAAAAAAGAGAATTTACGAGCTGGAGATGAGTTCTGCAGAAATCCTTTTAACTGCTAATGGCTCACTATTCTGGAAACCAGGGCAAACCCCCACTCCTGCTGGTGTTCAGTCAGTAGGGCATGAGACTCTTAATCTCAGGGTCATGGGCTACGAGTCCCATGTTGGGCAAAAATATTCCTGCATTGCAGTGGGGCTGGACTAGATGACCCTTGAGGTCCCTTCCAGCTGTACAACTTTGTGATTCTTTGAAAGCTCACCCTGCCTGCCATCAAGAGGAAGTACTTTTCCAAAGTGAAGACTGCCCCATCCCAGCACCACTGGAAAATGGAAATCTTTCTTTAGGCTTTAAAATGAGGCCTATAGAAAAATAATCTGTTTAGGATACATTGCTGAAATCCACTGGCTGGTGGAAGCACTGACAAAAAAGCAAGACAGACTCCACATTGCCATGGCGACCGGTGTTCTCTGCGTGAAGTTGGAAAGTGACAGCATCACCCAGTCACGGACCATGGATGACTGGCCAGTGGTATGCAATGTTTGAAATACCTGCAAGAGTTAAAACAGATAGATCATGCGGAAGAAAATGTTTAGAAAGATCCTCCTGCAACAAACACAAAGATATACTGTACCCAGTTATATGTAACTGCAGGGCTGGTTTTGTGTTTATGCTCTTAATCCTGTTATTCGATTCAATGTCAATTTTCAGATTAATAATCCATAAATTATAAAACAAACTACATAAGAATACTAGCACAAAACAGACTTAAAGCTAACAAATCTAGAAGGCTCGGGAAAATAAAAAGCCTTCACAAGCTCCACAGCTACATGGGTTGTGTATGCTTAAAAAATCTGTTTGATTTCTTCTTTTGCTAGTCACGGAGGTGAACAATTCAGGGCCCTGTTGCACCTCCAGTGATGCACAGCACTGGGAAGCCAGGTCAGCAATGTGGCCTCACTCTCTGCTGACGACCCAAACCCTGATTAAGTGTGTGGGGGGGGCGGGGATTGACACATGAGCAGTACGGTAACTTGTTTCTTTAGCCATGATTTTTTTTTTTTTTTTAAAGCAATTTATTGGATTTTACAATAGGAATAAATGTAATAAACAATATAACATCCGTCTTAACATAATTTCACATTTTCTTTGGACTTCCTCACATCTCCCGCTCCCACCTTTATCATTATAACATTTTGTCAGCAATTTATCATCTTATTTAAGTTCTTATATCTCTTCGATATTTCATAATCTTAAGGTTCTCATAAAGAGTTAAACTTTCACAATTTTTCTTATTTTCTTAAAAACTTCTAGGTTAAGTGGTGCTCAGTTATTTAGTCTAGCATCTTATTCAGCATTCAGTCAAATCACAATGTTTTTGTAGATAGTTCTTAAATTTCTTCCAATCCTCCTCGATTCTCTCTTCTCCCAGGTCACGGATTCTGCCAGTCATTTCAGCCAGTTGCATATAGTCTATCAGTTGCATCTGCCATTCTTCCAGTGTGGGTAGATCTTGAGTTTTCCAATGTCATTTAGCCATGATTAATCTTTCTAATGTTGTATTAAAATCAATATAAACCTATTTTTCCCTAAACAGTGCCACATCATATGTCATGTACTCTTGCAGTAAATAAATAATTTGTTTTCGGTATTTCAACACTTTCCCCACAATAACTATTTAAAAAAAAAAATCTCACTAACAGGACAATCCCAATGTACCGTATTTTTCGCTCCAAAAGACACACCAGACCATAAGACGCACCTAGTTTTTGGAGGAAGAAAACAAGAAAAAAAATATTCTGAATCCCAGAAGCCAGAACAACAAGAGGGATCGCTGCGCAGCAATCCCTCTTGCTGTTCTGGCTTCTGGGATAGCTGCACAGCCTGCATTCGCTCCATAAGACGCACACACATTTCTGTCGGTTTGCAAGCCTCCTCCACAGAGGCTGGCCCCTCTCACTGTCCTCGGAGCTTGCTTACCGGTAACCTCCTCTGGCTGACATCCAGACAGACCAGGGAGATTTTGATAGGTGACATTTTCCCAAGCATGGGTAAATGCACACCCCCTCCTCCTGCTTCTTCCCTAGCAGGGAAAAGGAGACAGACAGAAACGTCTATTTACATTCTTTTATTTCTGTCTACAGCACTACAGGAAAACACGTCCTTTCAGTTCAGTTCTTTCAGCACGTCTGACAAACTTCCTGTACATGCGCAAACGGAAGGTTTCAAATTACACTCTTCACAGAGCCTTTTCCAGCCTGTGAACTTCCTGGGAAATTCTTTCCCACAGATAGCTGCATCATGTGATGTCAACAAGCTGGCTGTCTGCAGCTGCGATGCTTTCATATACTGACAATTTCCCCTTACTTTTTAGGAGGGAAAAAGTGCGTCTTATAGAGCAAAAAAATACAGTAAATAAATGTGTTAGGGGAGAGAGGGGAGAATGAAAGACTGCATGCCCAAATGCTGACGGATTCCAACTTCTATCAGCAGAGCGAGCGTGGCCACACAATCAGCACAGCTACACCTCTATGGCTAATTTGCCACCCTTGCTTTAATTATTCCATTCTTTTCATACATAGAAAGGATTCTGAGCTGTGGAAGAGATGCATGAATGTGCTATTAGGGATCTGAGACCCCAGAGGAAACACCACTACAGATCTCAAAAACTGTTTGTGTGGAGTTAGACTGCTGTTAACTCTAAAATACGATTTTGTACCTTTCTTACATGATTTTAATTATTTATAAAAGTATGTATATACTGCCCTCTCATAAAATATCAGGGTGGTGTACAGCAATATAAAAACACAAAAAATAAAGCAGTACAGACTAAACATTAACATGATGGGCTACTCAGTTTGATTTGAACATTAAATTAGAATCAGTATCAAATAGATTTAAGAACTATTACTTAAATGGGGTCTTATTTGTGCCTTTCCCCCCAATATAAGATTATCAAATGCTTTTTAGAAGCAGAAGAGGGTTAAGGCCTTGATCCTCAGAGACTGTCATTGCTTGCTTGCTGTGAATAATTTGCCACATACTTTGCAGACAATTTTTTTTGTTTTACCCTAGTAGTCACAGCTAGTGAAAATGTCTAAGCAAAAGGGAAAAGCGGAAAACCAAACAAAAGAGGTCAGGGGAGACATGTGGGGGGAAAATTCTTACCTTATATACTACAGTTGCCATAAATTGTGGATATGGCTGCTGGTTAGAAAGAAATTCTCCTATGACTTTATTCATCACATCTTGTGGAGGGAAAAAGTCGTCAAGAAACTGAGGGAGAATCCGAGTTACGACTCTGGCTTCAAAGGGAAATCCTTTTCTAACCCTAAAAAACAAACACATGTAATAACAAGCAACTATCATATTTCTCAAATATTCAGCTTCATGTAACAAGATATATTCATCCCAGTCAGTGACCACAACAGAAAAGGCTTCCCTACTCCATTCAGTGCTGATAAATTCTTTAGTGCAATCAGGGTGAGATCTCTTAAGCTGAAGGGTTCATAACACAACTTCTTTTTAATGAACCATCACAGCTATTTTGGAACTCTCAGGCTGCTCAGCTGGAGCAAATGAGCTTCTCAGTCAGCACTTTTTGCAACAGAATATGAGTTTTTTAAAGTATTCTAAAAAGCAGTAGGACTTCTCTAGGTAATGTAGATCCTGGAGAATGTGGAATGGCAGAGAGCTCTCAGGCCACTGCTGGTTCCTTCGGGAGCTAATGAGGGCAAGCTTTCCAGCTGGAGCATCTTCTCTTTTGCTTTCCCAGAGGGTACAAAGTTAGAGACAACCAGCTGCCTATGTGGATGTGTGTCCATCACATTGTAACCACTTGATAAACAGACGATTGTCTTTTCAGCCGCTTTGTTTTTCAGCTGTGACAGGCTTCTACAAACGACTTACGGGCTCTAAAAATGGAAATATTGCACTTTCTCCAAATGTGTATTATTCTGCTGATGTAGGGGAAAGAAAGTGGTCTGGAAAACCTACAACTACATTTTGCGATCAGTTCATTATGAAAGCATTACCAATCATGGTTTATAGGATCATAAAATACATGCTTGATTATTTCTAATAAAAATATATGTGGCTGTTCCATTGTTGACACATTTAGTATTGCCTAGGTGTAGGATTTTCCACAATTAAATCAATCTTGAGAGACTTAGTTTCAGATAACAAAGGGATTAACTTGATATATGTGCACATATCCAAAATCTCTGCATTGAATTTACAGTGGTGCCCCGCAAGACGAATGCCTCGCAAGACGAAAAACTCGCTAGACGAAAGAGTTTTCCGTTTTTTGAGTCGTTCCACAAGACGAATTTCCCTATGGGCTTGCTTCGCAAGACGAAACGTCTTGCGAGTTCTTGCGAGTTTGTTTCCTTTTTCTTAAAGCCACTAAGCCGTTAATAGCCGCTAAGCCGCTAATAGCCGTGCTTCGCAAGACGAAAAAACCGCAAGACGAAAAGACTCGCAGAACGGATTAATTTTGTCTTGCGAGGCACCACTGTACATTAGATTCATATTCCTGGAAATGGAATTCACTTGTATGCTTCATCATGACATTTTGTCCCAGAAAGATGGCTGGGCTACTGGGATCGACCAAAAGGTTGCCACTTTTTCTTCTTTTCACAAAGGCAGGCAGTGTGTGTGTGTGGGGGGGGAATCTTTTGGACACTTCATCTTTCAAGATAAAACCCACCTCCCCTGACAATTCTTAAAAATTTATCCTCCTTACCTGCCATGAAAGCGTTTGTGGGGCATATCTGACATACCTTTAATCTCACCTATAAATACAATCCCTGCCAATTTTATTTTCTTTAAAACAACCATTTCCTACCTGTCAAAAAGAACAGAAACTCGCTCCATAGCCACAATGACAGACTCGCTGTCTGGAGCTGCTTGGTTTTGATCTGCAACTCGCCCTGGACTTATCTTCTCTTTTCCTAAAGGCAAAATACCAAGAAAGCAGAGTTTTAACATACAGTACAAGGGAACCAGATAATTTAAATAAAGGTAATTAAAGTAATGGGACGCGGGTGGCGCTGTGGGTAAAACCTCAGTGCCTAGGACTTGCCGATCGTATGGTCGGCGGTTCGAATCCCTGCGGCGGGGTGAGCTCCCGTCTTTCAGTCCCAGCTCCTGCCCACCTAGCAGTTCGAAAGCA